TTCTATCTTCTTAGTATTTTTTTTTATACGACTTAGAATGGCAAACAAGCTGACACCTGATGGAAAGTGGTAACCGTCGCCTATAGACATGAGCAGTACCATGGACATAACAGAGTATACTATTTCGCCCATGATACCCCCCATGCGTTGCCATTCCTGAGGGCTCAGGTGTTATTCCTCTGTACCCTGTAAATTCACGGCATATACCACCCTTCAAACCGAAACACAGCCATGCAAACACAACTGCTTCACGGTAGAAACACGAATGGGACAGAGGTACCCAAGCAATCGACTTTTGTACAAAGTCTCCCTCTGGTGTATGTTTTATTTTGATACTCCATCAAAAAGTAAAAGTACTTTTTTATTGTTTTATATCTCGTATTTTCCAACAGATCGTGGCCCCGTTATCTGCTTGTATCGACTGCTATTTTTTATGCATGTAAAACAAACGATAGTTTAACATATGATAATTATCCATTATTTACAAATTAAGTTGAGTAATGCTAATCGTGTTTCAACTAGGTTTAGAAAAAAAACTTTGTTCCAGAATCAATACTTTGGAGTTCTTTTAAACTGTCGTCATTCTTGTCACTGCTGAACATAGATGTACTGGAGGGAAAGGAGTTGTTTTAAGAAGGTTCAACAGCCCCGTTGCTAGCAATATACCTTCTCAGCTCGACCTCCAATCGGTTCCCCCTGGAATCCATCGTGGTTACGTCTTGTGGAATTTATCAAGATGGGCTAACTGACCTGACTTTCATCCTCGCCTATCATCTATCACTGGTGCCCCGCCAGCGTATACCGATATCACAACCGGGATTACCATTCCATTATCATCCATAAAAAATAACATAGGCGTACGCAGTTCGTAAATAGTACCAGAATACTGGGGTGGGCGCAGCCCCCTGGATTTGTCTGATGCCCATCCCAGGATCCGAGACTATAAACCATAGACTGCCGCAAGAAATAGTCCTGAACCATGTTTATAAAAAAAATACTCTCGCTTTAGTGTCGATACAGTTACGTGTGCGTCGTATTTCTTATCGATTGATTGTACGATATGTACGATATATGAAATGATGATACAGAATAGTTCGCTACAATAGGATTTTTATGTTACCTTGATCCAATAGATAGATCGATAGATACTCTTCATTGTCTCCTCGAAAAGATTATAATAGTAAACTTATTATAAATATAAACAATTACAAGAAATAATCACAATGAGAAAACAATGGGCGACCTTATCGCTAAAAGCGATCTCTTCCGAGCGAGTTAGTTTTACTTTATTGAAATGTTTTTTTTAAATGAAATAATACCTGTTGTTTTCGGTTTTATGAATTGAGAATTACTTTAGTGTCGATAAAGCGATGATATATAATATCAAAGGTCGTATTATCATGTCCTATATAATCTATATATATATATATATATATATATATATATATATATATATATTCTTTATTGCACAAAAACATACAGTAACAACAATAAGTTAATAACAATGTTAGCAAAGGCGGACTTATCTCTAAAAGAGATTTCTTCCAGTCAACCTAACGCAGTGGCATAGGAAGTAGTGAGTGGGCAGTAGTAGTGCAAGACAGAAATTTAAATAAATATTTACATAAATTATAAATAATTATATATATACACACATACATTCACATATATACATACATACACATACACATATATATACATATACACATACATATACACACATACATACACACGTTAAATACAACATATAAATATCAGATACAAGAGAACACAATGATGACAGTCTTCTAATCATTTTTATATTTAAATTAAATTGGAAAGATAAAATGATTTTAATCTTTTTTTTTGAAGGAACTGCTAGACGGGCTATTCTGAATGTTCACGGGAAGTTTATTCCACAGCTGTACAGCACGATATGCAAATGAGTTACCCATAAAATGGGTTTTACAGTTGGGAAGCTTCAGTACCCTGGACTGGTTCAGACAAAGACGTCTAGGTCTGGAAGGAGGAGGTAATAATTGGAACCGGGAACGAAGGTAGGAAGGAGAATTGGGATCATTAAGGATATTATATAGGACCGCTAGGACATGTGTCTCATGACGATGTCTAATTGGGAGCCACTTTAAACGAGTGCGGTATTCCGAGACATGATCATATTTTCGTAAGCTGAAAATAAACCTTATCGCTAATTTTTGCAACCGCTCAAGCTTATTTAGCAGCTCCTCGGTCACATCTAAGAAACAGACATCGGCATAATCCAGAATGGGAAGAAGAATAGATTGTGCAAGCATAATTTTGGTATTGAAAGGGAGAAAGTATTGGAGACGTTTGAGAGAGTGATATGAAAAGTACATCCGTCTACTAATGTCATTAATATGAGAGGTCCACGACAATGTACTATCCATAATAAGTCCTAAGTTTTTCACTTTATCAGTATAAGATATCTTAGTACCCTCGTATACCAATGGAGGAATCTGAGACCATTCCAACTTACACCTCAGCCTGCCACTACCGACAATCATAGCTTGAGATTTGGCTGGATTAACAATAAGACCAAATGATTTAGCCCAGGAGTGAATAGCCAGTAGATCATCGTTTAGAGCTGAAGTTGCCTGTGTAACCTCAGACAGCATAAAGTGACGATACAACTGCAGATCATCCGCATACAGATGGAAGGGAGAAGTAATGACTCGAGAAATATTATTAATAAAGATAGAAAATAATAAAGGGGAAAGTACACCGCCTTGAGGCACGCCAGCAGTTAATGAAGCCCAGTTCGATAAACCATCATTGGTTCTAACACACTGCTGGCGGCCGAAAAGAAAAGAAGAGAACCATTCGATAACTGGAGTGGAAACGTTGACTGCACGAAGGGTGCTAAGGAGAACATCAAAATCAACCGAATTGAAAGCATTACTGAAATCCAACAAAACAATTGCAGTCAATTTCGTGTTATCCATAGCCCGACGTATGTCCTCTGTAATATTAAGAAGCGCTCCAGTAGTGCTATGAGAGGGTCGGAAGCCCGATTGAAAGGGGCATAAAAGGTTGTTGGTGGAAAGAAATTTAAATAATTGGCTGTGAACTATAGATTCTAAAACTTTTGAAAGAATGGGAAGAATAGATATGGGACGGTACTGGGAAAAGCTAGTCGGATTAGTAGATTTAGGAAGTGGTATGACGTAAGCCTTTTTCCATTGTGATGGGAAGACATTATGCATGAGAGAAAAGTTAATTATGTGAGTGAGCGCAGGCAAAATAACATCCAACACGGGAAGGATCATATCAAGGCTCACATTATCGCTACCGATAGCTTTAGTAGATAATGAACGAATGGTTCTCTTGACAACATCTACAGTCACCAAGCTAAAAGTGAATGGAGGACAATCGGGTGGGACAAGATTAGAAAGATATGATATAGTATTTGCCTATATATCTATCCTATTTAAGAACTGCGCTCTTGTCCGTAGAGCTCTTGCCACTTACAATTTCAATAGTGAGTGGCAATCACGATTTTCAGCGAGCCTCTTCACCTCTTGATACGACACAACACCATCTCCTTCCTTGATCTGCCTGATGTTACTATGTCTCGGTCTCCCTCTCCCCCTCCTTCCTTCTATCTTACCTTCTCTTATAATATTCATAGGTTCGTCGTGTCGTATCAAGTGTCCCAACATTTTTCCCCTTCTGTCCTTAATAGTTCTAATAATTTGTCTTTTTTCCTTGACCCTAAGCAGGACCTCCTCATTGCTAATTCGTTGATAATAATAATATCCTATATAGGATAGAATTTTTTTTTTGTTTAATTATCATACATAAATACATTAAAAAAATTGGATTTTTAGTAGCACTTAAACCTCTTGGGCTTGTGTGTGATACTTTACATTCGGTTCTCAAATATCACTATTTACATTAATATTCTGCTGTTTTACCAAGGTTGGATACTTACAATACTTTATTTCCTTCGAATAGGTGACACAAAGTTACCATTTAATAAGTAGACTACTCCATATTCAGCTAATGTTTAGCATGCAAATTATATAAAATATAGTTTTTTTTTTTTTTTAAGTACCAATAGATTTTACAATAGATAAATTCATACATACTATGTCTTATTAATTATTTAATAATTTATCTGCATCGTCATTTCAGCCATTATCCGTCCACTGCTGGACATAAGCCTCCCCCATAGACTGCCATAAAGAACGGTCCTGAGCCACCTGCATCCAATGACTCCCTGCAATAAATTTCAGGTCGTCACTCCATCTAGTGGGGGTCGTCCTACACTGTGTTTGCCCGTATGCGACAATAATAAATAATTTATAATAAAAAGTAATTGCATTAGGATAGGGTAGGAGGTCGCAAAACATTTTTACATACTAATAGAATCACGCCATAGAAAAGTTTGAAAAACACTGGTCTAGATTATTTGACCCGAGTTTTGCATTATAATTTATACTAATATTATAAGGTTTAAGAGTTTGTTTGTTTGAACGCGCTAATCTCAGGAACTACTGGTTTGAATTGATTTTTTTTTTGTGTTGACTAGTGCATTTATCGAGGAAGGCTATAGGCTATAAAACATCACGCTATGACCAATAGGAGCAAAGCATCAGTGAAAAATGTTGCAAAAACGGAGAAAATTATTCATATTTGAGGGCTTCCGTTGCGTGCGCTGCGTAAACGGTTCAAGTTACCCAAAAAATATGTATGAAAGAATTATTCCTCTTTAAATGATGTAAACATAGGCTATATGTTATTGTCGAAAATTCTATCTGCCCATGCGAAGCCGGGCTGGGTTACTAGTTTTTTTTTTTTTTTTATACAACTTAGAATGGCTTGTTTGCTGACGGCCCAACTGATGGAAAGTGGTAACCGTCGCCTATAGACATGAGCAGTACCATGAACATAACAGAGTATACTGTTTTGCCCATGATACCCCCATGCGTTACTAGTGTTTGTATATGCGTACTATAACACCTGTATGTAATACCCAACAGACTGGACAATCTGCCAGACAAGCCTCTCTGCGTGATGATCAACTGGCTGCTGGCGCGGCAGAAACACGTGATGAAGTACGCCAAACTCTATCTTGAGCAGGGCTTCGATGTGCTCTCAGTGTCGTGCACGCCCTGGCAGCTCATGTGGCCCGTCAAAGGATCCCAGGTATGGAAACGTATAAAGCTATGTACTTCTTAATTACAATTTAAGATTTTTTTTATGCAACTTAGAAGGGCAAACAAGCTGACGGCCCACCAGATGGAAAGTTGTAACCGTCGCCTACAGACATGAGCAGTACCATTAACTTAACAGAGTATACTGTTTCGCCCATGATACCACCCATGCGTTGCCATTCCTGAGGACTTAGGTGTTATTCCTCTGTACCCTTTAAATTCACGCCATATCCCACCCTTCAAACCGAAACACAGCCATGCAAACACAACTGCTTCACGGTAGAAACACGAATGGGACAAAAGTACCCAAGTCTCCTTCTGGTGAATGATATATGAATAGTTTTGTTCATATGTACATTCAAAGTCACGAGACAAATTGTCGTCTCTACGTACATTGTCGGCAGACGACGGCCTGTGCGAGTGCGAGTCCTTGGAGCGTTAATTTTCTGCACGCGACCAGATGCACATAACTAGTCAATAGTATGACGTGTCGTATTAGTGCAGGTTCAGTAGCCGAGGACCGTCTCCTATAGACGTGAACAGCATCATGGATTGCTGGTTATGACAGTGCTTTACAATTAAAATGTTACTTTTTGAGCAGTCTCGTGTAACTTTTAACTATCGGATATCGGTAACGCTGCTTTAGAAACGACTGTGGAAACCCCATCCAATTTACTGCAGAGGAATGATGCCAGAACATACAAACAGACAGATAAAATTAAAAAAAATATTTTATTTTGGCCACCGTTTAAGACCCCCACATATCAATTTTTCTTAAATATTCCCATGTACAATGTTACAATTTTATTATAACTGAACTTTTTGTAAACTCATTTTTTTTTTTAAAAAGCAACAGCTGAATTTGTTACGCGTTTTTCTCAGCTGCAATTGCATTTCAAACTACGCGGTAGTTTCATAAAAAAAACTATTAAAAATGCTTATAATTAAGTATGTTAGATTTCAAAAAAAAAACCCTATTAACAAATATACAAATAATAATACTAGTGAAAATTTAATAAAGTAATTGTCAGATATGTACTAACACGACGAAATTAGAAGTTCCCCGTTTGACCGCGGGCCCCTAAATAGATTGTCGATCTCGATTTTATTAGCATAATTCATGTGTTCATAGCATCTATTCAAGTTCATGATACGATCTTATTGTTAAAAAAACACATGAAAAAAACATTGGAATTATTAATAGAATTCAATGTTTGTATTGTGACTTTCCTATGAACTTATCATTATGTAATAATAATAATAAATCTTTTTAATTCATATAATACATATATATATATATATATATATATATATATATATATATATATATATATATATATATATCCATAGTTTATATTCATTATTACTATAATATTTAATTTTAATTAATTACAAATTTTACATTATTTTTTATTTTATTTTATACAAAAATCCACAGCTCTTAAAAAATAACTTACATGCTAAGTCTCTTATGAATACAGCCAATAAAGGATTTTACTTATACAAACAAAAATTTTGATTCCATAGCGAGGTAGGCAAGTTAGAGTGGGTGTATGCAAGTAATATAAGCACATGTATGTAAGGAACCCATATATAATAGTGAGTAGTATTATATAATATATACAAAAATTAAATAATAAAATACTAATTAAAACAATTTTATTATAAATTCCTTGGTCCTCAGATACGCAGTGTGGAATACTGAGCAAAGAAATCATTAACTCTATTTTCTGCGAGCATACCAGCCATAATGCTCCAATTCAAAATTTAGCTAAAAAATTAATAATTATCAAGGCTAGTATAGTGTGTATTGTATTCTGTCGCTTGTTATACGCTTGGGGACAGTCTGATATGTTCAAATAATACTTACTAACAAATGAACAAACAAAGCCCCCACCTAAACCCTCCTAGGAGAGTTCAGAACGTCTAATTAATAAATTACACGAAGTCGATTTGTAGTTTATTATAAGGAATACGGAAGCTATTAAAGCGATATAGTGAATTTCTACAAAATAATCTTTACCTTAGGTGTTATTTTGCAGCTAATCGCCAAGGACCTGCTGAAGTTTATGTCGACGAACGTGAACAGCCACCCGTTGGTGCTGCACGGGTTCTCTGTGGGAGGGTACATATGGGGCGAGGTCATCGGCCACTCTATGGAGAATAAAGAATTGTGAGTATCCACTATAGATAATAAGCTTTAGTTATATCGGTACCGTCCCGATACCTATATATTGGGTTTGTCTGAACATTGATGATAGAAAAAAGGCATCGCCCATTTCGATATCATCCATACCATTCGTATATGTATATTCATTTCGTTTGCGTTCTTCATTTCAATTTTTTTTTTTTTTTGATGGGTGAAAACACTATGGTAACCCGACCTGCGCTAACGGGATACGCTGGCGGAGCACCAATGAAGGGTGATCGATGAGAATGAAAAGAGGCCAGTTAGCCCATCATGATGAATTCATCAGGAATTAATCATGATAGTTTCCAGGGGGAACCGCGTGGAGGTCGACCTGGTTGGTTATATTGCTAGCAATGGGATAATATTATATATTAGATATTGAGCCAATATACAGATATTGTAACTGCTCATACTTAATAGATAATAATAGAATACTTGGTTATTCGAATAGAATTATTTTGTTTAATTCCGCTACCATTAGTATTTGTGTGACTGCCAACATTCGAAGAGTGACCACCATTTTTACTAACGGAAGTACAACAACCTCCCATGTTAGCCATAGTGGTGATTAATCTTGGAGTGTTGGCAGTTACACACATACGAATGGTAGTGAAATTAAACATAATAGTTGTAATCAAATAACCAGTGATTAGGACTTTAAGATAACGCCTAGTTCAGTAAAATACAGTGAAACCTGGTTAAGTGAGATATTAAGGAACCAGTAGATTTATCTTACTTATAGAGGTATCCCACTTACCCAGTGTCTCAGATATCCAGGTATAAATAAATATCACACACACAAACACACACACACACACACACGCACTCGCACACGCACACGCATACGCACGCACGCACGCACGCACGCACGCACACACACGCACACGCATACGCACACGCACGCACACACACGCACACACGCACGAGCGCGCACACACACACACACACACACACACACACACACACACACACACACACACACACACACACACACACACACACACACACACACACACACACACACACACACACACACACTTTTTTTAAGTTAACATGTAGGCTACTGTATTTAAATTATCAATTTATAAATTATTGTAGTTTATTAGTATTGTAGTTGGTTGCTAGATATAACAAAATGTCTTCGTTGATGTAACTAGCTACCATACGTTTTAAATGTCTGCTTTGGAATCCTGCAATGTGGAGGAGGGCGTTGACATTCGCGACACAGTTTTATACTTCTGCGGATATCATCGTTTTTCAATAATATTGTAACCAATGTTTTTGTTCCAAATAAAGAATTATTATTATTATCTGCCTTATTTACAGAGGCATCCGTTAATAGACTTCACCGCGTGTCTTCTCACTTTCATATACGGATTATTAACTTCAGTTTTTCACGTACTGATAACGATTTGAGCCTCCGTTTCGGCATTTTTCAAATGAACATCTTTATGATAGTGAAGCAAAACTAAAACTAAAGGTCATCGCGGCTCAAAATTCGTTAAGTGCGGAATTTAAGGGTTTTTTTTTTAATGGGTGATAATGGAATGGTAACCCCGCCCGCACCATCGGTATACACTGGCGGGGCACCAGTGAAGGATAATAGATGAGGGTAAAGCAGGTCAGTTAACCCATTGTGACGAATTCAACAAGAATTGTTCACGATGGTTTCCAGGGGGAACCACGTGGAGGTCGACCTGATAGTGTATTGCTAGCAATGGGTTCATTAGACCCCATTACTAACAATCCCTTCCCCCCGGAATTTGTGGGTTGAATAAGAATAAGTAATAAATTTAAATGCAGACTAGTCCAAGGTAGAGAGGTGATAAATTAATGTTGTAACAGAGGTTAATGCATATGTTGCAGTCAAAACTCTTAACCAGTCAAAATTACTATTGACTAGCAAAATTAGCCAAAAGTACTTTTGACTGAACGGGTTGGTCATAAGTGGTTTTGACTGCAAATTTGCGGTTAGGTTAAGTTAGGTACTTTTGACTGTTATTTTAGTCCAAAGTATTGTTGACTAAAACATACGGTCAAAAGTTCTTTGGACTGATTTTGCTAGTCAATAGTAGTTTTGACTGGTTAAGAATTTTGACTGCAACACATATGTAAATTACTCGCTGTCTCACTTATAGAGGTATCTATGACTGTAAAAACGAAAGATTGCATGGCTGTGTTTCGGTTTGAAGGGTGGGATATGGCGTGAATTTGCTGGGTACAGAGGAATAACACCTCAGTCCTCAGGAATGGCAACACATGGTGGGGGGGGGGGGGGGGTATCATGGGCGAAACAGTATACTCTGTTATGTCCATGGTACTGCTCATGTCTATAGGCGACGGTTACCACTTTCCATCAGGTGGGCCGTCAGCTTGTTTGTCATTTTAAATCTCATAAAAAAAAAAGAATGAATCCCAAATATAGAGGTTTGCTTCGTCCTACTAACAGAGGTAATTCAGTGCCAAAGTGTTGGCACCTCAGCATGAGTTCCAGTTATGGAGGTTTCTCACTTTTCCAGGTCCCATTTAATCAAGTTTCACTGTATAATAATTTACATAGATTATGTGATATTATTTAAAATACTTGTATTATGTTTCAATGTCTTTAATGTTTTTTTTTTTTTTTTTTTTTTATTTTTTATATACGATTTATTATTAGTAGTTAACCTTTAACTACCCTAGTTGCATTTATCCATCTGTTTTTTTTTTCATTGATTTCATTGGCATATTTAAAATTATTTAATATAGGTGAAAAAGGAGGGAATTTTGTTTTGTTTATTTTTTCTTTTCAAATTATTTTTCTGGCCTCTTAAAAAAGACACATATGTTCTGTCTTTGTCTATAACTGAAAGCTACGCTCCTTACTCTGAGATGAGCACCAAAGAATTCTGGAGCACAGCCTATCGACTATTCTTTAAATACGCCAATAGTTAATTTAACTTTAGTAGTTAGTCCACTATAACAAAAAGACAAATTTACAATTTTTTTTTTAATTATTTATAAATATTAAAAAAAACAATAATGATAACTTTGATCTTATTCTATTTTAGGTATACGCCAGTGATGAATCGCATTGCAGCTCAGGTGTGGGACTCCGCCGCCGATGTCAGCGAGATCTCCATTGGAGTGCCGCCCGCCGTGTTCCCTAAGAACAAAATCATGCAGAAGACTCTCAAGGCTTACATGGAGTAAGTATTAGTCAAGTTTTTACCAGAGGGAGACTTTGTACAAAAGTCGATTGCTTGGGTACCTCTGTCCCATTCGTGTTTCAACCGTGAAGCAGTTGTGTTTGCATGGCTGTGTTTCGGTTTGAAGGGTGGGATATGGCGTGAATTTACTGGATACAGATGAATAACACCTGAGTCCTCAGGAATGATAACACATGGGGGGTATCATGGGTAAAACAGTATACTCTGTTATGTCCATGGTACTGCTCATGTCTATAGGCGACGGTTACCACTTTCCATCAGGTGGGCCGTCAGCTTGTTTGCCATTCTAAGTTGTATAAAAAAATTAACGGGGACTAACGATCCCCATTGCTAACAATATCTATCGAGTCGACTTCACCTAAACCCCGTTGGAAACTCGTCGTGGTGAATTCTTGATGATATCAGCACGATCTGCTAAATGAGATACTTTCATTTTTATACAATATTAATTCAGACTAAAAAAATTACCAGTCGTGTAACGGACACGTCTAGACAAAGAAATGTAGTGAATTGCCATGTCACTGTTCGGATGTATGCCAAATGCGATAAACTAATGCTTTTTTTAAATATATGTTAAAGGAATATATTATTCCCACGTAAGCTATTGGTACGTTCGCGGAACACCAGTGTGGGATGATAGATGAAAATTGAAAGGAGATCACTTGGCTTATCGTAACGAATTTATCAAGCACGTGGCTAACGTTAGATTCCAGAGGGGGCCGCGTATTAGTCGACTTGGCAGTGTATTGCTAGCAATATACCCTGTCAATTCTTCTTCACGGTTCTCCCTGGAAATCATTTTATTTATTTATGTATTCTTTATTGTACACAAAAAAAATTACAACATATTTATTTATTTATTTAACACTTTATTGCACCAACATAACATGATTTGTTGAACAATGTTCAATACGTATAGTGTAGTACAAAAGGCGGTCTTATTGCTAAGCAATCTCTTCCAGGCAACCTTTATAAAATAAAGATGTACAACAGGCGAGCTTAACTCTGTAAGAGTTCTCTTCCAGCAAACCCTGAGTGGATAGGAGCATTAATTACTAGCGGGCAGTGCGCGTACAATAATAGAAGGAAACATTATAGATGTTTCTATTAAAAAATAATAAATATGTTGACATACATATATAAGTAACTCATATAAATAAAATCAAATACATATCTGTATATAATAATACATATACATATATACATAAACATAAAATATCTCTTTACATTCAAAATAGGTACATATACATACATAGACATAATAAATTTATGAGGACAGAAGATGCTCTTTTAATTTGCTCTTGAATATAATCATAGTGCTTAATTCCATGTGAATTCATCACAATAGGCTGACTGACCCCCCTTTTCATGCTCACATATCATCCTTCACTGGTGCCCCGCTAGCGTATATCGATAGCGCAGACGGGGTTGCCATTCCATTATCATCCATTTAAAAAAGCAGTAGACTAGACTCGGTTACTAATAATCCCTTTTGAACAACTGTGTGTTCCTTACACTGTGTGAAAACGCCAAATTCCAATAATAGAATTATACTGGTATATGTACTTGACATTCAGAATATAAACGCAGCGTTTTTTTTAGTATTTTTGTGTGTGGGCGACCGCGATCTTTGCACTCGATCATTGCGACAGTTATACTAAATATAAAATGTGTTATGTTTTTCCATCCAAATATAATCCGCAACAATTTAAGGCAAATGTGTATAGGTCGTTCGTGGGCCCGCGAGCCCCATCTTGGACTATATCATCGCTTTCCATCAAGTGAGATTATAATCAATCGCAAGACCCTCTCAATAGTAAAAAAAAAAAGAAATGTTTTTTTATACAACTTAGAATGCCAAACAAGCTGACGGCCCACCTGATAGAAAGTGGTAACCGTCACCTATAGACATGAGCAGTACCATGGACATAATAGAGTATACTGTTTCGCCCATGATACCCTCCATGCGTTGCCATTCCTGAGGACTCAGATGTTATTCCTCTGTACCCTGTAAATTCACGCCATATCCCACCCTGCAAACTGAAACATAGTAATACAAACACAACGGCTTCACGGTTGAAACACGAATGGGACAAAGGTACCCAAGGAAACTCCTTTTGTACAGGGTCTTCCTCCGTATACTTGTTATTTTTTAATTGGTGATAATGGAATAGGTAACCCCACCCGCGCTATCGGTATACACCGGCGGTGCACCAATGATAGGTGAGGATGAAGCAGGTCAGTTAGCCCATTGAGACGAATCCAACAAGAATTGTTCACGATGGTTTCCAGAGGGAACCACGTGGAGGTCGACCTTATAGGGCATATTGCTAGCAATGGGGCTGTCAAACTCCATTGTTAACAATCCCTTTTCCACCCGGTATGCTTGTTTGCCATTATAGTAATATAAAAAAGCGTGTCCCCTGAAAACATTCCTCCTTTTTTGTAGTACCTAGTAAAAAGTACTTTCAGCCTTTGTTCTGTGGTATATATATATATATATATATATATAACAGGAAATTAACGAACTCAGTCTTAAGATGGGTATAAGATAACATTTTACCTTACACATACATATCTGTCACGCCTGTCTCCCATTAGGGTAGGCAGAAACAATGGAACGCCTAATGCTACGATTCAAACAAACCTCTTTAGCTTATATATTAAAAAAAATACATAAAAAATGATAACCTCGTTCATTTTTGGCCCGTTAATTAAATGTGTAGCAATTCTATCTCAAAACATTAAAATAATTATATAAAAGACGGATTCGATATTAAATTTCTACGGTTTTAAAATATAGTTGACAACTGATAAGAATGTGTGGAGACGTTATCTACTGAGAGGTACATTTGTATGTTGATTTGTATGACAAGGACTTGTAAGATATAGTAATATAATATTTAGGTCGTGTCTTTATGTATATTTTAGATTAATCAATTTGGACACCATCAAAGTAACTTTTTTTTAATGGGTGATAATAGAATGGTAACCCCGCTAACAGTATACCCTGGCGGGGCACCAGTGAGGAATGATAAGTAGTAATGAAAGCAGGTCAGTTAGCCCATCATAACGAATTCCATTAGAGTTAACCATGGTTTCCACGGGAAACCGCGTGGAGGTCGACCTGATAGGGTGTATTGCTGGCAATGGATCAGTTAGACCTCATTACTAACAATTCCTTTCCCCTCTCAAAGTAACTGTTAGAATCTGCAAACTTTTGTATTAGTTAGTTACTGTAAAATATTGGACGTACTTTTTTAGTCCATTAAAAAAACACAGAAATGCATTATTTTAGCATTTACAAATTTTAATCTCCGTGGACAAAGTCCCTAATGGAATTTCGTGTCACGATGTTATATATATAAACTGACGGCTCATCTGATGGAAAGTGGCAACCGTCGCCTATAGATATGTAAAATACCATAGACATAACAGGGTATAATGTGTCGCCAACGATACCCTTCATTTGTTACCATTCCCAAAGACTAAGGTGTTATACCTCTTGTAATGGCTTTAAAGAAGCCATATAATACATTTAAAAAAAAATTAAATTTGTCTTATCTTTATTTGAATATGTAAATAAATTTAAAAACACTAGTGGGTAACTATAGGAGTGATATCATTTTTGAGTACATCATCTAGCCTCTGTACCCAGTAATTTCATTGCCATATCCCACCTTTCAAACTGAAATATGTCATGCAAACAATTGCTTCGCAGCAGAAATACAAATAGGACAGAGGTAACCAAGCACATGACTGTACAAAGTCTTCCTCTGGTTAATGCCTTATGACACATTCTCCTTTTACAATCTTATACTTCTATCCATTGCCCAACAGTGAAATGTGGATTATGATTATGACCTTTCAACAACAATACTTTGTATTTTCAGATACCATCTGAGGACCTTCCATGACGTGGCCACCTCACACTACATACGTTCATCACAATTGTACCACTCGAATCCGTGCCGCGCCCCGGCGCTGATCCTCCTGTCCAAAAGTGACCCTGTCGGCGCTGAGAGGAGTAACCGCATCGTTCACGACGGCTGGGTCAAGTTGGGCGTCAAGGTTGGTGGAAACAGTACTGATCAAACATAAATTACAATAACATTACCATCGCTGTACATATTCAAAATGTGTAAATTTGTTCGAAAACACTAAACAAAAAAGAGAAAGATAAAAAGTGTTTGTTAAGGAGACAGGTTGACATAGAAACCACTTACTTCGACATAGATTTTTTTATACAACTTAGAATGGCAAACAAGCTGACGGGCCACCTGATGGAAAGTGGTAACCCTCGCCTATAGACATGAGCAGTACCATGGACATAACAGAGTTTACTGTTTCGCCCATGATACCCCCATGCGTTGCCATTCCTGAGGACTTGGATATTATTCCTCTGTACCCTGTAAATTCACGCCATATCCCACCCTTCAAACCGAAACACAGCTATGCAAACACAGCTGCTTTACGATTAAAACACGAATGGGACAGAGGTACTCAAGCAAACGACTTTTGTACAAAGTCTCCCTCCCCTCTCCCTCTATTGTAAAACATATTATATGTATAATCAATTATTTTTTTATTCTTTTAATTATTTATTAAAGCGTTCCCTTTGCACTCTAGCCTAGTATCTCATTATTTATTATTATTATAGCTTTTTATCCACTTCAGTGGTCCCCAAGGGTAAAAGCCTCCTCCATCTTTTTCCACTTCTCCTTATCTGTAGCAATATTTGTCCAGTTTTTTTCCTGCTGTCTTTATTATGTCATCTGCCCATCTCTTTCTTTGCCTTCCAACATTTCCTTTCATTTGTATTCAAACAAAATTAAAAAATAGTATCTCATAAAGGATACTAAAAACTGCAGCACTACGAGGTCTGTCCGGAAAGTTCGTATAAAAGTGTTCTGGAATGCGAGAAAGAGGAGTGGGGAGGCCAGGTAAGCGCAGGACCCCTTCCTTATGTCCCTAACAATGCTTCAGTTCTGGTCTGACCGCCGTGCGGTGCGAACTGGCTTGTCACGCCATCTGTGAAGTTACCTCTTAACGAAACCCCGTCGGCATGGAGCCCGCTTCCGTTGAAGAGCAGCGCGTCGTAATCAAGTTTCTCTCGAAACTCGGCAAGAATGGCCGTGAAAGCAAAGAGTGGAAGACATCCGGGGAACCACGAACAAAAAAATCAAGAAAATCCCGCTCAAATGTCAAGACAATGTTGATTGTTTTTTTCGATGTTCGGGGGATTGTCCATCAAGAATTCGTCCCTCCAGGCCAGACAGTTGATGGAAAATTCTACGTCGATGTGCTCAGACGCCTCAAAGCTCGTGTGGCACGAGTTCGTCCAGAATTGGCGCGAGAGGGGCGTTGGATTCTTCACCACGACAATGCCCCTGCCCACACCTCTCTTGTTGTCCGTGAGTTTTTGAGTAAAAATTCCATTACGGTGACCGAACACCCCCCCCTATTCGCCGGATTTGGCCCCGTGTGACTTCTTCTTGTTCCCAAAAACCAAATTGGTACTTCGGGGGCGGCATTTGGGGGACATAAATGAGATAAAAAAAGCTACGACGGGACAGCTGAGAAACCTACAACCAGAGGACTTTCAAGGAGCCTTCTCACAGTGGAAACGGCGTTGGCACAAATGCATTATGTCACAGGGGGAGTACTTTGAAGGGGATAAAATTGATTTACCTGAATAATTGTAAAATAAAATTTTTAAAAAACTTTTATACGTACTTTCCGGACAAACCTCGTATATTAGTGCCAAGTACATACCTGTGGTGTGAAAGAAAAATGGAGTCGTTGCAATAAAACAAAACATTTATTGCTTAACTGTTTTATAAAGGGTGTCGAGTCAGTAACACAACCGCATCGCCGTAGCCGCGACAGTGGATTTAATTTTAGAATTTTAATGTTGCAAATACGGCGACAACGGAGTGCAGAGGGTTGAAATATAATTTCCCGCAACAACCGTGTTGTCAAAGAATTTTTTTTTTTACAACACGGTGCAAACAAGCCTGCGGCTCATCTGATGGTAAGTAACTACCGCCGTCCATGGTCACCCATAACACCAACGGCATTGCAGGTGTGCTGCCGGCCTTTTAAAACGGAATATACTCTTTTCTTGAAGGTTATGTTGTCGTATCGGTTACATATACGAAATTAGTGTTGTATAGACGATTAAAACATTTTTTCCTTCCCCAGTGTACGTGGAAGTGCTGGGACCGTTCTCCCCACGTGCAGCATTACACGTACCACAAGGAGGAGTACGTGGCCGCACTGTACGACCATCTCGAGATGTGCAACGTGCTGCCGCAGTCGGATAAGGCGCGCCTCCAGTTATAACTAATATCCGAGAAACGCACGGATTCTACGGAAGCGTCTAAGCTCAAACCGAACTCGAATCAATAACAAAGCCACAGACGCAACTAGTAAGAAAGAGTAATTATTGATATATAAAAAAAAAAACATGTATTTAATAGAATATATTGAGTGGCTATTATTACTATTCAAGCGGTCGTTTTTTTTATTTTATTTTTTTTTACAAGTATCAAGCGATACTTGTGCTGAATTTACTTGATCGAAATTCGATACTTTTACGCACATAACGCTCAGTACGACGTATTTTCGGAACTGCGTAATCACGTCGAATTTCGATCGCGTAATTTTAGTGAATGTGTCGCTACAGTAAATGTACGTTTATAATGCAATTTCGCCATATCCTAATTAAATTTTGTCGACTGTCTTTCATAATATTTTATAAAAAAAACATTGAAATCTCTAGTCGATAGTTATCCTGAAATTGTTGTGAAAGAAATAGTCTATTGTTATTTGACAATTAAAAAAAAATTAAATTGTTGTTACTATGTCCACTACAGACATAATTTGAAAATGTCTTATGCATGGACAAAATTTTTCTTGTCCATGCTCTTATGTAAAATATTAATAAAAAAAATTACAAAATTAGCAAGATACCGCGACTTGCGTTTTTTTTTTTTTTTATTGAGATAATCCTCATAAATATTATGTTTTTGTATTTACTTTGTACTCATAATGTAAAAAATATGTGATAATTTGCTATAAAATTAACATGCAGATGTGTAGACACGATATTTTGTTCATTCGTGATCGAAGAACAAAATATTTTTGTCCAATAAGTTTTAAACCCGCCAAGGGGTAATAAATAAGTGCAGTTACTAGAATATTATATTATGAATAATGGTATATGCGGTCGAAACATTAAATAAATATAAGTAACATAAGTCAGTAAAAATGGCTCTACATGCGATAGACTTTCGTCTCATTTTACAAATATGGTGTACTGATTTTTTTTTGTTTGGTAGTCAAATGTTAAAAAATGTTAACCTTTAATTGTGGGGGAGGTTTACAATTTGAGTGTAATTTTTTTTTTTTTTTTTATAAGGTATACTAAATATTCGCCAGTTGTGAATAGATTTTGTTAATTTTTAGAGGTTTTATATATATATATATATATATATATATATATATATATATATATATATTCATTACAAAAACAATAAAACTTTGGTTACATAGATGAAATACTCTGTGTACCACATTTTTTTTTCTTATTTATTGTTATAACTCCGTATGCCAATACTCATTGCCTTATGCATTTTTGAAGTACCTATTTTTTACTACATCGACTAATATTTTTACGCCAATATATTATTTTAACGTCGTTTAAATGTTGTTATGAATTTAAAAGCGTTGTATACACGCATTGCATGTGTAGCAATATATATAAATGTTCGTTATGTATCTTTTTTTAATTTTTTTTTAAATACATATACATTAGAACATTACAGGTTATCCCATGACGCTGAAGTGTAAATCACTAATTACATACATGTTTTATAATAACTAATGTCTTATATATTGTTTGTATTAGTTATCACCGGTCATAATGGGCGGAACCAAGTTTTTAATGTACATTTTTTAAACATAGGATTGTATGCACGTAGTTACTTTTGATAAATAAACGTCTTTTATAAATTTGCCTTTTTATTTATTTAACTCTCTTCTACGCAATCAAATATAAGTAACATTCTTTATATTTTATTTATTCTACTCAGCTTAGTAAAAAAAATAAGTAAAATTATTTTCCAAGTGGTAAGTATTTTTATACTCCTTTTTTTCCCTAAAAGCAAACTTTTCCCAATAATTTTTTTTTATTGAAATTGGTTCAAATGAGTTGCTTATATAGAGCATTCACTGTATTACTCAAAATTACGCCATCTCAGTTCGATACGTTTACGCAAACAACGCTTTTTTACTTTGAATACGTTATTTCGGTAGTGTGTTGCTACACTAAAAACCATTGTATGCGTAAACAAGACGAATTTCGATAGCGTAATTTAGTATTGTGAGTTAAAATTTCTGTAAAATTTCATTATTTGACAACGGTGCACGTCGTGTTATCCCCCATTTTTTTTTGCCGTTTTTAATTTTCTTTTTTGGAATTAAAATATAATTTTTATCTGTTCGGAATCACCACTGCTGCGAGTTGGTTTCATACTTTGATTGTGCGTGGAAGCAAACTCCTGCAGAAACGCACGATGGAGGACCGCCACTCATCCGTATGGTCGGGATGAAACTTTAGCTTTAATTCGAACAATTCCTCTGGACACTCCGTATGATATATCGTCATAGTCGTAGAATACTGACGGATCTTTATATGTAATCTTTGTCAAATCCGTCAGTATTCTACGACTATGACGATATGCGATCAAGGACGCAAAGAGACGCAAAGTCTTTACGCAATACCTGGGGATGGAATTGATTTTTATTTCATCCTGTACAATTAATTCTTTCAAGCGGTTTGCATTCGATAGCTTTCGTCGAGAAGTCTTACGACACCCCATTCTATATTAAAATCAAATTGCACTAAAAAGCGTTATCTGTCCTTTGCTAAGCATAGACCTCCCCATAGACTGCCATAAGAAACGGTCCTGGGTCACCTGCGTCCACTGACTACCTACTATATATTATAGGTCGTCACTCCGTCTACTAGGGAGTCGTCCTACATTGCATTTGCGCATACGTGGTCGCCACTCAAAAACCTTATCGGTTGTCGATTCTTCGAGCTATGTGACTAGGCCATTGCCACTTCAGCTTGCTTATCCTTCGGATTTTGTCGGTTATTTTGTTTCCTTCGCGGATATTCTCATTTCTCTTCTCTATTTTATTTTATGATGATGATGATGACGAACTTATATGCATGATCAGTTTTTATGAGTAGTTTCAATATTTGCTTACTGTAATAATATGTCAATAACTAGTTGAATCTCGTGGCTTTTCCCATGATCATATCGTGATGGTTGATAATATATAGCAAAGTTCATATGTATTAAAGTATCTTTTTTTTTTTTAATGGGTGATAATGAAATAACTATTCCGCATGCGCTGTCGGTATACACTGGCGAAGCACCAGTGATAGATGATATCGTCATCGTGACGAATTCTACGATAAATTAATCACGATAGTTTCCAAGGGGAACCGCGTGGAAGTGGACCTGATAGAGTTTATTGATAACAATGGGGACTAACCTCCTCATTACTGGGGGAAAGGGATTGTTAGCAATGGACTTTAACAGCGCCATTGCTAGCAATATACCCTATTAGGTCGACTTTCACGTAGTTCCCCCTGGAAACCATCGTGAACAATTCTTGTTGGATTCGTCACGATGGGCTAACTGACCTCCTTCATCCTCACCTATCATCCTTCACTGGTGCCCCGCCGGTGTATACCGATAGAGCGGATGGGGTTACCATTCCATTATCACCCATTAAAAAAAACCTCATTACTAACAATATCTTCCACCAGTAGTTGCAGAGATTAGCGCGTTCAAACAAACAAACTCTTCCGTTTTGTTACATTTATTTTGATATACCATTATAATTTAAAAGGACGAGAATCTAGGACTTTAGCTCAAATGATAACAGCACTAATTTCGGCGTACTTGATACGACTTCAAACCCTACTCACCCCAATTTTTCTTTTCTATCGCATAAAAAATATTAGAATAAAATATGGTTTTTATTCGAATAATTTATTTTTATAACAATTAGCAATTGATAAACTACTAAGCTAACTTTAATCGAAACAAAATTATCCTTCTGTTTTCCCTCCAACTTTGTACGTGACAGCTGTCCCTGTTTTAATTCAATGCATGGAACGGACCTACGTTCAATACTCGTGTTCCCCAGTTCATATTTATTACCTACGCGCGCTACAATGGCCAAACGATACACACTACTGTATCGTTCACATTTCACTATTCATTTTAGTCTCTAGATATGTAGTTAATTTATGAATCAAACGAACCGTTTTATTCGTGCATTTAACAGTGTAGTTGACCTGTTTTTATTACGTAAATTACATTTAAAATGTACATAAACTAGCATTGTTTAATTCTGTTCCTGATTGTGCGTAGTGTTATTGTGTATTTCATGAATAATAGACATTGCTTACCTGGTTGGTCCCTCGTAAGACTTGACAGTTTGGTAAAACCGGCGTTGAAATAGGAATATATGTGGTGAGTTGTGCTATATAATATTTTACTCTACTTATTTTTTTCTTTATTGACATATTAAAAAAAAAATTTTTATACCAAGGCGGACTCACTATATACATATTATGTATGTTTTAATGTTGATTATTTTGTCACATATAGGTATTCGATTTTCTGTTGATTCGTTAGTAGAGTTATCTCTGTCGAACTGAATGATAACACCAGCGTACACACATACATTTATATATATATATATATATATATATATATATATATATATATATATATATATATATATATATATATATATTAGCTTTTGCCCGCTATTTCGTAAATACATGTAGATTTCAAAAATAAAAAAAAAACAAATAAAGCACTTCTTTCACCAGATTTTAAATTAGATCTTCAGGAACACAGCTATAAATGCTGTATTCAAGTTATTTATTTATTTAAAAAACTGTGTAAAAACAATTTCGAGCAGTAGTTTTTACGCGATGCCTAACCAAACAGACATTGTCAGAACAATTTTTGGCTTCTACTGCTCTTATTAAGACCCCTTATTAAAGTTTTTTTATATATCTCCCATGTACAGACATAGTTCAGTTACAATTTAATAATATCAGTATGATAACACTATAAGGATATATATATATATATATATATATATATATATATATATATATATATATATATATATATATATATATATGTGTGTGTGTGCAATATAACTACTAACCGGTATGACACTATCTTTTAAATTATATTTTTACTTTTAACAGTAGGTATATAAATAATTTAAATTAAATTATTAACATTCTAATACGTTCAAATTTAACTCACTCGTATTTTAGTTTTAGGTCACAACAAACATGGCCGCATTACGAACTATGGTGGCGTATGCAAACAATGCAACAAGAAATCATAATGTAAGTACAATGTATTTGAATACACTTTGTAAGAAATTTCAAAAATTCGCCTATATTTTTTTATGTATATTATGTTATAGATTTAACATTTAGATTTTTGTATTTCGTGGTCTATGGTTTATAAGAGACAGGAACATACATATTATGCTATATCCATCTGGATATAACTAATTTTTTTTTAGTACATTTGTTCCGTTGTGGAACAGGCTAAGGTCGGAGACCATGCTGCCTAGTCTTCAATAAAGGATATAATTAATATATTTCTAAAAAACTCTTTTTTTAAATCGTAAGTTTTTTTTATTTTAATTTATGATAAAGGAATGGTAACCCTGCCTGCGCTAACGGTATTCGCCGGCAGAGCACCAGTGAGAGATGATAGGTGAGGATGTAAAGGCAGGTCAGTCAGTCCATCGTGATGAATACACCAGGAATCCAGCACGATGGTTTCCAAGAAGAAACACGTGGACATGGACCTGACAGGGTATATTGCTAGCAATGGGACTAGTAGTCCGCATAACTAACAATACCTTCCTTCTAGTGTTTAATTACGAATAATTTAAAGTGGATCTTGGATCATGCTGATTAGACGCCACTCACGAAGTCACTACGTCTGCTCAATGAGGTAGATGCTAGTTCACAACTAGACTTATTTATCTGTACTGCCACATGCGCTACTATATTACGCGGAGTTTCATCTCTAATGTTTGTTTTTATAATATAATAAAAAAAAATTACTGTATTATTTACAAATAATACATTATTATAATGTTTTATTTTTGGTTTTTAGTGAGTGCATTGGTAAATTTATAAAGCTCGTTAAAAAAAAAAAAATATATATATATATATATATATATATATATATATATATATATATATATATATATATATATATATATATAATCTTTTTTTGATATGAATATATAATAGAATGTTTATACCTCAACTGTCCGACAGGTTTTATTATCATGGATGTCGCTGGTAGCTGTACAGTCGACCAGAGAAGCGCATACTCAACACCTCACCAAGAATATTCAGTACATAAGCAATGAGAAGACGAAACTCATCGTGGACCCTAAAACTATGAAGTAAGGTTTCTTTTTTAATGGTTGAAAATGCAGAGTATTGATGATCCTATCATTTCCCACTGATACCAGGGAATTGAGATAAAAATGGCGATATGGCCATAAAAATGGCAAATGTCTGAGAAAAAGAAGAAGATATAGTTTTTCTTTTTTCTTTCATCTGTATGTCAGAGTAACTTGAATAACACAAAATGACCTAATAAAATATATATTTTTCATCTACATGTTTGTATTCAGATTAAACAAAGAAACGAATAAACCACTATGCGTCATCATGAATTGGATGCTGCAGCGTCCGAACCACGTGACGAAGTACGCCAGGCTGTACCTGGAGCAGGGTTTCGACGTGGTCTCCGTATCCTGCACACCGTGGCAACTCACTTGGCCGCTCAAGGGCTCACAGGTTGGTTCACAAATATTGATCACAAATAAAAAAAAAGTTTTTCAAGAACATTGCACGCTTAATTCTGCATATAAATATTTGTGACATAGACATATTGTAGTCCTTTACACTTGAAATCTTTAAATCGAAATAATACAAAAACTGAGTAATCAGGGCGTAGTCTCCATCATTAAATTGTAGATGCCCAATGTACTACATAGTCTGTGACATAATGGCGATCCAAGCAGTTTAAGTTATTATGAATCTTAACTAATTATGTGGAATACATAATTAAAATATTTTATATTTAATTAAAATAATATAGTCACTAAACAGACCTTGCAATAGCTTAATAAAATAGCTGTTTATAGTTAATAATTAGAACCAATTTATTGATTTCAGTAATTATAAACCATTCAAAATAACAAAATACTAATTTTTTTTTATACAATTTAGAATGGCAAACAAGCTGACGGTCCATCTGATGGAAAGTGATAACCTTCGCCTATAGACATGAGCATAACAGAGTATACTGTTTCGCCCATGATACCCCCATGTGTTGTCATTCCTGAAGACTCAGGTGTTATTTCTCTGTACCCAGTAAATTCATGCCATATCCCACCTTTCAAACTGAAGCATGCAAACACAACGGCTTCACGGTTGAAACACGAATGGGACAGAGCTTGGGTACCCAAGCAATCGACTTTTGTACAAAGTCTCCTTCTGGTAAGACGTAAAGCTTTGAAAGAAGTTAAGCTATATCGGAATTTACATCGGAAATAAAGTGATATATTCAAAAAATATTCGTCTGCTGCCGCATCTTTGCTGCTCATCCATTTAGTGAAAGCTTCACTTAGTTTTTTTTTTTTTTTTATTTTCACAAAACATTTCAGCTAATTGCTGCTGATCTCATAAAGTTTATATCTGAAAATGGCCACAAACCGCTGGTGGTGCACGGGTTCTCGGTCGGCGCTTATGTGTGGAGCGAGGGTCTGGTTTACGCGATGAAGAATAAAGAAAAGTAAGGTCTCGTTTTTACAAAAGTATTTTTTTTATTTGCAGTTGTTTCTCTCTCTCGTGTTGAATCAATTTTTTGACAAATTAGTTTATTTTTCGTGGAACACGTTAGTAATTTATAACACGGGTATGTCCAGCTTTCAAATTGCAAAATTTGATCGTTTTCGGCCCACTTTTCAAAAGGATTTAGATTTTTTTATTAAGATAAAAATGGAACGGAAACTCCACCTGCGCTATCAGTCTAGAATTATCCACTATGTTTTCCAGGAGGGACTGAGGTATATAGAGATAATATTTCAATACTTCTGCCCAGGTACATGCCCGTTCTAGACCGAGTGGCTGCGCAGATCTGGGACTCGGCTGCTGATGTCACAGAGATACCCTACGGTTTCCCGGCCGCGGTGTTTCCCAACAATAAATTCATGCAAAACGCCATGAGAGTTTATATTGAGTAAGTTAAATCGAATTTTATTTAATATATCTACATGATTCAACTGTAAACGCTGTGTGCGACTAAAGTTTTGTTAAATCGAATTGCGCGCCCCAGAATTATAAAATTGCTATTCAAATGTAAAATTATTTACTTATTACTTTTACTCTTTACTGAACAATAAATCTTTTAATTGTTAACTACATGTTAATACATACCCCTGAGAAATCATTAACCTTGAGATTTATCATTGGTCCTTCGAGCCGGATTGGAATTTCAACCTTCACGTTCATAATTTTGTTTATTTTTTTTCTGTATTAGTCTAATGGGGAAAAAAAGTTATTTATTACGTATTACCACTTCCATTTTATATTTTACAAAATAACAATATAATATGCATGTTACGAACAAATGATGTCTTTTTAAAGTTGTATACATCATAGTGGTGTTAAGTCACCTTTTTACACTGTCTATATGTATTTAAAGAACAATAAACAAATGTATTACCTAGGATTTCACCTTGGTATCCTCGGAGTGCAGCCAAGCGTTCTCTGGTTAGGCTGTCACTATTAACAAGTAATAAACAAATAATTTGAAACCATAATGCTTACAGATACCATCTGAAGAAATTCCACGACGCAGCGACAATGCACTATAATAACGGTTCGAGCGCATTCATATCAAGCGCGTGTCGTGCGCCTGCGCTCTTCCTTCTCTCAAAGACCGACCCGGTCGGTGCTGAGAGGAGCAACCGTAATGTGTACCAGTCTTGGCTCAATTTGGGTATCAAGGTTCGTTATTTGGCCATAGATAAAGTTAAAAAGTAGTGGGTACTATTCATATATTTGTATTTACTAAATGTTTGGAACACAGAGTACATGTTTGTGGGGGCAGGATGAGTTTTTTGTTAAAGTTGATGAAAAAGTATAGGTAACCTCCTTTCGCTACCAGCATACAATGATTTCCAGGCTGTCTACGCGGCACCACGAGTATCGTGCAAGTGTCGACTTGACATTGAGTTCCATTGCTAGCAATATGGGTATATTGCTAGCAATGGAACTGATAGTCCCTATTACTAACAATTCCTCCCCTCCGCGAGTGTTGATAATGAGGACTAGTGCCTCCATTACAATATACCCTATCAGGTCGTCCTCCACGTGGTCTCTCCTGGAAAGCATAGTGCTGAATTCCAGGTATAATAATCATGATGAGCTAACCGACTTGTTTGGGGGAAACGGATTGTTAGTAATGGAAACTGAGAATCCCATTGCTAGCAATATACCCAACCAGGTCGACCTCCTCGCGGTTCCCCCTGGAAACTATCATGGTTAATTCCTGATTAATTCATCATGATGGGCTAACTGGCCTGTTTTCATTCTCTTCGATCACCCTTCACAGGTGCTCCGCCAGCGTATCCCGTTAGCGCAGGCGGGGTTACCATTTCATTTTCACCAATCAAAAACAAAACCGACTCGTTTTTTTAATCTCACCTGTTATCCCTCACTGGTGCCCCACCAGCGTATACCATCAGCGCAGGCGGGGTTACCATTCCATGATCATTCTTTAATAAAAAAACATCCTCCCCCGTTCGGATCAGTTCATTTAACAAGTTGCATTCAAAAATCTTTTCCATTCTCAGTGTACGTGGAAGTGCTGGGACCGTTCTCCCCACGTGCAACATTACACGTACCACAAGGAGGAGTACCTGGCCGCTCTCTTCGACCATCTCGAGATGTGCAACGTGCTGCCGCAGTCGGCTAAGGCTCGCGTTCGGTTATAGACGAGCCGCGACGTATCTGGTTAATCTGCGTTTAAACGCCAGTATTTCCAAACAAGGATAACATTTTACAGATGACATGTAAAATACCCTTATTGTAAATGTATATATTAATGTAAAAAGTATTTTTCTGTACAACATAAAAGAGGAAGTACAGTTAGAAATAAACTCTGCAACTATTTTATAAATGTCAATTAGGAGGTACTGGTAGTTAAATGTCGTAATGAAGTGTCCCAATTTACAGAAACGATTCAAGTGGAAGAAATAAAAAATAAAAAAAAAAACTACAAAATTCCCGTGTTTATATTTGAAAAAATAAAAACAGGGTGTTACACCTCTATAATTAACAATTGTAATCTATATAAAATGTATTTTTTATGTAAATTTTTATGTTTTCGGTGCAATAAACGGTTGTTTTCGGTTAAATAAATAAATAAATAAATGACCCATAGAGAAAGTAATTACTACGTTATATATTAACCAATTTTTTTGCCAAGTAACACTTTCATTTTTTTAATGTGTCCAAAAAAAAAGAAATTCACACACTGTTTTTAGGCCCACAGCACTTTTATATACTGTTATATTTTGTACTTATAATGTAAATCTTTTTACTTCGAATTACAAAAACAATCAAAAATATGTTTTTTTTTTTTTTAATTTTTCCGAAAAATAATGTATCGCTATCGGTTCCTGTGCCGCCTCTGTAGAAATATTTAGAAACTAAAATTAATTTTAATCATAGACGTAGTACGTACTATAATCACAGTATAAATAAAAAAAAATATGCCTAAATATAATCATAGAAAATTATATGTAACAAGAAATGAGTAAAATGATGACATGTTTTTTTTTATGGGTGAAAATGAAATGGTAACCCCGCCTACGGTAACGGGATGCGCTGGCGGAACACCAGTAAAGGGTGACTGATGCCAATAAAAACAGGCCAGTTAGCCTATCATGATGAATTCATCAAGAATTAACCATGATAGTTTCCAGAGGGGACCACGAGGAGGTCGACCTGGTTGGGTATATTGTTAGCAATGGGATTTTTAGTCTCCATTACTAACAATTCCTTTCCCCCCTAAATGATGACATGTTCAAAATTATGAAATTAAATTTGTTAATTTTGAATCAAACATGCAATAATGTTTTAATCCCAAAAAAAATAAAGATCAGTCGTGTTCATGACCCGTATCCGACCTAAAGGTCCCCATTCCTAAATTATAAAGTGTTAGTACGTTATTCTAAGTCTGTGAGTAGAAAGTAATCATACTTCATACTGCCACACTACCAGCTCAACACAATCACAAAAAGAGACAATAAAATTGTAACACTATACTGCGCGATTTTAGTAGGTTCAGAAATTTATTTGTATTAAATTAGATACTTTCTTTTACCAAGTCTTGTACAAAATATTTCTAATTGTTCTAGAATATTGCGTTTAAAATTATACGTATTTACAGCGTAATTACTGGAAAATGTGCAATTTCATAGTTTATTTTCCTGATTTATGTTATATTTAGGTACAGCACAGTTAATTTTAACAAACTACGTTCATTTAAAATTAGTTCCACTTTGAAACGTAAAAATAATTAAAATTATATTTTTTCGTACTCTCACCAAAACAGCTTCGAGCACATATTGTTCTATTTTCTATCTCGTCTAACATATAGGTTATTATATTTTCTCTCTTTGACATTTCCAATTTATATACATTTTTTATTTCTTTTGTGGCATGCATCTCTATATTAGAGTAGTTATGCTACTACTCAAGCTTTCCTGGGTAAGCGTATTGGAAGACTGTAAGGCTCACCCAGAGGATGTAATAAATAAATAAATATTTAGAAGAAACAACTACTGCAACTATAAACGTATTCATATATATATATATATATATATATATATATATATATATATATATATATATATATAACAGGATAATTGAAACTAAAGTAAAAATAGAAGTTAGAAATAGAATTTATATACTTCATAATCTAAGCTTAAATCTGCTACCAAAGATTATGGATAGTGCTTTTTTTATGTCTGACAATTTATGTCGATTGTCGATGAACGTCACTTCAAACAAAAACAAATTTATGTAAACTGAATTCATGGATTTGAATTAAAGATTTTTCTATGTAAAGCAAATCTTTTATGGTACCTATCAATACCAAAATTTTAAATAAAAGTAAATTTTGTGTAAACAGTTTACAAGATTATTAATATAGATTTTTTTTTATTTAGTTCATTGCGTTTATACAAGTTGTTGCATAGTTTCTTCTCATTTCGTTCTTATACGAACAGTGCTGAGTCTAAAGTGTGTCATTTACTTTATATTTTTATCAATTTTCATAATAAATTAAATTTTATATATTTAAGAAATTTTACGTAGCATTTCCTTAAAGTGAATATTTTCATTGCATTGTACGTAAAAGTATTAAAAAAAGTTAAAAATATATATTTAGTCACATTTTTTCCTTTCCAGTTTGTTTACATGATATAGGTTATTTTGTCACGTTTTTTATAATTATAATAATTATAAATGGCTCCAGACAGTATGGAAGTGGAAGCCAACGACAATACGAAATATAAAGATGGTGTAAACCAAAATGCCAGACTGATCGTGAGGAATATATCTTTCAAAGCCACTGAAGATTTGTTGAAGGAACATTTCTCTCAGTATGGCACAGTGGAGGAGGTGAAACTCTTGAGGAAACCAGATGGCAGACTGGTCGGATGTGGTTTCGTACATTACACACATGTACCCATGGCTAATAAAGCCATCGCTGCCACTAACAAGAAGCCATTTTTAGGTAATTATTTTTAACTTGTTTTGTATGATTGGGATATAAATTGTCTGAAATAAAATACAGCCTATGTTATTCGCCATCCCAAATACTTTGCCAAAGTTAATAAACTTAGTATAATTCTTTTTTTGTGGGCGGCCAAGAGCTGACTTTCACAATAATAATATATGCTAATCAATCAATCAATCAATCATCTTTATTCATATACATCTGTTACAGATACTTATGATACGTCAATCTATAATTATAATAATTACTATAGAAAATAATATTGATTTAAGAAAAAATACAATAATTACATTTACAATACAATTCACATTAATACAAAATTCAAATCCATGCAGTTTTGTCATTTAAATAGTCATACTAGCAAAGATGTAATAGGATTTCCAAAAGAAAATAGAACATCCTTTAGAAAAGTTTATATTATTTAATATCTATATTATGAAAAGAATCTATGATCAGTTTAGACACTGGTATAAACTTCCTATAGATTCCTCAGTGAGGTATTGAAGGCAAATTGGAAAAATGTATAAAACTAAGGTAATTAATTGTACACTAATTATGTCCAATTTATACATTTTACAATTATATGTTATAGTTATTATTTATTTATTGTTTTCTTTTTCATTTAAAATTTGTGTAGAAAAATACATACCTATGTATATTGATTATTGCAGATCGTCCCATAAATGTGTCATGGGCAGTTGCAAAGCACAAGTATACAAGCCAAGCGAATGAAAAGGAACAAAGGAAATTATTCAACAGCTCATCATCAGAAGATGTAAAACCTATTGTGAAGAGTAGGTGTTGCTTTAAAACTTTTATTTAATATATATTTAAATTAACTTTATAAAAGAAATTTTCTACTTCTCTACTCATGCAAAGCTGGAGTGAGTCATTAGTAAAATGTATTAATTAATATACAAATTGTATAGACAGTTTGACCAAAATGAAACCAGCTGATTCAGATGAATGGTCTAAAGCAAATGGCAAATTATTATCTTACCTGAAATTCACCTTAGCCATATAAATAAAGATTCTTAGTTTTTACACTGCACAATGTATTTTAAGTTTTACAATGTACAGACAGGTGATATCTGCACCGCACAGTCAATGGTGCTTCTTCGTAGGTAGTTTCGTATACTTGTGGCATTGATCTCACACATCTGATTGGGCATGTCGTGATAGGATTTTAACATGTATTGCTGTTTTTTTATATTTCATAGTATTTCACTAGATGCATGATTTAAAATTTAAAAAAAAAGGAAATAAAGAAAGAATTTCCTCCAGTTTTCAGTTCAGAATAGTGGTCTGAATTCTCAGTTTCAATTTTTTGCCAACCTGTCCCTTACACTCTGTATATAACTATAGTCTGTTTTAAAAGAAATTAAGTAATGCAAATATAAACAAATAATTGATAGATATCTGCCGCTACAGATATTCAATAGCAGTACAAATCACTTTCAGTTGGTTAGTAATTTCATTTAGGGAATTTCAAACTATCTCTGTTACCTTTTTAATTGAATTAAAAAAGAACTCCTTTTTCTCCCTTCTTGTACTCAATTCAGTTGTATTTTTATTATATGTTTGTTACCTCATAACTATCTGTCGACCAGCTGTCAAAGATTATTTATTGACACTAACCTCATGTATTTACTTCCTATGGATTTATCCAAGCAATCATCAGTGACACATAACTTATAAGTGGTTGTTGGATAAAAAGAAGGGTAAAGGACAAACCTGGTTCACGTAGTCCCCGCGTGTAAGTCTTTGGTACACATACTCGTTCTCTCTTCTAAATATCTAACATTTTTGTTGATTTTGCTTAAGTACCACTGTATGTTGCGCGGAGATCGCGGCTGATTGATTAATTCGCAATTGGTGGAGATTTTTTGTGATCTTGGCGGAACTTGATCAGCTCGACACGCAGTTGGATTATAGTGTAATTTTGTCCATCTACCCCCCAATGTGATCCCAGATTTGATAGGAAATATGGATAGGCATGGAGGGTAGAAGGATATTGCGTTCGGAAATGTTTAAAGCATATACAAATGATGAGATTATATTTACCAGTGGTAGTGATCCTTTAGCAGTCGGATGAAATTAGTAGTCAAATAAATAAAATTATCAGTCAAATGATTTGAAAATAATTCGAATGAATTATTCAGTTGATAATTAGTAGTTGTGTTAATAAATTCGCGCATCACTACTATTTCACATAAAATTAAACTGAGCACTACATCAAACTGTGATTTTTGCACTGCAGAAAATGCAGATTTACCACCTATAGTTATGGAACGCCCTGCCTTTGCTTTACAAAGACTTGTTCTGCTAGATGGCTTAATAAGTTTATATAAAATTAAAGAGATACCCCGCCTCCTGCCATCTATCCTTCAAAACACTGATAAATATTCAATTATCTATGAATTTATCCTTCACACTATTAAAACACTATAATTACATTAAGATGGATTAAATTTGTATACATTTTTCAATAAAAACATTCCCTGAAATGAAACTAATAGAAATTAAAAATGGGATAAAAGGATACATCCAAAGCCATAAATATATCACAAAAAAAAAAACCACTTTTCCTTGGTTATATACTCTTTACCAATTTAGCTGATGGCTTTCTCCAAAGTCACAATAAATAAAAAAAAAAAACTTTGCCAAACACCATTCCTCGCTAGATCTTTGTACCTGGTAGTAGAGTCTCATGTATAAATGATTATTCGTATATTATACATGTATGATCTTTTCCTTCTTCATATTTTGTTGATCTGACTGAGGGCATATATGTTTGCAGAGGAAGTACCGGAAAGTACACAACTATCAAAAGAAAAAAACAAAATGAGGCTCAACAACAATGCTCGCCTCATTGTTCGCAATGTGTCTTTCAAAGCCACAGAAGAATTGTTGCGAGAACATTTTGATCCTTACGGAACGCTGATAGAGGTGAAATTGCTGAAGAAACCTGACGGGAAACTGGTCGGCTGTGCTTTTGTACATTTCAAGAATGTGCCAATGGCAAAGAAGGCACTGTTGAGTACAAATATGAAACCATTTTTAGGTAAGTTATTTTTACTTTAACTTGTGTAACTATTTTTATTAAATGTGAACATTTTTATCCCTTTCATCATCATCATAACAGCCATTAACTGTCCATTGCTGAATATAGATCTCCTCCTATTAGGTTTTGCCAGTAGTTGCTGTCAGGTGGGTTTTTAATGGAATGATAACTCCACCTGCACTATCGGTATACACTGGCAGAGTACCAATGAGGGATGACTGGTGAGGATGAAAAGGCAGATTAGTTAGCCCATTGTGACAAATTCAACGATAATTTTGTCATGATGGTTTCCAGGGGGAACCGCGTGGAAAAGTCGATTGCTTAGGTATCTCTGTCCCATTCGTGTTTCTACCGTGAAGCAGTTGTGTTTGCATGACTGAATTTCGGTTTAAAGTATGGGATATGGCATGAATTTACAGGATACAGAGGAATAACACCTGAGTCCTCAGGAATGGCAACGCATGGGGGGTATCATTGGTGAAACAGTATACTCTGTTATGTCCATGGTACTGCTCATGTCTATAAGCGACGGTTACCACTTTCCATCAGGTGGGCCGTTAGCTTGTTTGTCATTCTAAGTTGTATAAAAAAAAACCGCGTGGAGGTCGACCTGATGGGGTATATTGGTAGCAATGGGAACTAATTTTACCATTATTGACAATCCTTTTTCCCCTTGTCAGGTGGATTGGTAACTGCAGTTAGGCTTATCTAAATGCAGTTGCCAGAATAGATAGTATGTAATTAGCGTTATCTGTGATAGTTTTCAGAGGAAACTGTGTGGAGGTCAACCTGATAGGGTATATTGCTAGCAATGGAACCATATAACCTTATTACTAAAAATATCTTCTTCCTTTCTTTACATTTAGGTCGACCCATCTCCGTGGACTGGGCTGTAGCTAAAGACAAGTACATGCAGCACATAGTGAACCAGCAGCTCGAGATGCAGGATGATGTGAAGAAAGAGGAATCAGACTCGGATGACGATGGTGGACCACCACTGAGTCTGTCTAATGATGATTTGAAGCAAGAAATCAAAAGTGAGATCTGTTTTTAGTACATATTAAATATGTTATATATACCAGAGGGGAAACTTTGTTTAAAAGTCGTTTGCTTGGGCACCTTTGTCCTATTTGTGTTTTTACCGTGAAGCAGCCATGTTTCGGTTTGAAGGGTGGGATATGGCATGAATTTACAGGGTACAGAGGAATAACACCTGAGTCCTCAGGAATGGCAACGCATGGGGGGTATCATGGGCGAAACAGTATACTCTGTTATGTCCATGGTACTGCTCATGTCTATAGGTGACAGTTACTACTTTCAATCGTACTTTCAAGGTGGACCGTCATTTTGTTTGCCATTCTAAGTTGCGTAAAAAACACTCCTTAAAAAAATTTTACTCCTATTGTTCAACCATGATTTTTGGATGTATATCAATTGTAAACTGTATTAGTAAAAATTGAATCGTTGGCATTAATATAAGGTAGTGGTTGTCTATTGGTGAAATGGATTTTTTTTTTCCCAAGTAAATATAGATCGAATTACTATTAAGTAATAAAATCAGATTTGTCTTTTTATAGGCGAGACAGAGGAAGATTCTGATGGAGATGATAAAAGTTCAGATGATGGTAACGAATCGAATGATGATGAATCGGATGCAAGTGACGCCAGTGATGACGAGGATGATGATGATGATGATAAAGAAATAGACCAAGATGATGGTCAAGATATGGATGATCAACAAAGTGAAACTAGTATGGAACCAGTTAAGAAACGGTTTGTATCACATATTTTCTTTTTACAGTCTATGTTGTGGACTGCTGAAACTGCTGGACTGAAAATACTTAATTTTCACTAACTATAAAAACGCTGCTTGTTCATCCATTTAATCATCCGAAATATTTTTTTTTTTTATACAACTTAGAATGGCAAACAAGCTGACGGCCCACCTGATGGAAAGTGGTAACCGTCGCCTATAAACATGAGCAGTACCATGGACATAACAGAGTGTACTGTTTCGCCCATGATACCCCCCATGCGTTACCATTCCTGAGGACTCAGGTGTTATTCCTCTGTACCCTGTAAATTCACGCCATATCCCACCCTTCAAACCGAAACACAGCCATGCAAACACAACTGCTTCGCGGTAGAAACACGAATGGGACAGAGGTACCCAAGTAATCGATTTTTGTACAAAGTCTCCCTCTGGTAAATTTTGTAACCATAATGTTATAGCACAAAGTTGAACGACGCCGAGGACGGATGCACGGTGTTCCTGGTGAACATACCATTTTCTGTGGACAACGACCAGCTGAGGCAGTTCGCAGAGCGGATCGGCCCCGTTCAGTACGCACTTGTCTGCGTGGACAAGATGACGGAGCATTCCAAGGGCTCTGGCTTTGTCAAGTTTACGGTTAGTTGTTTGGAATTGTTAAGCAGTTGTAGTAGTGAATAACAGAGGGAGACTTTCTACACAGTCTGCATGGATATTGCTGTGCTACTTGTGTTTCTGCTCCAACTGGCTATGCTGTGGTTCCAACTTTCATTATTTCAAAATTTTCACATGTTCAATGTATTTTTAAGCTTTGCATGCCTATATATATATATATATATATATATATATATATATATATATATATATATATATATATATATATATATATATATATATATATATATATATATGTATTCACTTTGTTTCTTGCAAATAAATGTTCATTCCTTCATATTGACCAACTGAGTAAATAATTTTCCGACTTATAGACAGACTGCTTGAATATGTATTATATTAAGAAGGCCACATTTTAATCAATTATTTACATGTAATTTTTGCTTTGTATTTCATTCATTCATTATTAATATTTTTTCATTCCTTATATATATATATATATATATATATATATATATATATATATATATATATATATATATATATATATATATATATATATATATATATATATATATATATATATATATTGTTTGATTTGTACTGTATTGTTAATTCCCATTTTTGTTGCTTCATGTACAGTGCCTTTAATCTATCCTGTTACTATTTGTGAAAACTTATTAGTGGCTTAGTTTGTAATCCTAAACTATATCTGTTTACTCTAGCTCTGGTGCAGCCCTGGTTTTCCTATAAATAAATATTAATTATAGAATAAGGAAGATGCGGACAAGTTCCTGTCTCTCCCCGCAGACCAGCTCCGCCTGGAAGGTCAAGTAGTGCAGGTGAAGCCGGCGCTGAAGAAAGAGAACCTGCAGAAGGGCAGCAAGAAACAGCCCAAAGACAACAGGAACTTGTACCTTGTTAAAGAAGGAGGTTTGTAATAACTTTAGAATATGCTTAAATTACCACCTCTTACCATCATCCTTCCCCTGGAAGGCTGTGTTTCGGTTTGAAAGGTGGGATATGGTGTGAATTTACTGGGTACAGAGAAATAACATCTGAGTCCTCAGGGATGGCAACGCATGGGGGGTATCACGGGCGAAACAGTATACTCTGTTATGTCCATGGTACTACTCATGCCTATAGGCGACGGTTACCACTTTCCATCAGGTGGGCCGTCAGCTTGTTTGCCATTCTAAGTTGTATAAAAAAAAAAGTTTAATTCCTAATTATTATAATTTTTTGTATGCAACTTAGAAGTGCAAACAACCTGACGGCCCACCTGATTGAAAGTGGCAACTATGGTCAATAGACATGAACAGCACTATGGACATAACAGAGTATACTGTTTCGCCCATGATACCCCCCATGCGTTGCCACTATTTGTAACTTATTATTAGCTCATTTTATAATCCTAGACCGTATGTAAATAGTATACTCTAACCCTGATTTTGCTGTAAAAATAAATAAATAAATTATATACAGTGGTGGTGGCTGGTACTAAGGCGGCGGTGGGCGTGTCAGCTGCTGACATGGCGAAGCGGCTCGCGTTAGAGCGCAGCAAAACGCAAATGTTGAAAAATCTGAACAGGTGAGTTTACCAATTTTTTATGTAGTGAAATATATTCTTATGATAATTAATTTTACATGAAGTATAAAATTTTTTTAATAAATTTATAAGTTTCAAATTTTGACATGATTAAAGTAGTTTTTTTTTTGTGTAATAAAATTATATGACATTAAATAATGCATTAATATCCTAGGCAGGTCTCTTTCAGTAAAAGAAGGAGCCTACTGTTACCTTACTGGAACAAACAGTATAGAGTTTTAACATTTTGTTTTGCACTGGTATATTTTTTTTATACCGCCAAGGTGGTAAACCATACAACCATTTTAATGGTCACTGTAGCCTATGGATGCCTACAAAATTAGTGATGTGTAGTACTCGTTGCCTAAGAAGAAATCTTAATACATACACCCTTTTAGATGAACCACATACTGTTGTTTCCAGAGAAAACGCCACGGAGCTCATTCCACAGCTTAAGCGTTCACGGAAGAATTTCCGAAATTAGAATAAAAAGAATGATCCTAAGGATAAAAAGGAATATATTATGGATAAAAAAGAACTCGTGGCATGAGATATTTATAATCTGACACCGGTTCATCTGGATGACAGTAAATGAACAAATGGCTTGTTCATTAACACATGTATTGGTATCCGGCAGATTCGTGTCTCGCTACCGGCTGGTGGTGTCGAACCTGCCGGCCGGCTGCGACGACGCGCGGCTGCGGCGGCTGTGCGTGCAGGCTGCGGGGCGCCGCGCCACCCTCACCGAGGCCAGGGTCATGCGGGACCTGCGCGCCGCGCCAGACCGCAGCGGAAAGCACCCGTTAGTAATAATTCCAAACGGTTCTCCCTGGCAACCATCGTGGTTAACTCGTTACGATGACCTTTTTTTTTACAACTTAGATACAACTTAGAATGGCAAACAAGCTGACGGCCCACCTGATGGAAAGTGGTAACCGTCGCCTATAGACACGAGCAGTACCATGGACATAACAGAGTATACCGTTTTACCCATGATACCCCCCCATGCGTTGCCATTCCTGAGGACTCAGGTGTTATTCCTCCGTACCCAGTAAATTCACGCCATATCTCACCTTTCAAAAAGAAACACAGCCATGCAAACACAACTGCTTTACAGTTGAAACACGAATGGGACAGAAGTACCCAAGCAAACGACTTTTGTACGAAGTCTCCCTCTGGTAACCTTCATTCCCACCTATCATCATTTACTGGTATTCTGCCTATATGCAAAGTTCTACAGTTTCAGATATTTATTGTCCACTGGTGAATGTAGTCTTCCCATGCAATACCATTAGACCTGGCTCCAAGTTGTTTGTATCCATTTATTATCTCTAACATTTTCAATAGAAACTTTACATCGATTTTATATTCTGCTTCGTTATATATATATGCATATATTTAATATGAATTTAATTATTTAAAATCTCATTAAGGATATAGGAATCTAACCCATATCTTACGCTCCCTTCTTGAAAAATGTCTCGAGTAATTATGTCTCCTTACAGCCATTATTCTTTTTTTTTTTTTTTATACAACTTAGAATGGCAAACAAGCTGACGGCCCACCTGATGGAAAGTGGTAACCGTCGCCTATAGACATGAGCAGTACCATGGACATAACAGAGTATACTGTTTCGCCCATGTTACCCCCCATGCGTTGCCATTCCTGAGGATTCAGGTGTTATTCCTCTGTACCCTGTAAATTCACGCCATATCCCATCCTTCAAACCGAAACACAGTCATGCAAACACAACTGCTTCACGGTTGAAACACGAATGGGACAGAGGTACCCAAGCAATCGACTTTTGTACAAAGTCTCCCTCTGGTAAAAAAAGGTATTCAACGAAATGAATCGGAGTGAAACATTGATGACACATTTGTATTTCAGATCGAAGGGCTACGGTTTCGTGATGTTCACGCGGCACGAGGACGCGCTCACCTGCCTCCGCAAGCTGAACAACAACCCGGACATATTCGACGCCAACAATGTAAGGCCACTAGAAATATTTAGTTAATAAGCTAGTCTTATTATCATAGTGACCTATTAATATCCCATGGCTGGGCTTTGCTCTCCCTTCACAAGAGCAAAATATAGTCTGTCATTACCACACCATCTAGGTGACTTGCTATAGAGTTGTATTTTTGAATTCTCTTGCACTGGGGAGAAGGGATTATTAATAATGAAGAGGTTACTCCCCATTGGTATCATACCATATCAGATCGACCTCCGCGCGGTTCCCCCTGAAAACCATCTTGACTAATTTATCGTTGAATCCGTCACGATTGGCTAACTGACCTGCCTTTTTATTTTCACCAATCATCGCTCACTGGTGCCCCGCCAGCGTATACCGATAGCGCAGGTGGGTTACCATTCCATTATCATCCATTAAAAAAAAATCTTTTTACTGGCCCTTATTCTCTTAATTGCTTTTCTGAACACTAATTGAAAAAGTAGCTGGATAAACCCATATAGAGGTAGACAATGAATCAGCTATGTGACTTATTTCAAGTATTTTGTTCTATACATTTAAAATAATTTTGTATTATTTCCACAGCGCCCTATTGTATCCTTCTCAATTGAAGATCGAACAGCTTTGAATGCAAGAAAGAAACGTCTAGAAAAATCTATAGCCAACAATCCATTAGCCAAGAACACGGACACGGAAAATAAAAAAGGTAGAAACAGGAAGCGAAAAATAGAACAGCCCGATGAGAGTTATATGAAGAAACGAAAGTTTGATAAGAAAGGTGAAGATAATAATGTATTTAATAAAATGGAAAATAATGTTGGAAAATTTGTTAGGAGGCCAAAAGATGATGTTAACGAATATACTGGATTGACCGCTAAAGAAGGAAGTCAACATAAGATGAGGAGTAACCACAAACTAAAAACTCAAGCAGAGATGCATAGACAAAATTTGAAAATCGAAAAGAAGAAAAACAAACGAGCCATAAGATTGAAGATGGCCATGAAGGAACGAATAAAAATGCCAAAACAAAAAATGAATAAAACAGGGAAGAAACATAGAAAGAAAGCCCCGCATCACAAGACTGGCACATTAAATAATATAAAATAATAAAACATTTAATTATAACAAATATTTGAATTTTATTCCAATTATTTTTTAATTGTAACTTCATACAAATATAGAACTGTCAAATACACTATGTAACATTATACGCACTCTAATATCATTGTTTTTGGTCTCGCTTTTTTTTATTTCTTTGTCAGTACATTTGAAGTTTCTATCAATAAAAAGAGAAATCTTTTGCAAAATGTGAGTACTGGTAAATATGGATTAAATGAATACTTAATAAAATTTATGAAACTGCATTGCGTCGTCTATACACATAAAAATCTCAAAATCAATTTGATACAATTTATGTATCAGAAAATTGTTTCACTACCTACCTGTTTTATTTCTGTAATGTCATATTACCAAGACCGGCAAAAACAATTGTTTATAATAAAAATATATATATTTTCAATTGTAGTTTTATTTTATTAAAAAAATTACATGTGTATGGGTACGAAATCAATCAATACATATAATTCATAAAAATCATATCTGATAGCTATCTGTATATGGAAGATATATAAGAAAAACTATTTTAGAGGGCTTTATGAACGCAATAGAACCCGAAACAATGATTTTTAGAATTTTTGTCTGTCTCTACGTTTATGTACGCTAATCTCAGGAACGGCTTAACCGATATGAATGCGATTTTCACTATTGCATTGCGGTTTGCTCCACTTAACATTTAGTGTCTGCTTTATTTCAATCGGTTCATAAATAAAAAAGTTATATCAATCTAAAGAATCAAATATAAAATAACCGATCAATTCAAATTGGCTGAAACTTTGTAAAAGTATTAGGTATGTAATTATTATTTAAATATATAATACAATATAAGACCGGATTCATGAAGGGTTCCAATGGGAATGATATACGGGAACTATATAGTTAGAAGCGGGAAACAGCTAGTATGTAATAAAAGTGTTATTGGTACCTCAAGTTGCACACAAAATATATAACCAGGTAAAATGTAGTTTAAGAAAAATTTGATTTTCCACAATAGCAACTGTTAATTTTTGTTTTAATTATATTTTGTATAACTTAAAATAATAAAAATAAAAATAAAATAAAAATTAGTTTATTCATCTCCACAAATTACAATGTATAATAATATTACATTTTACTTTATACAAAATAAAAGTATCATAATTTGTGGGAGATCTGGAGCCTAAACTAAGTCGTAACTTGTATCTTAGACACCAGGTCCCCCCCCATAATAAAGTATTGACAATTCAAAGTAAAAGGTAGTTGCGTGGAGTAAAAATAAATATAATTTAATATTAGAACAAAGAGGCGCGAGCGAGGTAAAAGCTATTAGGGACTGAACGATAGTAGCGCCTCTCTTGAGAGATGTAAAAACTAAAAATGTTATTATGAGGCCTATCGTATGCCATTTTATTGCAATTAACGCTATTGACATAAGAAAGAATATTAGGACGGTAGTCTACTACTCTAATTTAAGATTTATCGCGGTCGGACAGCAATTATGATAAAATTCTGTATATTGGAAACATCTCTAGGTGGGACTGTGAATATATCTCATTGTTCAGAAATCAAATTCTTAAAATCAGGACAGAATGACGGAGAGGAAATAAAATTAAACTGGTTCTTTATTTTTTATTACAGGACAAAACTTGTATTAACAATAATGTTCTCTACAAAAATATTTTTTTGATTAGCTGAAACTTATAATTATATGTCTATTTATTACGTTACTAGGTACCTATATAGGTTAGGAGCCTAGCTATTACTGAACGTATCACAAGCTGTCACGTTTGTCACAATCAGCTGGTCCTAATCCTAAAAATATACAATTGTAAATGTTTATGTTTTTACCAAACCTAAAATATGAATTCACGTAATATATTCCGCTTGTCTAATAAACTGCCTTCACTTTTTCGAAGGGGGTATGGATATAAAGTAGTTAAACGGCCTGATCCGAGCACCCTAAAAATGCCAGTGCCGGGATCGGCGCCGAAACTCATGGATATTATAAAAGAAAAAATAAAACTTAATGGCCCGCTAACTGTAGCAGAATACATGCACATTGTTACTACAAATCCCACAGAAGGCTATTATATGAAGAAAGAAGTTATAGGTGAAATGGGGGATTTCATAACATCACCAGAAATAAGTCAATTATTTGGTGAGATGGTTGCCGTTTGGTTTTATTCTGAAACGCAGAAAATGGGTCCCGGTAAACCGCTTCAGATCGTTGAACTTGGGCCAGGAAAGGGCACGTTGATGTTTGATCTTCTAAGGGTAACCACTTATTGTGTACATTTTTATTTAAAAATATCTATTAACCTGTACTCTGACCATTGTGACACTGTTACCTGCATTAGAAAGCAATGTTTTAAAAACTATATAAGAATTCACTAAAACACAATTTACGAATTCAAAAAAACATTTAGTCATGAAATTGTATCAATATTATTATTATATTTATCTTGTCCACATAGTTTTCACTCAATATAATTTTTAAAAGACCTGCTGTTACTTATGTAAAATATTATACTTACTAATTTTATAAATGTAAGTATGTTTACAATCGGTATAAAATTTAAAAACTAAATTAATTCTAATTAAGCACCCTGTTTGTATTTAGCCTTTTATATATTAGTTTCAGAAATGACCAACGGAATAAATGAGTAAATGTCTAATTTTTATTAATAAATATAATTATTTATTTTATATATTGTTCTCAGGTGCTGCATCGCTTTGGATACCAACCTAAAGATCTCAGTTTGCACTTAGTAGAGATTTCAGAGACCATGCAGAATGTTCAGGCCAACAGACTCTGTATATCCCATAGGTCCACTGATTTAAAACTACCCTATAATTATGAGGTATAGTTTAAAATTATTATGTGTACTGTATACCTAATGTAATGTAATATTCCTATAGTAGAATTAAATCTTAATAAGATTAAAATAAAAGTAAAGAGATATAATAAAAGTGTAATTAAACAATGTCTATACATGTGAGATATTTAAGAAAATAGTTTTTAGATTTTTTTCCATTTGTTTGTCTATATTTAACATCATACAAAAACTACTGCACTAAATTAAATGCAGTTATTACAGTTGCATACTGGAAGGTATAACTTAAAATTTTGTGTTTTTTTTTTTAATATTATTCTTGCAAGAAGTGACCAAAATCATTGGTTTTACTATATAGTTTCACACATACTCTATAGTTGACAAAATGTTAGTGAAAAATATAATTAAGTAAATATTTTTAGTAAAAGATGCTATTTTAAAAAAAAATATTGTTTGAGATAGAAACTACCATTAATTAATAAAATAACTTTTTAATTCAATAAAAGCCTCTTTTAAATAAAAAATTCTGCAATATTTATAACACAATCCTTGTACTCATTTGACATTTATTAAGTATATAGTAAGATATCAAATTATGGTAGAAAATGTTTAGCATGTTGATATGACATTAGTATTAACTATTAGGTATTTAATGGAATGAACTGAATTACAATTATTTATTTACATATTATTATATCCAGGGGGAGACAGCAAGTGGCATCAAGGTGTACTGGTACAATGACCTGAAGAAAGTTCCCAACAATTTCTCTTGGTTCATAGCACATGAGTTTTTCGATGTGCTACCTATTCATAAATTTGAAGTAAGTAATTGAATTTTATTTTAATTGATATTTTTTTATTCAATATTATTAAACTAAAAATAAAAAAATAGTTAATTTTATGTAATTCTAAGATAAGAAACCAATTCAAAAATAAGAAACTATTTTGTAATATTAGAAGTGACTACCTATACCAATTAATCTCCTGTCTATTTCTCTATTTGGGTTTATATATATATATATATATATATATATATATATATATATATATATATACTGGTTTTCTTTTAATGTTACATTGAAACTAGTCATTTATTTGTATTACAGAAAACAGAAAATGGTTGGAGGGAGATCCTTATAGATTTGGACTCTGCTGGTAAACTCCGTTATAGAATCTCGGCTGAAGAGACCAAATCTGTTAAAACACTCATTAGGCCCCCGTTGGATATATGGAGACAGAAATGGTTGGAAATCAGTGGACTCTGGAGTCTGGGTGAATCGCAAAGTTAAAAACTAGCACAGAGGGTGGACAGAATTTGGTGGCATAGCTTTAATAGCCGATTATGGACATGAAGGAGAGAAGGGTGATACATTCAGGGTAATAAAGACTTCAGGGACTAATATCAGTGTTTCTTATTTCTCCGTTTCGTGTTTCTTTATCTTCCTGAGAATTTATTACTAACATTTTACGCACACTGCCCGCTATTAATGCTCCTTTTTACTCAAGGTTTGCTGGAAGAGAACTCTTACAGAGTTAAGTTCGCCTGTTGTACATTTTCATTTAATATAGACTTTAAACTACGTAATTTTTGTGTAGAATAAAATATAAATAAATAAATCTCATTATGTACCCAAATTACAAGCTTTGCTTAGGATAGGATTTTTTAATATGCCCAATAGCATTTATCGCTTTTTTTTTTTATTGTAGGCATTCCACAAGCACAAAGTAGTGGATCCACTCGAATCACCAGGAGCCAACGATCTCACGGCCGATGTGGACTTTGCCCAGCTTCGTATAGCCGCTGCAAAGTCGCCAGGAGCGGAGAATTACGCCATCGTATTGGGACCGGTGAAACAAAAAGACTTCCTGGAGAGATCACAGGCCGAAGTCAGATTGCAAGTATGTACTTGGTTATTTTTTAACTAAACAGTCACAATAATAATGATTGCAATAGCTCAGGGATTAAAATAGATTCATTATGAGAATTAAATGACGTTATATTTGAAACTAACCATTTAAATTAAATTAAACCAGATAAACCAATTAAACCAGAGGGAGACTTTGTACAAAAGTCGATTGCTTGGGTACCTCTGTCTCATTCGTATTTTAACCGTGAAGCAGTTGTGTTTGCATGGCTCTGTTTCGGTTTGAAGGGTGGGATATGGCGTGAATTTACTGGGTACAGAGGAATAATATCTGAGTCCTTAGGAATGGCAACGTATGGGGGGGTATCATGCGCGAAACAGTATACTCTGTTATGTCCATGGTACTGCTCATGTCTATAGGCAACGGTTACCACTTTCCATCAGGTGGGCCGTCAGCTTGTTTGCCATTCTAAGTTGTATAAAAAAAAAAGGTCTGGCGGTCTAAAGTTATTATTTTAATGTTTCATGACAAAACTTATAGAAATTAAGTTCTTTCATAAGTCAGACAATACTGGACTGCTTCAGGGAATTCTAAATTTAAATACCAGCTTAAAAAATCGGAATGCTTACATTTATGTTTAGATAATTTATTATTATTTAATAATTTGATCATTTATAAATGATTCAATCATTGTTCAGGCAAATGCAGTGTAGGACAGCTCCCTGGAGTGATAACTTCAAATGCATTACAGGGAGTCATTGGATGCAGGTGATTTAGGACCATTCATTATGGCAGTCTATGAAAGAGGCCTATGTCCATATATGTATATTGGCTCAAGGAGACCCGATTTCTCCGCTTCTTTTTAACTTAGTTACGCATAAAATTTGTCATCACATTGAACATGTTGTCATCTCACAATATGCTGATGATTTTGTGCTATACTTTAGTCATGAAAAGATTATAAATTGCGAAAACAATATACAAAATGCATTAAATTGTATGATAATGGCTTTGGAAGAATTAGGTTTAAATATATCTGAAGTGAAATCTAAGATTTGTGTCTTTAGTCGAGGACGCAGAAAGTATCAAACTAAAATAACTATTAATAATATTCCTCTCGATATTGTAGATAGTGTTAAGTATCTCGGTCTATGGTTAGATAAAAGGTTGCTGTGGAACAAGCACATAAGTGAGGTTCAAGAAAAATGTACAAAATTTTTAAGTATATTGAGAGTTTTAACAGGGCCTACTTGGGGTGTTCATCCAGTTCATTTGCGAAGATTGTATATTTCATTAATAAGAAGTAGGATAGACTATGGCTGTTTTTTGTATGACAGTAGTGCTAAAAGTAATATTGCGAAATTGGACAAAATTCAAAATCAAGTGTTAAGGTATATTGGTGGGTTCATTAAATCTACGCCTATTCATACTATGGAGAGTGAAATAAGTATTCCTCCACTTAAAATAAGGAGACGCTATCTTGCTTTTAAATATTGTCTCAAAGCTCTTTCTGTATCAAACAACATGTCTACAAAATTGTTAGGTGAATTGAATTTACTCTGCCAAACAAGGAATTGGGCACATAAAAAAGAACCTTTATTAATATCAACTTTCAACACAATCAAACCAATTCATGTTCATTCTTGTCATCCTCTTCAAATGTTTTCATTAGATATTTGGGTTACGGGTATTCAGATTAATAATATAATTAGAACAGAAGTAGAATACATCACAAATGCTAAATCTTCTTATGATACAAATTTGCTAAAACATGAAGTCGTCAAAGAAATTAATGTGAAATACAATGATTGGCATAAAATATTCACTGATGGAGCAAAGTCTACGGGTGGGTTAGGCGCAGCGTTTTGTGATTTAAGTAAAAATCATTTCGGTTGCTTTAAAATCAATTGTAATATGTCTATTATGTCAGCGGAATTAATTGCAATTTTAGAAGCATTGATATATATCTCATCTGTCATAAATGTTAAGAAATGTGTAATTTTATCAGATTGTAAGAGCGGATTACAACACTTAATTTATTGTGCATCTGGAAAAAGAGGAATTCCTATTGCTTACAAAATTTTAGAACTCATTCATAAATTAAACCTAAGCAAAATTGATCTAATACTGCAATGGATTCCAGCACACGTTGGTTTACGGGGCAATGAAGAAGCAGATCGTTTAGCTAAACTGGGCATAGAGAAAGGTAGGGAACATCAGTCATTACCACATTTTACTGATTATATATCTAAATTCAAAAATCAATGTCAAAAAGATTGGAAAGAATATTTTAACGAAATTTCAAAAGAAAAAGGCATTTGGTACAAAACTATTCAGGCTGAACCACCACATATTCCTTGGTTTTGTGGAATTAAAATCAATAGGTACTGTATTAAATTAGCTGTTCGTTTACGTTCTGGTCATTATCCATCAAAAAATTTGCACATATGATGGGAAAGTCCTTGTCACCCCATTGTCAAACTTGTAGTACCATCGATGATGTGCATCATATTCTATTAGAGTGTCGTATTAACACGAAGGAAAGAGAAGAATTCATGCGCCACTTTAACTTAAATAAATTGAATGTTGGTCTTATTCAAACTATGTTAGCTGAACTTAAACCAGAAATTTTTGAACATCTCTGTAAATTATTGATGCCCATTAATTCTTCTCTTTCCGCGTCTAGGGAAGGTAGATAAAGTTTAGTTGGAGAAATCAGTTCAGGGTACAATAGGACTAGAGATGGGCAATCCACCTGGGTGGGTTTAAAGTCTGGTGGGTAAAAACCGGGTGTTTTGGGTTTATTGGGTTTAAACCCCATAAACACCCAAATTTTTGGGTGTTTATGATTTTGTACTTCATCATCGTCATCTCAGCCGCAAGACGTCCAGTATACTGGACATAGACAATATTATTATGCAGCCTACAGAATAAAAAACTTTTAATTTGATTTTGAGTTTATTAAGAAAGAGATGAAAGTAAAATGTAAAACTACAGTCAATCACTGTCAGATTCAGAGTTATTACAAGCGATGAATTGTATAGGTTCGATAGGCTCTATTTCGTCTAAACTGTTATGTTCATTTACTTGCTCAATGAAAGCTTCTAAGGTATTTTCTTCATTAAACTGAATGTCCTCGCATTCAGCTTTATGTTTAAGATTCCAGTTATAACAAATGAATGAAATTTTTTCAGTTCTTTCAGTTGTAAGTCGATTTCTTTTGTTATTATGTATGTAGCCTTGGATACTAAAGGAACGCTCAGTGGCTGCCGAAGTACAGGGAGCTGATAGAATACGAATCGCTACTTTGCTTAACTCAGTGGAACCACAAATACCTTTCCACCATATTAGGGGCTCAATGCTATCTAATGAGCTCCATACAAATCCTCTGGCCCAAAAGTTTTCTTTAGCTTTATAACACGCCAAATCTGCCATTACATTTGACAAACTTAAGTGTTGGCTTAAATTGTAGATAAACTCCATACCCTTAAGTTCTTCCTCTTGAGTAAGTTCGACTCCTAGAGTCCTGGGGTCTAGAATATATGCTGCAAAATGTATTGGCCTCATTGCCATATTGCATCTTGAAGATACTGATGTTAGAATCTGCTGTTTGCTTTCTTCGCTCAATGTCGAAATCTCATTTAATGCAAAACGTATCTTAGCTTGTACATCTCTAAATGTAATGTATGTGCGATGCAAACGATTCTGGTCGCTCTCTAAGTAAAATATGCTTTCAGTGACTGGTTCCAAAATACTTATACATTCCCCTGTCTTCGTCCAGAAATCATCACTTAGAATTAAATCTTTAATATCTCTTGAAATTACCACATCTTCTCTAACTGTTAATATTTGCAAAGCTATCTTATTTGCTTTCAAACTTTTTAACGAAGTAACATGACTTCCCCATCTTGTAGCACAAGGCAATTTTAGTGTTTGTGTAGAATCTTCACCCTGCCTTGATTTTATCAACAAGGAACTTAATCGTTGACTCCTTTTAACAGTTTTTATTATATTTATGGCTTGCATAATAAACACAGTTACTTCTTGTATCTTTACAATATCTTGGCACAACAAGTTAAGGATATGTGCACAGCAACCGAGAGGAACAACATGTGGATATTTGAGTTTTGTTAATTCGAATGCCTTTTGTATATTTCTAGCGTTATCGCCAATAAGTACAAGAAACTTATTTGCTCCATACACTTTCATTACTTTTTCAACTTCTTGGCTAAGGTATTCACTAGTGTGAGGATTACTTTCTGTATTCAAACTTTTAACGTATGCAGGTTGAGGTTTTGATATAAGAAAGTTTATTATTCCTTCATTTCTTAAATTAGACCAGCCATCGCACTGAAGGTGTAAGTAACTACAAGCATTTAGTTCCTCATTTAACTCAAAACGCATTTCTCTATATATTTTATCTAAGTATTTTGTCGCTAAAGCTTTACGTGAAGGTATTTTAAATTTTGGTTGCAATTTTTCGAAAAATTGTATCCATAAAGGATGTTGCACCATCGATAATGGCGTCCCTGTTACAAATATAGCTCTCGCTAATTCTGTTTTTATATGATCATCGGTGTCTTGAAACTCAGCATTTATTGTAGTGTTAGCAGACGACGAGGGGCTTATAAAAGAATCATTTGTCTCTATCTCTGACAGTCCAGACATTTTGGTTTTGGACGAGCTATCTTTTATAAGTTTCATAGAGTCTTTTAATGTTTCTGGAGATTTTGGACAAGTGATAAGATGTTGAAGCATTTTGGCAGCATTACTGAATTTGTAGACCTTATTACAAAGCTTGCAAGAAACAGACTTGTTTGGTAAAGTACGGTAGTGCTCCCATATGCGTAAATCTTTAGGTCTCCCCATTGAACCTAAAAAAATGAACGATGATTAGTTGGTCTGACGAAAATTCAACAATAGAGTGCCTATTTTTTTACAATGATTATTTCTTGTTATTTACAATAAATTTATTAAAAAAATAATAAAATAAATACAAAAAACCTTTGTAAAATTACATCTCCTCGGAGGATTAAACGCAGACGCTAGTTTATTATCGTATTGTTCTGTATTTTTCTCAGCAACTTCTTTAATTCGATTAGGTACTTACGCATATTATGTTAAAAATAAATATCTAGTACACATCTTAGGCTATCCACCATTATTATCCAATGACGACTCTCAGCTAACTATGCACTATCATCCAAAATAAACGTGTATGGAAAATTTTATCCCAGTCGGTTGAGGATTGAGGATAATTGCATCAACATACGAACATACCTACATACTTTTATTTACATAACGCAAGCTAAATAAAAGCTTGTAATAATACATCTAATTTTAAGTTAAAATTGTTAAGTGATCATGATATAATTGTATCATTCAAAAATCCACTTACCTTTAATTATTTCTTGTTAAGTATAAATATTATTTCAAATCTGCTCCCTTAATATGCACTTTTTTACTGCTTTTCCTACCTAACACGTTACCAGGAAGTCACGTTACCAGAGTCAGAGTAATAGTGAACACGTTTGACAGTGATTGTCGTCGCCTCATATTCAGCGTCGACGAATAGGGGAATCCCCAGTCATAATGTATTGCATGCGTGGCGGTCTTACTTCAAATCCATAAACAAAGAGATAATTACAGAACTCGATACTAGATGGCGCTGTTTTTGTTTGAAGAAAGTTTGCGGGCTAAAATACATAGAATTTCATCAATGACTTCCACAAAGAACAACATTTCTGTTTTTTCTAAGTCCGTATCTCTTCCGTATATTTCATAAGATATAAGCTTGGGCTACATTGTTATGCAACGTGATTTTGTCGCTGTCTTGCTAGCAGGGTTGACAGATATACGATTTAAATCGTACTCATACTATTATTTGTCTATTTTTTAATGTACGATCGTAAAGATTATGATCGTAATTCGCACAAAAACATACGACTTTTTGGTTACCTGGCAACATTTTTATTATGAAACGAACATGCTCACATCATCAGTCACATGCAACAATTTATTGGGGATTTCCCCTTCACATCTGGCAGTCCTGCTTGCTAGAATATAGGTAAGTCAGCCACAGTTACTGACGATCGATATTTAAAGGGTATTGTTTTTGTGCTAAATATTTCATAAAAACGTTATTTAATACTTTGTGGATTATTAATTTAGTTGATAATCACTGGAAGTAAAATGGATGCTAATTTGAGAGATCAAGATCTTCGTATAAAACAGTTAATAAAAGAAAATCTACGTAAGTACTCTTTTTATACCTAGGTAGGTAAGGTATAATAAACACAAAAGGTACTTAGATCGCGTGTGTTCGAAGCATTTATTCTAATAAATTTAATTTAAAATTGTAGAAAGAAAAAATGTCTGCCAAGCCGTAGCCGAAGCCGATCTCCAAATATATTTGGCGATAGTGAGACCCAGTGTCCAGATGATTTACCCAGCGTCGTCGCAACAAAGAAAAAAACGAGGATAAAGTAAAAGAAAATTTACTGAAAGAAGAAACAAACTGTTCTAAATGCTTAATTTATGGAGAAGAGGATAAAAGAAATGAGTATTTCGGACTGTTAGTGGCTCAAGAATTTAAATATATACGGCCATGTGTGCGAACGAGGTGTTATGAAGAAATTTTAAAGTATCTACGGGAAGCAAAAGGCCAACATGTTGATCAACTGCAACATGAAAACACTGAAAATTAATTACTTTCATTTTATTATATATAGATTTTTAAAATTTCCTGAAATATTATTAGTTAACGTTTTATTTAATATTGTAGAATTGATCAATACAATTTATAAAAATAATTTATTAGTATTACTTACATATTTTCAAAAAAATACGTAAAAACCTATTTTTTTGGGTGATTATGGGAGTTTATGGGTGTTTATTGGGTTTTTACCAAAGCACCGGGTTTAAACCCGGTGCTTTGCCCATCTGTAAATAGGACTGATATACCTGAAGAAGGTAAAAGCCCTTAAAATATTAAAAAAAAAAAAAAAAAAAAAAAAAAATATATGTATATTAATTAATTATATATAATCCCATGCATATAAGTTAAATATGTACCTAATACACATATATTAATAACTATAGGCACAAGGAAAATAATCATAAAATAAATAATTATATAAATACATACATAAATAAAGAATGCCAATGTTTGAAATGAAGAAACAATCAGATAGAGTAAAGATAATCTTTCACTTGTCGCTTGAAAGCATCAATGGGTTCATGTCAAAGGAAATTGGGTCTAATAAAGACGGCCTAGAAACTGTTGCCACTAGAGGGCGACACTTTAACACCAATAGTGTAAAATCAAATTTATTAATAAGAATTTGTAAAATAGAGGTTTGTTTAAATCGAAGTATTTGGCGTTCCATTGTTTCTGCCTACCCTAATGGGAGACAGGCGTGACAGATGTATGTATGTAATTTGTAAAATAGGTATAATTAAATAATAGAAGTTAATATAGCGGCTACGATATTTCCAGGTATTAATAGACAACGCTAAAACAGAAGAAGATAAAGAAAAATTGAAGAGCGCTTATAAAATGCTTGTGGACCCCGCGAAAATGGGCGAACGATTTAAATTTATGGCATTTTTTCCTTCGTCGATGGAACAAATACTGGACAGATATCCACCTCTTGGTTTCTCGACACCTAAATCGTGATATTATTGTTTCTAAACTTTGTATTTTAGGTATTTAACTATTTTATGTTGTTATTGTAAATATTTTGTTCAATTAAATAGTTTTATGACGTTATTGTTCAATTTTATTTTGTTTACGTAGAGAGTATGTTGTTCCTAATTACAAAACACGGGGGAAAGGGACTGTTAGCAATGGAGTTTGACAGCCCCATTGCTAGCAATATGCCTTATTAGGTCAACTTCCACATGGTTCTCCCTGGAAACCATCGAGAACAATTTTTGTTGAATTCGTCACAAAGGGCTAGCTGACCTGCTTCATCCTCACCTATCATCTCTCACTGGTACCCCGCCAGTGTACACCGCTAGCGCGGGCGGGGTTACCATTCTATTATCACCAATAAAAAAAAATACGAAACATATATCCGCCTGTCCGTTATTCCAAGGACGGGAATCAGTCGTTAAGATTTTTTATGCTATCAGTATACACTGGCGGTGTGTCGAAGCAGTTCAAGTGGCCCATTGTAACGAACTATATAACAAACAAACATAGGTACTCCAACCGGGGATAGGGAAGAAATTGTTAGTAATTATTACTGGTCTGGTATTTTTAAAATTGATTAATTTTGAATTCATGACAAGAGATCAAACGATCTGATATCGTATTCTTTTTTTCCCGAGATTGCGCGATAATGTTGCACGATATTAAACCGTTATATTATTTATCATTATTATCTATAAACGGAAAAGGGGAAGGGATTGTTAGTAGTCGAATTGCTAGTAATAGGTCCCTGTTAAGTCGACCTCCACGTGGTTCCCCCTGGAAACCATCGAGCTGAATTCCAGGTGTATTTTTATCATGATGGACTTTTTTTAATGAATGATAATGTAATAGTCACTGATAATATAATACTATACTAGTAATTCTGCTTGCGCTACTGGTATACGAGGTTTGTCCGGAAAGTACGTATAAAAGTTTTTTAAAAATTTTATTTTACAATTATTCAGGTAAATCAATTTTATCCCCTTCAAAGTACTCCCCCTGTGACATAATGCACTTGTGCCAACGCCGTTTCCACTGTGAGAAGGCTCCTTGAAAGTCCTCTGGTTGTAGGTTTCTCAGCTGCCCCGTCGTAGCTTTTTTTATCTCATTTATGTCCCCCAAATGCCGCCCCCGAAGTACCAATTTGGTTTTGGGAACAAGAAGAAGTCACACGGGGCCAAATCCGGCGAATAGGGGGGTGTTCGGTCACCGTAATGGAATTTTTACTCAAAAACTCACGGACAACAAGAGAGGTGTGGGCAGGGGCATTGTCGTGGTGAAGAATCCAACGCCCCTCTCGCGCCAATTCTGGACGAACTCGTGCCACACGAGCTTTGAGGCGTCTGAGCACATCGACGTAGAATTTTCCATCAACTGTCTGGCCTGGAGGGACGAATTCTTGATGGACAATCCCCCGAACATCGAAAAAAACAATCAACATTGTCTTGACATTTGAGCGGGATTTTCTTGATTTTTTTGTTCGTGGTTCCCCGGATGTCTTCCACTCTTTGCTTTCACGGCCATTCTTGCCGAGTTTCGAGAGAAACTTCATTACGACGCGCTGCTCTTCAACGGAAGCGGGCTCCATGCCGACGGGGTTTCGTTAAGAGGTAACTTCACAGATGGCGTGACAAGCCAGTTCGCACCGCACGGCGGTCAGACCAGAACTGAAGCATTGTTAGGGACATAAGGAAGGGGTCCTGCGCTTACCTGGCCTCCCCACTCCTCTTTCTCGCATTCCAGAACACTTTTATACGAACTTTCCGGACAGACCTCGTACAGAGGCGGGTTAGTATATACAAATATAAAGAATTACATAGAAGGAATGATAAAACAAAAAGTTGCCTCCTTTCTTCTTATACAAATATAATTAGTAAAAAGAGGACGATAAATATACCATCGGTTACTGTGATGTACTCATTAAAGTTGAGACTGCAAGTCCCCCCGCTCCTGCCACTCCTCTGGGTGACGTCCGGGCGGGTGGTCGTGTGAGTCGCATTGTGACATATTATTGTTTATTATTTCCTACACCTACCTACCATACCAGGAGGACAGCACAAAATTGGCGACGAGGTGAAAATTTGTAAGTAAAAAAAATATATATATATGTCATACGACTACAAAATTACCTGTTCTAATCAGTCCAAAGAGTGTGTAATTATCGCGTTGTTATTTTAATGTAACTTGACACGAATAACATTAAACTGTTAAATTTCTAAATTCACAAGGAAGAGAGAAGATAATTTATTAATTCTCAATCAATTTATTAAATATAGAAAAGACTAAAAGCAATTTCAAAAAGAAATAAAGACTTGATTCTATAAATTGTATAGAGAAAGCAAAATATTGATAAAACATATTACGGTGCATAGTACGTTTTGTAATTTAGCGACACACTGTGACTGATTTTAACGCGTTTGCGCATCATAGTCGTACAATAACTTGCTATACATGCCTAAACAAATGGTCGGCGTTTGTTGATGTCTAGGTATACCGTACCGCAAGCTTTCTGTTTATATTTACATCACAGTATAAGTGATTATAACAGTTGAATTCTTAAGATAAGTGGTTCGGGGATACCAGCGAATACTGACTATACATACAACAAAATGTGCCTGCATGTATTAGCCGAGTCGGAGTAATTATTCTGACAAATAAAATACACCGTACAATCCGAATGAGCAAAGCCCATCAAATACATAATTCTACATAAACTGTAATCTATTTAGATACAAGTTTATGCAATTGGTGGTTCCGATTATAGAGGTTGCTTCCATAATAAATAGATTTGTATGTAGGTATAAACCTAATACAAATGTAATTATCATAAGATAATTATGATATATTCAAACACTTCACATTAACTTCATTATTTGACAGATATTTGGTAAGAGTTGAGGTTACGATTTTATTTTTCTTACAAGGAACCAGCAGAATATTAGCGTTGCCGGTAGTTCTCTGCTTAATTCTGAGTTGGTTACCCTTTCGCCGTTAGGGCACATAAATTTACCTACATATTTATGTTGGTTTATAAGTTCAAAAGGCTGTGTTTGTAACTGAGAATAATCCATTTATCCACCTGTACAACAAGTACAAGTATTCGCATTTACAATATTGTTGCCTACAATTATAATAGCATACATTATTACGGTAGGTAGGTATAATCATTTAATAAAAAATAAAATAAAAATAGCCTTTATTCCTGAATTACAGATTCTTTTTTAAATTGTAAATATGTATAAATAATTAATGTTGACATCAGCAACATCTTATTTTTCAGGTTGTTTTAGAACAATCATTTTAGTATAATCATTTATAAACACAAAATTCTCGGAAAAAATATAATAATAATAACTTATAATATTTTATTCAGATTCAATCCTTGACGGGGTAGTCAGACGCATTTGTTGACTACGATATACGGTTAATATATTTGTTAATAATAGTAACATAATTGGTTATTTGTCGATTATCATTAGTTGACAGTATTTATATAAATACGTATAAATAATGTACCACCCATAAAATTCCCGTTTTGCAAATTGTCTTATTATGACATCTCAATTGTCAAATCGTAGAAAAATGCATTTCCTCAGATCTTAAGTTAAAAGATAATTCTACTAAAATAGAAATAAATATTGTGGAAGCAATTCAATAGAGACTGATGAAAGATCAGTAAAAGGACACCAAAGAAACCAAATCTTGTAAAGAGATTTCAAACGAAAAGAATATACGGTATATGAAATGCGAGAGTACATATCAAAATAGTTATGATGCACAATGTGTTGCAAGAAATAACTTCTGCTAAAAGTGTGGATTTATATACCATTTAGGTCAAAAGCAATATCGCACTAATCGAAATAAGCGCATGAATGTGCAAGCGCTAGTTATATGGCGAAATAAATAGTATAAACCAAATAATCCATCAAGTAAAAAATAAATAAAGTTACCAAACAATCATTCAACTCTCCTATAACTACATTCATACTGAATGTTGAACATACTCTATTCCACTATAAAATATCTTGCCAAAATGGTGGAACCAAATATTAACTATACTCTATTCCACTATAAAATATCTTACCAAAATAGTGGAACTAAATGTTAACCATACTCTATTCCATTATAAAATATCTTGCCAAAATTGTGGAACTAAGTGTAACTCTATTCTATTATAAAATATCTTGTCAAAATGGTGGAACTAAATGTTAACCATCCCCTATTCCACTATAAAATATATATCTTGCCAAAGTGATGGAGTTACATTAAACATACCCATTGATTTGGGTACAAAACTAGTATACCCATAAATTCGGGTACAAAACTAACATACCCATCAATTCGGGTACAAAACTAACATACCCATCAATTCGGGTACAAAAGTAACATACCCATCAATTCGGGTACAAAACTAACATACCCATCAATTCGGGTACAAAACTAACATAATAATTGACATAATATTATATACCCATCAATTCGGGTACAAAACTAACATAATAATTGACATAATATTATATACCCATCAATTCGGGTACAAAACTAACATAATTATTTATTTATTATTTTATTTATTCATAAACAAAAATTTGTATTTGAATGTTATAGTAGATACAATAATTTCATACACTATATAAAATATAAATTAAATCAAGCATAAAACAAATATTATAGTCACTTAGTCATCTCTTAACATAAACAATATAGGTATATATTCAAATTTACTATAATTAGAATTCGTCAATTGAGTACAGACACCTTTCTAGCAGTAATGACTTCAATTTTGTCCTGAAGATATTTAAATCATTCAGTGACTTTAATTCCTTAGGCAGCTTATTAAATAACACCACCGCTTGGTTTCGTGGACAATGTTGTACTATGTTAAATGTGGGTATAATAACCTTTTGTAAATCCATCCTTCTTGTAATTAATCGTTGTTTCATTCTATCCTCTGATTCATATAAATGTCTATTTTTAATTAAATCTATTAGCAGAACATGAATATATAGGCTTGGAACAGTTAGTATTTTTAGTCTTCTAAAATGTCCTGCACACGATTCCCAGGGAGGAATATGAACCATGGCTCTAATGACTCTCTTTTGTGCTATAAATGCTCTATTTGTGTTATACTTGTAGCTATTTCCCCAAAATTTTATGCTATATCGTAATCGCGATTCTACCAAAGCATAATAGATTGTCAACAACTGGTTTTCTGTAAGCTCTTCTCTCAGAGTACGAAGTGCATAGCATGCAGAGCTTATAGCGTCGTCTACTGCACTTACTTCAGCTTTCCAATTTAAGAGCGAATCTAAATATATACCTAAGAATTTCATTGTTTCAACCATTTTGAGAGCTACTCCATTTACATGTATACTAAGGCTTTGGTTATTTCTAACTGTTGTTTTAAACACCATGACATTAGTCTTAGATGTATTTAGTATCAGGTTATTTACTGAAAACCACGTGTTAAAAGCCGTCATTACTGCATTAGTCTTATTGCTCAAATCCGTTACATTATTACCAGAAATTACTGCATTTGTATCGTCAGCAAAAATAACTATCCCAATATCAAAGAACAAATTGTACATATAATTTATTAAATCATTCAAAAATATTATGAAAAATATTGGGCCTAATACTGAACCCTGAGGTACACCTCTTGTTACAGTTGCTAGTGCTGATTTATATGACTTTTTCATGCCATCGTCATCTATGTCTACAATTTCTACAAACTGTTTTCTGTTTACTTAAATAGGACTTCAGTAAGGAAAGAGATTTATCTGTAACACCATAGTAATGAATTTTATTTATCAGTACGTCATGGTCAATAGTGTCGAAGGCAGAGCTCAAGTCCAGGAATATTCCAGCTACTTTCAATTTTTCATTAAGTCGTCTTGTTATGTCGTCGATCATAGTATCTATTGCATCAGACGTTCCAACTCCTTTTTGATATCCAAACTGACGTCCATTCAACAACTTATTTGTATTAAGGTGAGTCATTAATTGTACTTTAATTAACTTTTCAAAAATTTTTGATAATATTGGGGGAAGAGCAATTGGTCTATAATTATTTACATCAGATTTTGACAACTTCTTATGTACGGGAATAATTTTTGATATTTTTAATTGATCTGGAAAAATGCCTTGATTAATACATGCATTAAATAAATACGATAAGGGCTCTGCCAATATGTCAATATTATCCTTAATTATTTTTGAGGGCATATCATCGTAGCCACTTGAATTTTTATTTTCCATTTTCTTTACTACAGAGGTTACTTCTGATACAGTAGTTTGTCGGAACTCAATGTTTTTTTCAGGCTTCAAACCATTTCTGTGTAATATTGCCATTGCTTCTTGAATATTTGTAGTATTTATTTTTTTACTGCAATCAAATTTATTAGAAAACATTTCTATAATTTCTTTAGGATCTTTGATAGTTATATTATTTGATTTTAGTATAATTTTCTCATGTATAGTCGAAAAATTGTTATTTCTATATTTATTTACAACTTTCCATATTTCTTTGTTGGAGTTTTTACAATTATTTATACTATTTTGCACAGTGAACGTTTTTGAATGTCTAATTACCTTCCTGTAAATATTTATGTATTTTTTCCGATAATTATATAAGCTCACGTGGTTATGGTTATTATCCAAAGTACAGAGAATACGTTTCATTTTGCTAGAAACTCTAATACCCTTTCGTTACCCACTTCAATTTTCCATTATTACGAATATTAGTTTTGATTATTTTCTTTCTAAAACTTTTTCTAAAAATATCACTGAATTTATGCAAAAAGTCATTTATACCCAATTGAAGCCATTTCACTTTCTTTAAGCTCTGTCTAAAATTTCTATTATTGTATGCATTAAAAATTCTTTTTTCAACGCTTATATATTTTTGCTTCCATTTTTCTTGGTTAAAATTTTCTGATAAGACTTGAGTCATGATAGCTGCATGCCCGTCTGAAAGTCCATTATAATCTACTGTAGTGTTAGTAAATGAATTGTCTGATAGGTTTGTTAATAGATTATCAATACATGAGTGGGATTCATTTCTCACATATGTGATGTCATTAATAAGATATCTAAAATTATACGATTTGATTAAGTTTATAAAGTCAACTTTCATTTTACTTTCTTTTGCTAAGTCAATATTGAAGTCACCACATATTATACATTTCTTATCAAAGTAATACTGTAAAAATAATTCAAATTTTTCAATAAAAGTGTCAACGTTAGAACCATTTTGATAACAACAAAAATAATTTATCCCTGTGCTAGAATCCTGAACTCCACATATTTCAAAATGCCTTTCATCACTGAATTTTTCACAAGCAACAATATTTTTTGCTTGTCTGTTCTTATTAACTAATATTAGAGTGCCGCCTCTCTTTTTATTAATTCTAGAATAACATGATTTTAAATCATACTTCGTAAAATTTATTGAAGTTAGAGAATCCATTTTTAAAAAATGTTCGGAAATACAAACGTAATCAGGTGAATTAGGAAGCATTTCGAAATATAACTCCAATTGATCCAATTTCGTTCTAAGACCACAAACATTTTGATAAAATATGTTTGTAGGAGCGCATGCAGTTAAACCTTTATTACGCGTATTAAAGACGAAAACAAGTATCTGAATTTTCATTTTCATTTTGATATTCAACTCCTGCTTGCGTGGCCTGTATCACATATTCTGTCTCCGTCTGAGTGGACTGAGATACAGATGTTCTGGTCAATGTATTTTTATATTGTGAACTTATGTTATTTTTGCTTTTTTGCATATATATATTATATTTAATTTTATAGTCAATCATCAATATATCTTTAAGCAATCTTTGGCTAATATGCGTTGTAAAATAATTTTTGTATGGCAAATATCTACTGAAGTCCATGTTAATGAAAGTTACATTTTTAAATTGGTTACAAATCATTTTTAGGTTACTATTTAGTTTACGTTCATTTAACACAAAATTTTTTGGTATTTCTCCTATTAATACATTAGCTTTACATTTTAAATTATTTAAAAAACAATACAAGTACGATATGCATTCATATGGATTCTTATCATGTATACCACCCAAAACAATTATATAATCATTTTCCGTCAAAGAGTTCTGAGATTGTACTTTCTGACCAATTATATCACTCAAACGTGCTCCTGGTTTAAAAGTGCAATGTACTTTGTATTGTGATCCTAACAAATTTTGCATTTTTTGTCGCAGTCCTCTTCCTTGTTCATCAGCCATAATAATTACTTTTTTCTGCTGGATCGATTCTACATTTAATTTTTTCTTTGTAGTAGTTAATAGGACAGAAGGAGAGACAGAAGCGGATATATTGCTTTCTGGATTATCTTTACATGTATCCGCACAGTTTGGTAATGATTTCAATATATTTATATTATTACAGATATTGGAGTCCTGATTCTTTAACTTAGGCGATGTGCATTCTGTATGTAATAATTTTCTTGGTATATTGGTACATAATTTCTTATTTATGTCTAATATATATCGGCTAGCTTCTAGCATATTATACGATGTGATATTCGATTTAATTGAATGTTTTCTTTTTGAAATTGGTGTGCTTGTTCCCGATTCTATTTCCTTATATAATTTATTGATTTTATCCTTTGATTGTAGTTGCAATGTTAATTGTTTATTCTCCAAGAGTAAATTTTCTATTTCAGTATGAGCTGATTTTAGTTCAATATTGAGTGCTTCTATCTGTTGTTTCAATTCAGCCGTTTCTTCACTGTCTTCTAATGAGGCATTTGGAGCGCTTCTTACGGTGATATTTGATAAATCTAAATAAGGTAACGAATTACTACGCTGTCGTCTCATTGTAATGAATTCTTCGTCCATCTTTTATTAGGATGTTTTTTATATTAGTATTTAATATCTATATAATCTTCTGAAGAAATTTTTTACATGTAGACAATTTCCGTATATACTATGAATAACAAAAAGGTCTCATACACGTGTGGATTCAAACCTTCGGACACAGAGTTAACAAACTGCAATCTTATCAATGCTACCACTGTTCCATAGCGACGATTCTGTCTTGTGCCGTTGAAAAATATTTTCGATTTCAAGTAGGGTATTTTTATTTATTTATTTTTTCAGATCCACCTTCATGTTAGAAAAAAAAAAAAAAAAAAGTGTACATACCAATTTCATGTCCATTCAATTATATCATATAATACAACGTTTTTAAGTTACAAAACATCACACAGTATAGAGCAGTAACAGTTTTCTGCAATAATGAACACCTTAATACTATTTTTTTTAATACGTTCAATATTTTACGATAGCACTCTTTCATTTATATATCGTTTGTTTTTTTCACTGGGATCGAATTTAATCGTTGCTAATACTAATGTGTATTAGTTAATATAGTATTGAACGATTTCTAACACTTTTTAAGATATAGAAAAACTTTAAGTATTTTTAAATGAATTTTAATCTGGAGCCTTTGTTTACGTGACAGGTGACTACCCACTCGTAATAATTGACATAATATTATATACCCATCAATTCGGGTACAAAACTAACATAATAATGACATAATATTATATACCCATCAATTCGGGTACAAAACTAACATAATAATGACATAATATTATATACCCATCAATTCGGGTACAAAAGTAACAATAATAATAATAGTCGACAAAACCTAGGACTACTAAAAAAAAAAAAAAACTAACCAAGAAAAATCTGACAAAATTCTAGGACATATAGTCCTAAAGACTCGCTGATGTACTGGGCCCATTTAAAATGTCAGTCTTGGTTGGATTTGGAAGAAGTAGAGAAAAATTGTACTCGCAGCTTATTGTGTACCTAAGAGACTGCTATGATTCTTTATATATTACAATTAAGTTGTATATTAATTTACTAAACACAAAACAAACAAAAAAATCCAAAATTCAAATTCAATATCTAAATGAACATCAGTTAGATATTGATCATAAAATCAAGTATTTAGTAAAATAAAATAGTATAGCTCAAATAAACAGAAAATATAATCGAACTTGTAGACAAAGCTGCGAATTGAGTTTCTCTAGTCATACTTATTTTAAAGAATAGAAAAAAGGAATATAAATCTGTCTGTCAAGGGAAAAGTCCTAAACAAAAAATGTGCATGCTAATCTTGGTAAAAAACATGTTACAATTACTACATAATTAAAATACCTAATATGTATTTACTGCACACACACAACAAGATAAATTTATTTGCAAATAAATTTATCTTTATCTAAACCTGGCTTAAAAGATGCTTATTATCAAATTGAGATTAGAGAGAATGTACTTAACTTTTTTATAACAAGCAAGTGGTTATTTCGTTTCGATTACGATCCTACTACAATAAATAATTAAAACTCTATTTATTTAAACAGTATTTAACAAATCTCTGTTTAAAGTGACTAAATATTATATTATTTAGTCTGTGTAACAATGGTACTTGTAATTTAACGTGTCAAAATCCATAAATTATATAAATATAATTTATTACTTTAAGTATCTTTATTTTTAATAACAGAGACTTACCTTAGTTTAAATATAAACAAATATTGGTCACGGTTTTGTAGCAAGACATGAAAACCACCAACTAATAGGTATATTAATATACACATGAATGTTTTAAATGTAACAATTGGAAATAATCCCAAATAAAGGAAATGAATAAGACGCCTAAACATGTATTGAATATCTTACACAAGATTAACTGTTTGTTTGTTAATATTTTAATTTCGAACAAATGATGTAAGGCTAAAACATGTCCTATATCTATTTAAATTCGCGATTCACAACGCGAAAGTTTAAAAATGTGTTCAACGTATTTTAACTTTGTAAGGCAAAATAATATACCTACATATCCGTACACGTAGGTTACAAATAATGTATTAATAAAGGATTTATGTTCATGTTTAATCAATCGTAAGTAGAATTTTTAGGGCATGAGCTAATCTCAGAAAGTATTACTTCATCTGCATTACTCATAGAATGCTTAACAAAAAAACAACATAGATGTACTCATGAATTATTCTAAATGAAACGCATTGTAAATTTGATATTATGTCTAACAATACTTAGTCTCTGCTTAAAATAATATTATGCTATAATATAAATTAATTTATTAATATTTGTCTTAAGTCAATACTTTATGTGGTTGCTAATATGACCGGCAAATAATATTGCACATTAGGTGGGTAAACTGTTAATCGTAATTGTAAGTAAATAATATGATGCTACCCACATTTAACAATGTTGCACCAAAAGTAAATTGAACATTGCAAATGAGTGTATTTATGTTTTAGATTGTACCGTCTTATGTTAAGTCAAAGGAAGTTTTTAACTAACCACTGAGATACAGGCACACAATAAATATGATAATGTGTTATAATAATATTTAGATTTTATGTGTAAATATTTTAGAGATATGTATACAACTCTATATTATCAATATCTTAAATTACAAGTTGTACACAGTCACACTTATCTATCTTTATCAATTTATTGGTACACAATAAAAGAAAATGGACTCAAAATTTGGCTACAATGATTGAACAAATACATAAAATGTTAAGGCGTAAGCTCGCTAAATATACTGTGTTCAGAGTTCTGGAAAGAAAAGCAAACATTTACAGTAATTCGTAATTTCCAAGCAAAAAGAGTTAGTAAATTGTGGATACTAAGTTTTATAAGCCATACAATTAGTAGTTAGATGCTCCCAGGAAAACTGAACCTTAAAGTCAATCATTACAAACTCTTTAAATACGAATTCTGAGTCCTTTATTAATGGTTTTCTATTTTTATTTCATTTGAGATAGCGTAAACGAGCATTCACTACGACTCATGATAATTATTCTGGCACCCCGGCACTGTTGCCGTAAACAATAGATTATGTATCAAGGTACAAAGGATTGATATCAATTTTGGTACATATAATAGATGTCGTAATCAATGTTCATGAAGAAATAAAATTTTGTCTACATGACATCTGATCTAAAACAATATATTATGTAACATTCCTAAAATTAATCGATGTCTAAACTATAATAAATGTGACGTACTTATGTAAATATTGAAATTATAAATAGTAACGTCTCTAATATTGTCAGTATAAGTATTGTACGAATTATTAATTGGAATTCTGATATACTTAGTATAAGACCATAAATCTTCTTAAAAGTACATAAATAAAAGAAATTTTACAAGACTTGACACTTTATTCAGCACAACATTGGATAACTGCTTAGAATTTGGTATTAAACTATACTATTCGACACCATATTGACCGCAGTAGAACGAAGCAAGTAGAATACAAAAATGTGACATTATAATACGTGTACAAATAAATTAAAACCCAAAATCTGACTGGAGAGATAAACTCCTGCTATACCTCATAAGTTACAATATCATGCCACATTACTGATTTGTCATTAGAGATAAAATATCTTCTATTGTAAATGCTAAGAATAATGAGATTTATTTAGAATGGTAGAGACAAATCAATAAAAGAACATTTTAAAATTGGAAGGGAAAGATATAGTGACATAGATATTGAAAGTAGGAGAAAGTGTATTCGGAATATAATTAAAGAAAATATATATGCGATACTTCAATCCCTGTATACATATACTTATTGGCGCTATATCTATAAGAAAATATGGTACTAGACAAGAATTGAGATGAAATATACACAATAATATACTTAAGAAGATGGAAGATCAGTAACAAATTATAAGGATGATGAAAAGAAAGATCTCGATGGACTTCGAGAGGAAATAGTCATATAGTTTTTTATACAAACCAGTCTTATTATATTTAGTTGCCTAAGTTATATTTTGTAACATAATATATATGGTAACATCATGATATTATTTTAGTTACCTATGACTGTAATGTAAAACTATATTGTTGTAGTTGTAAATTTGTGAGTAATTGTATCCTTTCACATTTTGTTGTAAACTCAACTTTGTTTGAAAAAAGCAACAGCTAAGTTTCTTGCCCGTTCTTCTTAGCTGAAATTGCATTCCGAATGGGCGGTAGATTTATAAAAAAAATGACTATTCAAAAATGCTTAAAAAATAATAATTAAGTTTCCTAGAGTAAAAATATTCATATTCTATTATTAATTTAAAATATTTTGAAAAGGGAGAGATGTGATGTACTCATTAAAGTTGAGACTGCAAGTCCCCCCGCTCCTGCCACTCCTCTGGGTGACGTCCGGGCGGGTGGTCGTGTGAGTCGCATTGTGACATATTATTGTTTATTATTTCCTACACCTACCTACCATACCAGGAGGACAGCACAGTTACTATTTTTCTCAATTCATAGCAGGCTAGGGTACATAAAATGTTATACGGCCGTATAACCCTATTAAATTTATATATATAATACAAATATATAATCTGGTAATGTAAATGACCAAAAATTTTACATACATATTCTATACACTGTGTTTCTATACACTATGGTTGCCTTCTTTCTTCTTTTGCAAAGATAATTAGTACAAAGAGGACGGAAGGTACACCGTCAGTTGCTACTTTTCTCAATTCATAGCATGCAAGTATATAGAAAATGTTTGATATGTCAATTATTTAACAATGACAAATTTTACATTACTAGAGTATATATTCGACACAGTTTATGCAGAAAGTATGCAAGCAGGTTGTATTTGAATTTAGTAGGGTTATACGGACCTATAACATTTTTTATACACTAGCCCGCTATGAATTGATAAAAACAGCAACTGATGGTGTATTTTTCGCTCTCTTTTTACTAATTATATTTGCATAAGAAAAAAGGAGGTAACCATATGATTTACAGTTTTTATTTTATCATTCCTTCTATTTAATTCCTTGCTCTTAGATTCTTAGTCTATGTATCAATGATCGTTCGTTGAATTGTATTCATTCATTCTGTTTAATTTCGTTCAATAGTTTCAAATTCATTCATTTTAGATATTAAATAATAATCATTCGTCGTCTATTGGTTCCATAATAATTAGTTTTATTTTGAAAAACTGCAAATTAATATACAAATGTGACACGTGTGTGGACAATCGCATGATATTTTACGTAAAAAGATTAAGTACTGTGTTTTCTGGTTATTTTTAGAAAAATATTTTCACGTGAAATTATTGTTACGTTGTGATGAAATGTCATTTTTCGGTGGAACCAGTGGATATTGTAATTGATCGGAATAAGTTGTTTTGTGATGGTTAATAGATCAGATTTAGTCTTGTAAACTGATGATAAACAGATATATGATCAGTAGTGTTTCTTTATTTCCATCTTGTGTGGATTTTCATCGTATTTCTGATTGGATGAGTTAACGTTTTTGAGAAAGTGAAGGTGAGTGTCTTATGTTTCTTTTGTTATGTTACGCATCTATTTTCCGTCGGGTATGCGATTTCTTATGTTCTCAGTGTGTAATTTATCATAATTATTATATCTAGGTATGTTTGTTATTGTTTTTGCTCTTTTTTTTTAAATGGATACAAATTATCAAATTTATACTGATACACAATATCTGGCAGGGTTATTGAAACATATTTTCAATTAAAATATAATGTCTGATCATATGAGATAGCCAATATTTTTTTTTTAAATAACTATATCAAAGAATTGTGGTGATACCAATTTACTTTAATATTTTGAATGCAACAAACAGTTGATTTTGAAACATTGTCTTCTTGCACTTGATATGTCTCTTAATTATTATTTTTATTTTTCATGGGTTAACACCACAAAACGATCCTGGTCGAAATCACAGGATATAGCTAGTTTAATAACAATATTTTTTTATGATGAAATGTTTTCTAATCTATAAATTATGTTCTAACTAGCTTTTACCTGTGACTTCATCCATGTGACTAAAATTAGTTTACCGACTGAGATAAATAGACTATATCCTTCTCCATTCCATATCAGTATGTGTATACCAATTTTTTTTGTGATTAGTTAAATTGTTAAGGTGCTATAAGATAACAAAGAAAAAAATAAACACAATTACATATTTATAATATTATTATGGATAAATTTAATATATTATTCTGTAGGTTTAGTCACCTTTCACTTGAATCATCAAAATGTGCATCCACACACGCATGAAGAGTATCCATGCACCTAACTATTTGTCTAGTTATGTAAAAAATCTATTAACTTACATAATTGAATTCATTCGTAACTTTATGTGCAAAATTTGCATGTCCATATAATAAAATGCAATTTAGATGCCAATCTTATAGAGACATGGCTCTTAAAATGTTTCCTTGTTTTATAAGCAAACAAATGAATTTCATTTCATTTCATTTCAGAGTGTAGTAGAGGCTAAATAGAAATAATGGAATAGTTTACTAAAAGTGTATTTTGTGATTAAAATAATGTTCATGCAGCCTCAAAAGTGTTCATATCAAAACTTAACAAAGTGTGGCAAGCCAGAGTTATAAATTTGTCAATTTTCAATAACATTTGAACAATTATCAATATATCTGATTGAGAGTTTATAAAGTGCTCTGATAGTGAACTAAAATAACAATCATAAATTAAATTGTAAGTTATCAAATATTTGTTTGCTATCCAAATTATCAGTAACCTCTTTATCCCTTCTTTGCATAATGGTGGAAATTTCCATCATAACATTGAATGTCTAAAAATTATATAAAAGAACAAGTTCACTTTAAGTTGATCATGTCTGGATACCTTTTTAATGTATATTGTAGAAAAAAAAACATAGCTGTCAAATATATTCTTTTTGACCATTTTTCCATTAATTTTGAACATGAATTATATCACCTTGATTTATTTCACTAATAAAAAAAATCATGCAAAGAAGGGTTATAAGAAGCTTGTTGCATAGTTAATATTTTAGTTTACTAATGTGGCAGTTTTTATAGAATTTATTTCAATTATCATTTATTTATTTAAATAACTTTATTGACCAGTAAAAGTAAATATGGTACAATACACAGACTTAATGGTTGTAGCATTCTCTATCTATACCAGTCAACCTTTGGGATAATATTGAATTATTTAAAAAAAAAAAACTTCAAACAATGTCATTGCAAATCATCAAGTAAATAATTATTTTATTTACTTGATATTCTATTATATGGTTAATGAATGTAAGTACATTTTCATGTACATAAATTGCTACATGATTATAATATTATAGGGTTTAACAAACACATCCCATAACTGACTACAGGTTATAGCAGAAAACCAGTGTTTTGTCCTGGGCAAAGCTAGCTACACACAGAATTGTGGCCTGTTTTTATTGCTGCAGTACACACATGTATAATTGTTATTGTAGAAACTATGTATTCTGGGGGGAAAGGAATTGTTAGTAATGGAGATTGAGAATCCCATTGCTAGTAATATACCCAACCAGATCGACCTCCTCGCGGTTCCCACTGGAAACTATCATGGTTCATTTCTGATGAATTTATGATGGGCTATCTGGCTTGTTTTCATTCTCATGTATCACCCTTCACTGATGCTCCGCCAGTGTATCCCATTAGCGCAGGCGGAGTTACTGTTACCATACCATTTTCACTCATAAAAAAAAAACTGTATTCTTTGTTTTTTTCTTTGTAAGATTTTCTTTGTGTGTAATTGAAGCTTACAAACAAATATTATAATTTTGATATATTTTTGTATGAATGTGCTTGGGGCTTATTTAGAATGAGGGACAGTAAATATCTATTTTCTGTTACCAAGATAATATTTTAAGAAGATAGAATAAATATATAGGTTTGTATAATGTTTGTACAGATGCAAATACTGTTAGTCTAATTATGAGGAAAGGTTTTGACCTCATAGTCTTATAACCAGTCACCTGTGCAATGTGCGACATGTTTGTACAGTTGTAATAGTGTCACAAATAGATAGAAATATAATGAACAAGGCGAAATCGGAATCATAAGTAATATTATTAACAAGGTTGTGGTATATCAGTGAAATTATTATTTTTTTCTAAAAATTCATGGTTATGTATGAATTCCAAGGGTATTTATCGTGATGGTTTCGAGGGGAACACATAGAGGTCTACCTGACAGGGTACATTGCAAGCAAATGGAAGCTATTAACTGTCCATTGCTAAAAATAAGCTGATAAAAATAATAAACTTTCCATATTCCTTATGGGGGAATTGCAGGTATTTGCCACACTTGACACTTGAGTTGGGAACCACAGTTACCCAATGGCACACTGCTGCCCATTCCTTGATCATTAAATTTCCTTAATCACCTCTTAGGACCCCCATGGGAAAGGAAGGGTGTGGCCCATTCTATGCTGGATCACACAACTTATTATATTACTGCTTGCTAAATATGACAATAAAATTTAATATCTACCTGTAGAGGATACTTATATATGAAATCTAAATCATTAGGAGTATGTAAAACTAAGAATTTGCTCCAGTTAAAGAATATATTAGGATAAAAATACTAAATCAGTAATTTAAAAAAGATAAAAAATTTTAGTCTCCCATACTATGTAACTCTATTTCTTCTCCTTTAACCAAAAGTTATCTATAAAAGATTGTGTTAACAATAAGACCTTTGTACATTTATGTATATGTATATTTTAATTTAAACTTTATGGTACTGTATTTCACTTGTATTTGAATAATTTATATGTATTTATAGTATTTATTAAATAAATAAATAACTCAACAGCTGAATGCACTATGTTAGTATGGAGGCTCAAAGTTTTATGTTATATCTCGATCCATGTTTCTTCAGTGAAAATATTCAGAATGGATCGCTCCGTTCAATGGATACTAATTATTCCACCCTGTATATTAAATTCTTTGCTCCCCTTATGCCTTGAACTATATGTGGACCTAGTTTGATTTCTTATCATTTGGATTAATAATATTATTGTGACTTCTAAGCATTTTATCAAGTTAATTAACCACAAATCACTATATTAATAACATTTTGTTATGACTGAGGTATGAATTATAAAATTTTATCAGTAAAATCAGCCATCAGCCACATGGTTTTTTTTTTAAGTCAAAGTACATAAAAAAGTTAACAGAGTCCCTAAAATACATATTTTCACTTAATGTTGGTTAAATGGTTATGGTTAAATTATAATTTTGTATCTATACATATAAATAAAGCTGTAAGTACTGAACTAGCTGACATCAAAAACTGTGTCAATTGCTGATAAAGCATATAAATAATTTTGTATACTAAATAACAAACAGACTTCAGCATTTTTATTATAATTATAATAGAAGTGATTAGGCGACAAAATATTAACCTAATATCTGCAGTAGAAAATTATTGTTAATTAACTTTTACACGTGGCTGTGTCTGCGTCATCGCAACCGTGTGGCCCCTGCATAGAATGGGCCGCCCATTCTTTCTCGTGGGCGTCGTAAGAGGTAACTAGAGGAACTTAATAGTCGAGGGATGGGCAGCAGTGTTCCCCTTTAAACATCACTAAAACCTATTTATGGTTGCTAATCTGCCTGCCAAGCGTGGTAATTACATACTGATAAAACTCCCCTATATGGGGATTTTTTTATGGGTGAAAATGGTATGCTAACCCCGCCTGCGCTAACGGAATACGCTGGCGGGGCACCAGTGAAGGGTGATAGATGAGAATGGAAACAGGCCAGTTAGCCCATCATGATGAATTTATTAGGAATTTATCATGGTAGTTTCCAGGGAGAACCGCGAGGAGGTCGACCTGGTTGGGTATATTGCTAGCAATATAGCATATTGCTAACAATCCCTTTCCCCCGAGAGGTATTGTTAGTAATGTTATTCGGCTATATAACCCTACCAAATTCAGAAACAACCTGCTTGCATACTCTCTACATAAACTGTGTTTAATATATACTCTAGTAATGTAAAATTTGTCATTGATAAATAATTGACATATCAAACATTTTCTATACCCTAGCCTTTTATGAAATTAAGAAAAATTGCAACTGACACCCTTTCGTCTTCTTTGTATTAATTATCTTTGCATAAGAAGAAAGGAGGCAACCATAGTGTATAGAAACACAATGTATAGAAAATGTGTATGTAATTTTTTTTTCATTTACATTACCAGATTATATATTTGATACAGTTTATGTAGAAAGTCTGTCAACTTAGTGTATCTTTTGTCCTCTTTTTACTAATTATAATTGCATTCTATAATGAGTTATAATTAGGTAATCTTATAAATGATTACTTTGCAGGGTGATCAGTCGTGAGATGAGCTCCCCACCACCGGTGGAGTTGGAAGTGGAAGTAGCTGACGAGTCTATTGAAGTGGAAGTAGACAACGCAGACATGATTCCAGCTGACAGGTGCGATTTACTTTTTAATTATTTTATATTGAATAGTATTATGGGTGATACAGTATACTCACTTATGTCCATGGTACTGTCTTGTTTATAAGTATAGGTGACGGTTATCACTTACCATCAAGTGGGCCGTCAGCTTGATTGCAATTCTAAGTTGTAAAAAAAATTTACTGCTTATTAAGTGGTTATTATCATATATGTAATTATGTATTAATATATATGTATGATAATATTATCATATGTATAAAAAAAAGAATATATATAATATATTATAAATAATGGAGTCTAATAGCCCAACTAGCAATATATTATGGCGGTCTCCACGAGTACATGCCTTAAAAATATTTTGTATTTCATAATAATTTGTTTAATACAGGAGATAGTATTTTGTAATATATAATATATTAATTAAAGATAAACATGTATTTTGCACAGTTTCGAGTATGTTGTATACTTTTCATCTTCATCAAGGCTTTCATCGTCATCTACCATCTCTTAGTGGTACTCCGACAGTCTATACCTACCGATAGCGCAGTCGAGGTTAATATTCCATTTTCATATATTAAAAAAATCTCTTTCTCTCTCACACACACTGTGGGTAGGCAAGATAGATAAATAGTTACAGTATATACGGAGTATGATAGGGCTGATACCTAAGTAAGGTGAGAGTCTTTAAAAAATAAAAATAAAACATATGTTAGTGCAAGCAACGGAGCAACAGCTCGATCATTTATTGTAGATAAAGAAAAGTCATTTAATCACGCCACTGATCGTCTGTGATGTCACCTGTTTGATAATAATGGTCTAATCAAGCTGAAAAAAAAATTAGACTTTGACATTTCAAAATGGCGCGAGGAAGTCAGGTTGAACGCCTTATATACAGACACTAACTGTATCACGAGGCTTTACTTTGGCGCTGTTTTGTACGCACGTGGTCGCATCGTGATGTTGGATACCCTATAACGTTCCTCAAGATACGAGCTATTAAATGTAAAAAGAATTTTTCAAATCCCACCAGTAGTTCCAGAGGATAGTGCATTCAAACTCTTCTATTTTATCATATTACAGTAGAATATCGATTATCCGAATATTCGATTATCCGGATAAGAAAGGACGAATGGGAACCCATACAGTTACGACTGAAGCGCATCAGGGACTTGGCCGAAATGAAAAGATGTGATTCATTACGTCAAAGGTTATGAACTAATTATTTCCCAACCAAAATTTTGACTTTGAAATCGATTATCCGAATTTTCGATTATACGGAATATCCAAGGTTTTATTTGATTCGAATAATCGAGAATCTACTGTTGTATAGATTAATACAGATGTAGATGCATACATAGGATAAAATCGAAATCAGTAGCATCATTTAAAGGGAGTGTTCTACTAGTGAAACTGAATATTTTTCCCAAAGATACATAATTCACGACAAGTTAATTATGGAGCAGTCTTGTCAAATTTCTCTCTCTCTCTCTGTCCCCTCTCTCTGCCGTCCCCCCTCTTTTACCCCTCACTCTGCCTCTCTGTCCCTCCTCCCCACACTCTTTCTCTCTTGAGAAGAATCTTTAGCTTCTTTGGTCTTCAGAATCCTTAAAAGTATATATAGGTGTACAAGCATTAATTATTTTAATTTTTATCAATGTACATATTTATAAATAATCGTATTTATAGTAATTACATATCTATATTCAGGAAGTACGTACGTCGCTGTGTGTACTAATGAAACTAACGTAAACACCATATCTGAGATAAAAACTCGTCAATGTCAGCGTTCGATGTTTTTATCAAGGAAAACAATTTGTAATGTGCAGAGACTTCACGGCGCTATATAACCCCTTATGTATTAGAATAGGGGTTTACCACGATTGGCTTCTATAGAATCGCGTAACATGTGAAAGTTGTGAAAAAAAAACATCACCTAAATGTGTTTATTGTTTTTTTATGTTACTTGAAATAATTTATTCATTAATTCAGGAATGGCAACCTTTTCGGATTGCCATGTGACAATACAATTATGGTGCTATTCATGTTTATAGACACTTTAGCACTTTCCATTTAGTTAGTCGTCAATTGGTTTGCCATTTTTAATCATATGAATAAATTTTATACATAACATGAATTCTTAAGTTTAAAATTAATGCGAGCATTTACGAATATCAACATTTCTCAAGGCCAGACTTGTTATCGGGACCAGTATTCGAGTCAAAACACTCGACGTTATCGATTTGTGTTTCTATTCTAATATTATGCGTTTTCTCTAGCGTAAATTTCATGATGAAGTCATTTATCCTGAGTTTATCCTTCGATTGGAAACTTAGCCAGTCTTTTTTTCACCAGAATCAATACACAAATCGTGAGATATAGCTTGTAATGACCGTGGAATATCTAGATGGATCTAGTAACCCCGTTGCTATTAATTAAAATAGACATTCAAGTTTCTACATTACGGAGACTAGAAGTTCGTTACAATGAGCCAATTGATGTGACTTTATCCTCATCTATCATCTTTCACTGAAGACTCACTGGCGTAAATATCGCAGGAGAGCTGCTTGTTGATTTCGTCTCAAAAGAAAAATCTCAATTGTATAGTTGCGTAGAACAGTAATAGAGGTACCATGAGACTCAAATGCATTCTATAATTTTCACTATGCTCATGTTTAGAAGTGATGGTTAGCACTTTCCTCAGGTGGGTTGTCAGCTTGTTTGTCATTCATATTTTTAAATTATTGACATATAAAAAAAAACTTGGGAGGGCATACTTGGCTGAGGTATATACATATATCACTGCCAAAATCATTATACCTTTTTGTATTATTATATTTATATGTTAACATTTAAAGAGCTAATTGACTTATATATTTTATCTTGAGCAATAAATACAATTAATTATTTATGTATTCGCTAGAGGTCTTATCAGCTTATAGTCACGTTAAATTGATTTTATGTATCAATGCAAATTGCTACTCGTCATTGCCCATTTGCACTGAAATTTGGCAACACAATGCGAACTGTCTATCACACTGTCTAGTGTCTACTCGTACGTATGTTATGTATGTAAAAATATTAGATTACATCATCTTACTAAATAAAAAAGTTAATTCTGCTTTTATCTTTATAATACACATACATAACATATCCGTCACACCTATTTGTCATTGCGGTAGGCAGGAAGAGTCTTATCTTCACAACTTATTTAAAAAAAAAATCAACTTCAGTATTGTCAATGAATGTTGTTTTTTTTTTTTAATTTTTTTTTTACAAATTTTTACCCGTGGCTACGTCCGCGTGACCGGAATATATAAAATGACTAGGTTAAAATGTAGTCTACGTTTGTCTCCACTTCAAATCCTATGACTATGATTGGTTGAGCTGTTTAAGCGGCAAGAAGTAACAAACAAACAAACACCAACTCGGTTTTACATTTATTTAGCATCTTTACTCCTTACTAATAATAAACATGAAACCAAATTGTTTTTTTTTACAGTAAACAAGTGTTAAACTTAGATAGATAGATAGGTAAACACTTTGAGCCATTTTTGACACACGTAAATTAATAAATAAATTTATACAATCTGATTATTTACATTTTTTCAAATATAAACTTGTACATGCTCATATACTAAGAAAGGAGAGAGAGAGAGAGAGAGCTCTCTCTATCTCTCTCCTTCCCTTCCCCTCTCTTATTCTCCCCCTGCCCCTCTAACTCTATCCTTCTCTTAATCTCTCCTTTTCTCTATCTCTTTCTCTTTCCATATCGTTCTATCTCTTTATTTATCTCTTTCTCTCTATTTCTTTGTCTTTTCCTCTTCAGCCGTACACTGTTGACAGAGTCGTTGGTCGTGGTTTTCATAATTATAGTGGTTCTCGCAATCTCTCCATCTATTTCTGCTCACGGCCGAGCGAGAGCATTCCACAATAGATTGTTGTGTGGCCGTTATGATGAGGTCAGTCCATCGCGTTGATGATCTTCACTCAAATTAAAAGAAAGACAATTGTGGATTATTATTTTATGTATGGTAGTAGTTGTCGTGTTAATCCCTCACTATTATCAAGATCCAAGTAATATTGTTTTTTTTTTATCTGAAATGTTGTGCGGTGTGATGTCAACCTTTCATGAAGAGTTCAATGTCAGCAGCAAGGCCTTCATTAAGGGAAGAGGTGTTGTGATGACTCGCGCCGTGTCATCGGAGCACTGGCGTTACGCCAACATCCGATTGCTCCATCATAACATATTATACCTTATCTCATTGTCCTAAGGTGCAATTTTGCGTCCAAGCACGACGAGACAAATTTGCGACTTATCTAAGTATGCAAAGTGTAAGCTCAATACCATGTTATATTTTAAATTAAATTGCACTGCAATTAATGCTTTATCTCGTTGTGCTAAGATTCATTTTTTATTGCTTTTTTTTTTTAATTTATATATTTTAATTTTTCCTTGTCATTCTTGTCGGAATTCCGGAGTAGAGACCTAGATAAGAAGTCTGTTTAAATTCGTATAATTTTAAGTCAAAATAATCGTAGGAAGTAGACAATAATTAAAATTACATGATATAGTGGTGGGAAATAAACACGGTGTCAAAATCTAGGTAATTAAAATAGGATTTAAATATATCTATTAATTTATCTAGTACCCATTTTATAAGCTCTGCTAAATTTGGCATTGGACAGCGTTGAATAATGATTATTTATTTTATGTTATATTTATCAACCGACTTTAAAAAGAAGGTGTTCACTGCAGTCGTATTTTTTTATCTTTGTTACCTCATAATTTCGACAGTTGTAAACGGATTTGGTAAATTCTTTTTCTATTTATTAGGATATACTAACAGATTGACGCTATAGAATTTTATGAAAATCAATTCAGTATTTTAGTTTTTAAATAGAAATAACTGTTTCTGTCACAGTTGAAGTCTGTTTCTTGTTGTGGGATGCAATCTTTAATTATTATTTACTAGCCATCTACTTGGACAGGATAGGACAGAAGGGAAAAAATGTTGGGACACTTGATACGACACGACGAACTTATGAACATTATAACAGAAAGTAAAATAGAAGGAAAGAGGGGAAGAGGGAGACCGAGGCATACTTACATCAGGCAGATCAAGGAAGGAGTTGGTGTCGTGCCGTATCAAGAGGTGAAGAGACTCTCTGAAAATCGTAGTGAGTGGCAAGAGCTCCACCGACAAGAGCGCAGCTCTTAAATAGGATAGATAGATAGATAGCTATCTACCTCGGCTTCGTACAAGTGTACTAATGAAGAGTATGAGACCAAATCTTCCCTTTACAATTTGACTATGTAATAAAATATAATTACTCCTCTCCATCTAAAGGTTGCCTGGAAGAGATCGCTTTTAGCGATAAGGTCGCTCATTGTTTTCTCATTGTGATTATTTCTTGTAATTGTTTATATTTATAATAAGTTTACTATTGTAATATTTTGGAGGAAACAATAAAGAGTGTCTATCTATCTATTTATCTAAAATGACAAGTAATTTCAACCGTAAAGCCAAGTAGGTGCTGATGTTCTGAAGTTATTTATTGTGCGAATATCATGGGCGAAACAGTATACTTTGTGATGTCCATGGTACTGCTCATGTCTTTAGGCGACGGTTTCCACTTTCCATCAGGTGGGCAGTCAGCTTGTTTGCGATTCTAAGTTGCATAAAAAAAAATCGGCCATTGATTTTTATTTACATAGTTATATTTAAATTGTACACTTGTTTTTAAGTAAAAAAAAATTAATTGACAGTTTTTGAGATTTCTACTTATATTTCTTATAATGCGCAGTAGAAGACTTTTTTCTTTTTTGATATATAAAGAAAAAAACTAAACAAGAGTCGAACTTACGTCCAAGTGTTGTATTTATGATCCCAACTTTTGGCATATTCTCTCTAATTTTAAATGACTCCGGCGGACATTATAAAAATCTAGGCTGTTTGATACTAAATTGTCGATGAGACACTTAGAGATATTTCTCGCCGAGTCCCGATTATTTCCGACTTAATAAAATGAGAGTAATGTTGTTAACCTACATCAAACGTTATAATTAGACATTAGTAGTTTTTGCCCGCGACTTTGTCCGCGTGACTAGAATATGTTTACTGACCAGGATAAAAAGTAGCCTATGTACATCTCCATTCCATATAGTACGTATATACTAAATTTCATAATGATTAGTTAAGCCGTTGCGGAGCTAAAAGGTAACAAACAAACTCACTTTCACATTTATAATATTAGTAATGAATATTGTTAAAAGTTTGCTGTGTGGTCCCGGCATAGAATGGGCCACTCCGTTTCATTTCCGTGGACGTCGTAAAACATTACCAAAGCCAAATTGCGGATGCTTTAAAAAAAAAGGGCGAACACAAAAGATTATGGAAAGGTCGCAGTGTCACAGGTTATTCTTTCTGAAAAAGCACGTCTTTCAATAACAATAATAACAGCGGTTGCTAATCCGCCTACCAAGCGTGACAACTACTGGCAAAATCCTCTATCTGGGAAGACTTATGTTCAGCAGAACACAGTTAATGGATGATATGCTATGGTATGTTATTGTCCAAAGTTTATTAACATAAGTACAACCGCGTGTGTTGGGGGGGGAGAGGGTTTGTTAGTAATGGAGACTAAGAATCCCATTGCTAGCAATATACCCAACCAGGTCGACCTCCTCGCGGTTCCCCCTGGAAACTATCATGGTTAATTCCTGATGAATTCATCATGATGGGCTAACTGATAACTGGTCTGTTTTCATTCTCATCTATCACCCTTCACTGGTGCTCCGCCAGCGTATCCCGTTAGCGCAGGCGGTTCTACCATACCATTTTCACCCTTCAAAAAAAAAAAAATCGCGTGTGTTGTAATATGCATTTAATGTACATTTCAAACTCTCTAAGTGAACATAAACTCTTATTGTGTGTCACGGATTTCTTCATTTTATGTCCGCCATAAATAACATTGTGATTACTTGCTCAGTGGGCCGTCATATTGTTTTTTTTTTACGTGAATTTATATAGCCTATGTGACATATATTTTTTTGCTATAATTCTATACGTAATTTATCAAAATCTATCAAGTAGTCACTTAATAATAAAATTGCATAAATACACAAAAGTTTATAAATTTTTGTTTTTTCCCTTATCGGTAATTTTTTTTTATACAACTTAGTATGGCAAACAATCTGACCGTCCACCTGATGGAAAGTGGTAACCGTCGCCTGTACACATGAGCAGTACCATGGACATAACAGAGTATACTGTTTCGCCCATGATATCCCCCATTCGTTGCCATTCCTGAGGACTCGGGTGTTATTCCTCTGTACCCTGTAAATTCACGCCATATCCCACCCTTCAAACCGAAACACAGCCATGCAAACACAACTGCTTTACGGTAGAAACACGAATGGGACAGAGGTACTCAAGCAATCGACTTTTGTACAAAGTCTCCCTCTTATATGTTTTACTTGCCACATGAAATATTAATAGGTACATGGTAAATTTTTCAATTCTGTTACAATTCTCGTATGGAATTGAAACGAAGTTAAAAATCGATAGCAAGTCATAAAATGAATATAAAGTGCTTTTTTTTATGGCATAAATAAAATCTTAATACGTTTTTCATAAGCATTTAATACGATTTTCACCTAGTACATAAGTAATTTTTTTTTAACATTTTTTTTCTCAATTACTCTATAATGTTTATGAAAAGATTGATGAATGTGGAAGAAGCGAAATAGGTTTGTTTGAATCGAAGCGTTTGGCGTTCCATTGTTTCTGCCTACCCTAATGGGAGACAGGAATGACAGATATGTATGTATGTATGTACTCTATAATTGATGAGTCAAAAACTTTCTTAGGCGGCGACTATGACTTCGTACAAGCAAACGCAGTGTAGTGCGACCTCTACTCGACAGAGTCAATAGATGCAGGCTCAGGACCGTTCCTTATTTATGACTGTTCAATCGAGGGGACCTTTAGCAGTGGACAATTAATGACTGTGATGATGATGATGATGATGATGACATCATCTAATGTGATTGATAGTGAACATTCCATATTTATATCAGTACAAGCAATTCTACTGCGTTGAATGTCCACATAATTTTGCATTAAACAATAAAATCTAAAATTCAAATACACTTGATCTTTACTCGATGATTTTTTTTTATATAAAAATAGACCGACTATCGCAGAGTGGCGTCATGCCAACCGTGTGTTCAGTACATTGTTTACCGTTGAGTAAGCATGTCGTGATTTTCTATACGTTACGGTCGCGAAGTTGCGTTACTTTCAACAGTTTTCCAAAACCGCGAGTGTATAAACAATTTTAATGCGTATTTATTTTATTCAACAGTTTAGTTGTTATGTTTAGAAACATTATTTGTATAGTATATATGTATTCAAATCTATTCAAATAGTTTGCCATTAATGATTGAGTTATTGCCAAATTAATAAGACGAAGTGACCCTAATTGCTATTCACAAGGACGGACGTAATTCTCCAGATAAATTCTCTATTAATTAACAACTGTATCTGTCCTATATCCTCTCGCCATTACATATGGGATAAGCAGAGGGAATACAATAGCACCCTGGTTTTCTTCCATATCTTCTATCTTTCCTTAATCGAATAATAATATTATTGTTATTGTAAGGTCTCTGAGTCTGTTGCAGTAACCTATAAAAAATTTTGTTTCTATTTTAAAAACTGACTTGTAGGTTTGATATTCTTTCTGACTAGTTGTTTATCGTGTCTTCGCCCGCGCAGAACTACTTTAAGTGTATTAATAACTTTTTAAAACGATCAAACTTTCATCCCAAATATTTGATTATGTGTTATGTCTTTTTCCTGTTCTTTTTTCAAACTACTTTGTTCCATATATAAATACCTTCTTTTTTTTTTGGTATATTTAAATTATTGCATTGTGATTTTTACATTTAGTCATTAGTAGTTTGTTAGGTGTCACAGATAATGCAAGTAAATAATTAGTTGGTCTATTTTATATCTTGTTGCTTTTATAAAAGGATTGTATTTAAAATATATCTAACACAACAGTCTAGTCTTATTAAAAAGCTTTATATTCATAGATAAGTTAGTCAAAGCAAATATTTTCGTATGTAGATGTAACAGTTTTATTATAATTATGACAAAGTGTTCTTCTAAAGTGTATATTAGTACCATGACACAAAATCCAGTGGTTCCTAAACTGTGCTAGTGACGTTGTGTTCTAAGAAATTGCAATATACAATATAATAATGAGTGAAAACGGCACAATTGCGGACAGGTTTACTTTACCAGCGCGCGCTGATGCCGTGGTGGAGCTATGGCGGGCCAAGATGGCGGAGGGGGTGCTGTCGCCCGCACACTTTCACGACCACTGGCGGGTCACCGTGCCCAGGATTTACTCACCACAGCCGAACAGGACCTGTTTGGGTAAGTCATTTCATCATTGTCAGATTATTACAGTCCATTGCTGTGGTATATTTTGTTCACGTACTGGCCACTAATAAAATTGTAAGTACTGGCCAGTAAAAATTTGTTCTATTTATTCTTTCTATGTCTATTAAATCAGTGTTCAACCAACTTGTTTGCGTATCACATGATGATAACGATGCTGGCCATAGACTTTACCTCTAGTCTTTATCAACCCTATATAATGGTTTAAATCGTAAGAAAAAATAAATAAATTTACTCTATAGTTTTTACTCTTAAACGGTTGAATCGATTTAGATGGAATTTACTATGGTAATATCTTGAAGCACTAAGGAAAGTATATGAGTAGATTATTTGTGGACTCAACCTCGTAATTGGATGAAATATGGTAAATGAAGTCTCGGATTATAATTAGCTATCTTCTTCTCTTTTAGATATACTCTTCTTACTTCTCCCTCTACTTCTCTACTATACTCTAACTACTTCCAAAATAAGGATTACAGTAAATAATTGAGTCGAGGTGATACAATTACTTTTTTCAATGGGTCTTTTGAATTACTAAAATAGAATAATAATAATTATACATTTCACGGATAAATCTTTTTAAATAATAATAAAACATTTTACTATGGTCGTGACAAAATAAGTCCCGTATAGTCCCGCCATAGAATGGGCCACCCCTTCCTACCCCGTGAGTGTCGTAAGAGGCGACTAAGGGAACTTAATAGTTGAGGGATGGGCAACGGCGTCTCTTTTAAAATATCTCCAAAGCGTAACTACGGTTGCTGATCTGCCTGCCAAGCGTGGCAACTACTGGCAAAATGCCCTCTAGGTGGAGGCTTATGTTCAGCAGTAGACAGCAAGCTGATATGATGATGATGATGATGATGATGTGACGAAACAAAGCTGTCACCGTGTTTCGCATAAGAGCACTCGGTTCCTCGTTCGCGTATTATCAGAGATGAAAGAGCATTAAATCCGCAATGTAACAGCTCTTTATAAAATTTTCAGATTGGTCGTTCGACGAGGACTTAGCTGTTCAGCTGTTGTTCCATCCTTTGGAGCAGTTCGTATGGAACACGAGCGCGGGCACGCTGCCGGCGGCGCCGCGGCGCTCCACGCTCTGCGGGAAGGTGTTCAAGCAGGGCGAGCCGGCTTACAGCTGCAGGGAATGCGGTTAGTAGCGCTGTTGTGTCTAAAATTTGGTAAGCTTGGTAGTATAGTGGCTTAACACATTGCGTCCCTGTTTGATAGTCGCGGGTTCGAACACCGCCCAATAAAAATATTTCTATTGGTCTGGGTGTTTTTCATATATAGGGTGGAGAGGACAGGTTGGTCAAAATAGAAACAGCTAATTCAGATGAATGTTCTGAATCAGATGGCAGATTATTTTACCACCGGAAATGCACCACAGCTATGTAATAAATCATGCTTAGTTTTGATTACATGGTTTTAAATAAAAAAAAAAAACAGGAAATTTTTTAAAATTTTCCGGAAAGAATTCCCATTGATTTTCGGTTCAGAATAATGGTCTGAATTCCCTGTTTCAGTTTTTGCCAACTTGTCTCTTACACCCTGTGTAATATGTATGTAGTCACAAAAAAAATATGTCTTTATCAGTTGTCCAGTACCCAAAGTATAAGTTCTCCTTAATTCGGAACTAGATGACGCTGTTAATAATAGTAGTAAACCTTCAAATGTTGACAGTTGCACGCACAATGCTGACGCGGTTAGCTTAGCGGAATTAAACAAAATATTTTTAATCAACTTACCCACTAAATGGACTTCCTCAAAATAAGATCTAGTTCAGTTAAAATTAGTTGATTGTATATGACTGCGGTTTCTAATCTGTCTGCCAAGCGTGGCAACTACTGGCAAAACCTCCCAAAGTGGAGACTTATGTTCAGCAGTGTACACTTAAAGGCTGATATGATGATGATGATGATATTACGATGACGGGAAAGTGATCGTTAGCAATTGAGTTTGACAACCTCATTGCTAGCATTATGCCCTATTAGGTTGATGAGGCGTGATTCCCCCCTGGAAACCATCGTGAACAAATCTTGTTGAATTCGTCACGATGGGCTAACTGACCTGCTTCACCCTCACCTGTTATCCTTCACTGGTGCGCGGTCGGTGTATACCGATAGCGCAGGTGGGGTTGCCATTCCATTATCACCCATTAAAAAAAAACATCAGAAGTAGTGCTACTGTAACAAATCGAGGTACTTGTATGTATACAGGTATGGACAACACATGCGTGCTGTGCGTGGAGTGCTTCAAGGTGTCCCCGCACCGTCACCACAAGTACAAAATGGGCCAGTCCGGCGGCGGCGGCTGCTGCGACTGCGGCGACACGGAGGCCTGGAAACGGGACCCGTTCTGTGAACGGCACGCTGTAAGTGTTTATCTATACCAGCCTTTCCCAAAGTCGGCGATAACGCCCCCTTGTGGGCGCTGCAGATCTAAAGGGGGGCCGTAAGAGCCCCAGAAAAAATGGGTCAGAATGGCAAACAAGCTGACGGCCCACCTGATAGAAAGTGGTAACTGTCGCCTATAGATATGAGCAGTACCATGGAAATAACAGAGTATATTGTTTCGCCCATGATACCCCCCATGCGTTGCCGTTCCTGAGGACTCAGGTGTTATTCCTCTGTACCCAGTAAATTCACGAAATATCCCACCCTTAAAACCGAGCCACAGCCATGCAAACACAACTGCTTCACGGTTGAAACACGTATGGGACAGAGGTATCCAAGCAATCGACTTTTGTACAAAGTCTCCCTCTGGTGGTTGTATATTTATAATTTCTTTTTATTCCTATCTCATTAAAAATAATAAATATTTCTTTTCCCTCCATATAAGTAAACTTTCAATATAATATATTTTTTTTTTTATAATAATTATGCCCTTTTACAACTATTGGTTTATGAGTCCAATCGCCAACCTGTCTCTTACACCCTGTATAATATTCCGCCATCAAACCGCATACCTACTACATATATAATATCATTATGTCTGTGCTTGCATGCACTTTTCTTGTATCGATAATGATAATTCTGCACATTCTTTTGTATATTTATAATTGTCATGCGAGGACTCATACGCAAGACAATGCGTCTCATTTTTCGCTGTCACATGTAAAGTATCCGATATACCCAAAGGTACAACCGACGTTCCATTATCTAGAATGTAATTTGATAGATCAATATTCATATTACTGTAGCTATGAACTAAGTAGATACATTTTTATTATTCTAATAATTAGGTTCCACAAAACAAAACTGACTTAAATTGTGGCAAAACCATTTATTGTAATTTAAAAACTAAAATATTTAGTTCATTTTGATAATATTACTATAAATCCAATCTATAATAACTTATAACTTTTAAATAAAAAAAAAAAAAAATTTTCAAATCGATTTACAACTGACGGAGTTGTGAGGTAACAAATATATGTATAAAAAAAATACAACCGAAATGAGAACCTTGTTTTGGAAGTTTGTTGAAAAATAATTATTTTATAAATAAAGGAATCTTTAACATATAAATATAAGTAAATTAATTGATTTATTATGGTTACCAGAGGGAGACTTTGTACAATCGTTTGCTTGAGTACCTCTGCCCCATTCGTGTTTCAACCGTAAAGCAGTTGTGTTTGCATGGCTGTGTTTCGGTTTGAAGGGTGGGATATGGCGTGAATTTACAGGGTACAGTGGAATAACACCTGAGTCCTCAGGAATGGCAACGTATAGGGGTATCATAGGCGAAACAGTATACTCTGTTATGTCCATAGTATTGCTCATGTGTACAGGCGACGGTTACCACTTTCCATCACGTGGACCGTCAGCTTGTTTGCCATTCTAAGTTGTATAAAAAAAATACTGTAGTAGCAAATATTAGACACGTCCTGAGGCTCTATATAAATATTAGAAACGTAAGGCTGCAAACCATTGCCTCTGCATTTGTTATGTAGGCTCCTTGGTATCTTAAATGTTCCGATTTGGACTCAAATGGTATTGTTGGCTCGAACGATATACTGTTTACAGTTATTGGCTAGTGATTACTTCCAATAAACAAGATGCGACCTTTAAACAAAAGACATACGTTTTAATATTCTTCTTTCGCAACCAACAACATACAAAATAGATATTCCTGTACTATATATAGACTGCGATTCGTTGGCAAGTATGCGTATGAGTCTACTGGGAACGGCTTATCCAGAACCAGGGGACTACAGGTATCTTAAACCGCGGGATATCGTCAAGGTAACACAAAGGATCTATGAAATGATGGTATAAGGCAGGGGGAAGCAAAAGATCCCAATGGGTCGACGTGCAACAGCTTAGCTGACCCCATATGCGAATATAAGGTATATAGACTGGATTCCACATAAATTTTATATATATTTTTACACTATTGAACTAAAATATAAGAACTATTTAATAAAATTACACTTACGAAATACACGAGTTATTATTATTTTATTTATGCTTTAATGACCACATTACAAAAAAAAAAAAATAGTCTAGTAAAAAAGGTGGACTTAATACTTATATAGTATTCTCTCCCAGTCAGCCTTTGACGAAAAAGAAAAGTAATTATGCGGTGAAGAATTATTCTTAATTATTTATTATTAATTAGCGGTCCGTCGCACGGGTGGACATTTTTAACATTTCCCTTTACTGCTCTGCTCCTATTGATCGTAGCGTGATGAAAAGTATACTATAACCTGCCCAGGAGTATGAAGAATAATTGTACCAAGTTTCGTTAAATTTCCGTCTAGTAGTTTTTGTTTCTATAACGAACATATAGACAGACAGACAGACACAATAATTTTACTGATTGCATTTTTGACATCAGTATCGATCACTAATCACCCCCTGATAGTTATTTTGGAAATATATTTCATATACAGAATTAACCTCTCTACAGATTTATTATAAGTATAGATAATAATCGGCAATAAACTGTCCACTGCTGGACACGGGTCTCCCTCATGTTTGCCATAGTTGCCACACTTAGCCTTTGATGATATTTTTAGAGAGACGCTATTATCTGTCCTTCGATCATTTAGTTCCCTTAGTCGCCTCTTATGACACTCACGTGACAGGACGTAATAATTAATTTCCGTTATTAAATTTAAAAAATATATATACACATACATATCTGTCACGCCTGTCTCCTATTAGGGTAGGCAGAAACAATGGAACGCCAAATGCTTCGATTCAAACAAACCTCTTTCGCTTCTTCCACACTCATCAATCTTTCCATACATGCTCGGCGGTTACGGGTACTTTTAATTTGGCCCTTCTTCAGCACGTCGCCTATTTGGTCGACATACGTCCGTCTAGGGCGGCCCCTACCGACATCTCCATTTATTCTTGCTCCATAAATCTCTTTCGTAATTCTTCTTTCATCCATCCTCTCCAAATGACCAAAATAATATATACGTAATTAATATTTTTACTCCTGTGTCCTAAAGGACAGGCTCAGCCTAAGTGTAGGAATCAATGTTAAACTTTGTACTTATGTAAACATACTTTGGTAATAAATACATTTTTACATATATTTTTTTTATATATTTTACAGAAAAACTCAGAAGAAGAAACGAATACCAACGTGAGTGCTGAGGTACTGGAGCGCATGAAGATCGTCGCGTCAGTTTGCCTCAATTACTGTTTAAGGCTGCTCACTAACGACCACACGCCGGGGCTGCCAAACGATCTAAGGTGATTTCTATTTTGTAGAATATGATTGGAAATATGTTTTTTTTTTTATATATATAGTTTTATCTTTTATATATTTATATAACATTTTAAGTATTTCTTTTTATTTTGTGTGTTTGCTTTTAATGAATTACTCAAGCTGTGCACATCATGTAATTGGATTATAACCTAGCCGAATCACAAATGTAATTATTACTTAAGTTTTTTATGGTTGTGATCTGTTTTATGTGCCAATAAAATAAAATAAATAAATAAATAAATTAGCAATAACATGGTCCGCCTGTGCCACATAGACACCCTAAACTATGCAGGTCTTGGGAGCTCCCTGTAGGTAGGTTGGTCTCTAGCTAGTAGACAGCGTTTGAAGGTTATGAGGGTTGTAAACGGTCAAGCGGCAATAGTCCAGTGTGTATAAATTAGGGGCGGGGGGGGGGGGATTGTTAATAATCGGGTCTTATTCACCTATTGCTAGCAATGTCAGGTCGACCTCCTGGCGGTTCCCCCTGAAAAACATCATGGTTACTTCTAATGGAATTCGTCACGTTGGGCTAACTGACCTGCTTTCATCATCAGCTATCATCTATCACTGGTGTCAAGCCAACGTACACCGATAGCGCAGACAGTACCATTCCATTATCACCGTTATTAAAACGGATGTATACTTGGTTGCTTAGAGGACAGAGAAAGAACTGATTTTTCTGCTTTCTTTCGAGCGGTAAAAGATGCACGCATGACTCGGAGCGCTTGATCGTGTGTGGAGTTCATTATAGCAATACCAAATTGTTGTAATTCAACATTAGTGTATATGTATCGAAATAATTTACTAGCCGCGTCTGCTGCGGTTGTGACGTAACTACGGTTATCAATCCGTGTGCCAAGCGTGGCAACTACTGGCAAAACTCCTTATAGGGAAGGCTTCTGTTCAGCAATGAATAGTTAACGGTTGGAATAAAATTACTTTTAAACTATTATAATTCAATCATAGCGCTTGTTGTTAATATTAATTGTGAATTTCTATCTTTCAGACTGAAGGACGCCGAACGAGACCTCCTTCAGATATTGGACCAGCCGGACTGTTATTGCACCGTCCTTTATAATGATGAGACACACACGTTCGAACAGGTTAGTACCCTAAGCATTGCAAGTGATAGGTTTTTTTTTTTAATGGATAATAATGGAATGGTAACCCCGCCTGCACTATCGGTACTCACCAGTGAAAGATGATAAATGAAGATGAAGCAGGTCAGTTAGCTCATCGTGACCAATTAACCAATGAATCAATCGCAAGTGATAGGTGCTTCCTATCTGGAGAGTGGTCAGAAGAACTACATTCCCTCATTCCTCCTTCTTTCCGATATCGCACCCTGAGAACGGGCCAGTATAACTATATCCATACAAGGTAGACTAGTCGTGCTCGCGTACAAGTTTGCGAACTCTTACGTGTACCGTACCGTAACAATGTAGACTAGCCTTTCCCGTGACGTGTTTCCTTCATCAGATAAATTTACTAACATTAGTTTTAAGAATATTGTTACTAATAAGTATTTAATGGACCAAGAAAGTCCGAAATAAAAATTATTATTATTATTATTAATATCTATATATTGGTCCAATAATGGATATATTAATTAGCGGTTATCCAATATATATTTACTATCGAAATAGGCACCCGCTCGAAACGAACATAGATATCCGACTGATATGGGCGATATCAAAGTGTATGGTGACCCTATTTCCCCTGTCAATTTCCAGTGAAATAGTATACTGTACAGATATTATCCATGCCTAGACATGTTTAGAAACTAATCCACAATATATTATATATATATATATATATATATTTTTTGTCTAGGTGATAACAACCCTGATCCGAGTGATGAAGTGCAACCACCGCGACTCAGTGGAGCTGGTCACGCTCATCGACCGCGAGGGTCGCGCGCTGGTCAAGTGCAACACGTTCCAAGTCTGCGACAAGCTCAAGAACGATATAGAGTCGTAAGTTCCACGCTGCTCATGTAAATGTTGTCCATTTTATTTTGTTATTTTTTAAGCTATTTTTTTTTATTTAGATTTTTTTCTGTTTTAGTGTCTATATTAGATAGATTGTTTCCTTCAAAAGATTACAGTAGTAAACTTAAAATTAACAAAAAAGAAAAAATCACAATTTTTTCTTTGTTTTTTTTTTTTTGTACAATGCCATCTAGTGGTAAAATTGTACTTGTAGTTTGAGAAATATAACATTGAGACGTTAAAATAAGATTTGTGAAATTAAGGTGTTTTTAAAAAAAAAATTCTATTTTAAGGATTGTATAGAATGAAAATAAAAAAAAAATAGAATATTATAAACCTCTCAGTGTAATGTAGTATGAGGCATTTTTTACAGCTTATTTTATATAGTAGTTGATATAAACTTATTCCGACGGAAGCGCCATTGTATTACAACGTAAATAAATTTCTTCTCTCCTTTAGTTTGTAGTAATAAAGAGGAAAAAAATCGCTTTTGGTCAGTTGACTTCCAACGATTGTTTTTATTTATTTTATTTTTATTTTAGAAACAAACAGTACAAATAACAGATAAAACATTACATAGTAAATAATTATTAATCAATAAAGTTTGCTGTTGTTTACGTTGTAACACGGTGGCGCTACTGCCCGTTACCTCTTATGCGTGAATTTCAGAAGTAGAGAAACTATAGAAATAGATTATTTCTAAACGGCGTATAAAGATAAAATTTACACTAGATTTCAAATTGGACTTACAGGAACGCAACTGTGAAAACTTCATCTTATTTTGTATAGTATTTTTTGCATGATGCCGAAACAAACTTACAGACAGATGGCCGATAGAAAAAAATTCTAAAAAGTATTGTATCGGCATCTATTGGTCTTATGAATAGTCCACATTAATTTTTCATACATATCTCTTGCTATGTACAGACAGTCTTGTAACAATTTTATTATACAGTGATTTTTTTAATGATAGTGAAAATGAATGAAGGTGATAATATAATGGTAACCCCTCTTGCTCTATTAGTATACGCTGGGGGGGGGGGGGGGGGGCATCATTGAGGGATACCCCGTCATGACGAATTCCACTAGAAATAATCATGATGGTTTCCAGGGGGAACCACGTGGAGGTCCACCTGATAGGGTGTATTTCTATATGCTACATGTGCTAGCAATGGGTCAGTTATACCCCATTACTAACAATTCTTCCCCCCCCCCCACCCCTAATAAGATGTGATTATATAGATGTCTAGTATGTATTATATATATCATATTGTGTTAATGATAAGTGTATGTGATACATATGCGGTGTGGTTTGTGGTTAACACGTGCGTATTGCTCAGTTGCACGGCGATGTTCGAAAGGTACACGTCGCGGCACGGGCCCAGCCTCAAGGTGCTCGTCATGCACGCCCACCTCATCGCGCACCAGACCTTCGCCATGAAGCTCCTGCACTGGTCAGTATATAATACAGTTCAGCTTAGTCTTAGTACGTAAAAATTCGGTATTCAATGTTTGCTCTTACTAGTCTCTCTAACTGTTCGACCGATTTTGAATTAGATAGATAATAATAATAATAATTTATTTATTTGCTGAAAAACACGGTATACAGATGTTAGTAATAAAATGTTAGGAACAGGCGAGTTTTGCCAAAACAATGGCATGCAAGAGGGAGACTTTGTACAAAAGTCGATTGCTTGGGTACCTCTGTCCCATTCGTGTTTCAACCGTGAAGCAGTAGTGTTTGCATGGCTGTGTTTCGGTTTAAAGGGTGGGATATGGCGTGAATTTACTGGGTACAGAGGAATAACACCTGAGTCCTCAGGAATGGCAACGCATGGGGGTATCATGGGCGAAACAGTATACTCTGTTATGTCCATGCTACTGCTCATGTCTATAGGCGACGGTTACCACTTTCCATCAGGTGGGCCGTCAGCTTGTTTGCCATTCTATGTTGTATTAAAAAAAATGCAAAATTTTAATATTTATAGTATTTTTTTTTTAATACTAATGACAAAATATTAGTGCTTATAAAGTGGAATTATTTTCTAATCTTGCAAGCCCTTAATTGAATAATAACACTTGTCCAAAAGCCGACGTAGGCGACGGTTACCACTTTCCATCGGGTGGGCCGTCAGCTTGTTTGTCATTCTAAGTTGTATAAAAAAAAAACCTGCACACGTAGAGATCTAACAACGAAAATATTTGAATTCAGAATGTGGAATAGTTTTTTTTGTTAGCATCGAACAGTTTTGCGCCTCGAAATTAATACTGGCAGTTTCAATCATAGTAAAAATAATATAGAACTGGCACGGGAGTCTATCAATTATAAAAATAATTGTAAAAATTCAAATTCAGAATCTTCGTGCCGAATTCACTAGAAATAATGAAGCGTGATGGTTACATGGTTTATCGTTAACTGGATAATTGAAATAATTTAAAATTGTGTTCTACAAAATAAAACTGATTTCAGTTGTGACAAAACTACTTATTTTGATTTAAAAATTAAACTGCTATACTGATTTTAATAAAATTTCTATGGGAAAAAATACAACCATTATATATTTACTGGTGACCCGATTGAAGACTTCAAGTCTTGTATTAAAATGTTATTGTCCAGGTTGCAAATCTTCGTGAGCCTGGAGCCGAGTCTCCGGCTGGCGACGAGTCAGGTGGCGCTGGGGGCGGAGGCGTGGGGCGTCAGCACGTCGTTACACGGCGGCGGCGTCACGGCCGCCGTCATGCAGAACGACTTCCGCATGTGGAAGGCAGCCAGGTCTGCTTGGCACCGCCTGCTCATAGCCACCACGCTCATGGACTACACCACCAAGCGGGAGATGGCTATATTGTTCACCAGGAATTATGGTCAGTATTATGGTTTTTAGCCACAACAGAACAGAATCAGTGTTTTGTAAAGTTGTGTCTCGATATATACTTTTCTTAATCGCAAGGGCCTCTTAACAATAAATACACATACGTTGCAGGCTCGATCCTAAAGGACTTCATCCGCGATGACCACGACCACACATTCTCGATCTCGTCGCTGTCGGTGCAGCTGTACACGACGCCCACGCTCGCGCACCACCTCATAGCGCGGCACGACGCGCTCTTCATCGTGCTCAACACGTTCATCAGCGAGTGTAACCGCCGCTGCAATAGCAAGGTCGGTACACCGCGTTATTATATAATACAACGAGAAATAGGTACAAGTACATTAGACACTAGTACATCGGATATTTGACACTACACTAGATACTTGACACTGGACACTACACCAGACACTAGACACTGGGTGTACACTTATACACACTGAGAATTACACCAGACATCAGATATTGGAAATTACACCAGACACTGGACATAACACTATACCCCGCACATTACACCTGACACTTGACACTAGACACTAGACACCAAACACTAAAAACCGGACATTACACTAGGCACTGGACACTATATTAGACACCGGACACTACACTGGATACTTGATATTGTGTCTACATCGGACACTACACCTACAATAATCAGATTGTATCATTTTATTCATTAATTTACGTGTGTCATAAATGGCTCAAATAAAGTGTTTATCTATCTATCTATCTAAATATTAGACACCGGACACTGTACCAGACACTGGACATTACATCAGACTCTAGAGACTGGACACTATAATTTTTTAATAGTAATATCTTATGAATCTGCCGCCCAGTTCGGAATGCATTTTCAACTGAGAATAACGGGCAAGAAACTTAACTATCACTTGTATTCAATTGTTAAATGAAAATCAAACACAGAATACACTATACACTGTATACACAGGACACTACACAGTGCACTAGCGAAATGTGAGCATATCAAATAAATACATTTATCACAACGGTAGCAGTCGTCTACCGCCCCCTATATTTATTTATTTAACTCTTTATTGCACCATAAACAAAAATATACAATGACAATTGAATAATTCAAGTGAAATACAGTAACATAAATACAGATTGAAATATATACATAAAGGTACAAAAGGCAGTCTTATCGCTAAGGCAATTTCTTCCAAACAATCTTTGGTTAAAGGAGAATAGATAGATAGGGTAGGTGGCGCAAGTGTGAATTAATAATTTTATTATATTTCTGTTGACGTTACCCCACCAGGGCCGGCTCGAGTTCGACCGGAACGTGCCGACCGGTTTCAAACGCGCCCAGTTCATCCTGTACGACGTGAAGTACCTGCTGAGCTCGGTGCCCGCCACCTTCAGCGACGACCTCCGCAAGGGCTTCATGCACGGCCTCTCGCTGATGCTGAACCTCCTTGTCATGATGCAGGGCATGGACTCGGTTGTGCGACAAGTAATACATACTCTATATGTTGTGGCGCAAGGGTAGAATACACGCTTATTATTATTTATTGGCTTTACAATTGCGCATAGGTGTATTGGGGGGGGGGGTCTGGAAGGACCATACCTACTCTAGGATGCAAGCTAAACTTTTAACTAAGCATATAGATATGTCCGACAGTACGTAATGTGCTTTTGTTTAAGGAGCGCATTTGGGGGGTGGGGGTTGTTAGTAATGCGGATTACTAGTCCCATTGCTAGCAATATACCCTGTCAGGGTGTCCACCATGTGGTCTCCACCAGGAAGCCATAATGCTGAACTCCACGTGTATTCATCACGATGTGCTAACTGACCTGCCTGTTCGTCCTTACCTATCATCTCGCTCACTGGTGCCCCATCAGCGTATAGCGATACCCCAGGCGGGGTTACCATTCATTAAAAAAAAATCCCTTAAATGAGACATGAATATGCCAATACAACTGCGTTGAATATTATTTGCTTGGCTACCATGATAATGGATGCGCTATGAATCCTTTAAGTTTCTTTTGTACTATTCATTTTTTGGATCCACTAGTTTTTTTTTTTTTTTTTTTTTTTATGGAACTATTTATGATTGTATATATTATTGTTATTATTATTTTGAACAACGTTTATTGTAAATATAGTTGGCTGTCTTTGCACCCTATGTAGAATAAATGTTTATTACGCCATCGTAGTAAGCACGCTGCATGTCTCTTTAGAAAAATTTACCATTCGGCAGTTCACAGACTGATATGCGGCCCCTGCCAGCGCGCCTAACTAGTATCGACAATCTTCGTATATTAATTAAAAATAATATTTAAAACATTGTTTCTCAACCATTTTTATGTCGTGACCTACAAAAAAGCCCAAAAGTTAAGTTATTTGTAACTAATACATTTAAGTCGATTGGTACACATGTATGATTGTAACTACTAATGAACTGTCAGTTTTCTCATATTGGGTTTACTGGAAATAATTTCTATTGGAGATAAGCTCGCCCTTGTGCACTATTATGTTTGTTTTTACATTTCAATAACCTCTTGTGTACAATAAAGAATAAAGAAATAAAAAGAAAAAATAAAAAGGTTTGCGGGTCCCGTTGTATAATCTGTAGTTATGAGAAGTACTCCTCAGGTTGACCACTAGATGGAGTTATTATTTTAGTATGTGTGCTACAACGCAATGTTAAGATTGTCTAACATGTGTATATAAGCTCAGGAATATATTGAATAATAAAAGTCGCCCCTCTGGCGCCCTTGGGTGCACGGCGCAGTCCTTAAGAAAGAGCTGACGCTTTGTCGCGTGTCGTTGTGAAAAAAATAGTAGTCCTTTCGCTGTAAACACTATTGCCACACTATTATCTTAATAATAGGTTCGACAAGTGACGATGAAAAAAAGAGAGGTCCACTACGTTCGAAAATTATTATTGCCCGGTTGGGAAACGATGATTTAGAATATTTCGTCACAGTCGTAGAATACTGACGTATCTGACAAAGATCAAATATATAGATCCGTCAGTATTCTACGACTATGACGATTTCTGTGTTGCATGTTGGCTTGTTACTATCTTGCATCATACGAGCAGCACCTTGACTGTCATGCGATGCGGCAGGTCGGGCAGCACATGGAGTACGAGCCGGAGTGGGAGTCGGCGTTCAACCTGCACGTGAAGCTAGCGCACAGCATCACGCTGGCGCTGGAGTGGGCTGCAGCCGAGAGGGGACTAGCAGCCTCCGCGTACCGCCTCGCGCTGCGCCGCCTGGCGGACGCCACCACGCACCCGGCCACCGTGCTCAAAGGTATCGCTGGAGCATACACGAAACGTAGGACTAGTGTGCTGTGTACATTGCATATAGCACTCAGTTTTCATGCTTTGCCTCTTCAGACTGGCTCCTGATAATATAAAAAAAAATATGACTGAATTCTTCTTCAAAATCTAAAGTGAATACTCTGTATTATGTGTTTTTTTTTTGTTTTTTAAGATACTGAGGAGTAGAATGCCAAACAAACTGACGGCCCACCTGATGGAAAGTGTTAACTGCTTGTTAATGAATAACACCATGCACATCTCAAATGCTTTGCGATACCCATGGCCCACCTCATGCTTTGTCATGATATAACACTTAGGAGTGTTATACCACTGTACCATGTAATTTTTTTGTCTGTTTTTTTGGCCGTGTGGTCCTGGCATAGAGTAGGCTACCCCAACCTTTCCCGTGAATCATAAGAGAGGACGAGGGATGGGTAGCAGCGTCCTTCTTAAAATATCTCTAAAGCCTGACTGCGGTTGCTAATCCGCTTGCCAAGCGTGGCAACTACTGGTAAAACTCCCCAAGAGAGAGGCTTATGTTCAGCAGTGGACAGTTAAAGGCTGACATGAATAAAGTAACTAATAAATACTGTATAATGTTCTTGTACACTATCATTATATATTATTACCACAAAGTTAATTATTTAATATAGTTAATATATTATTAGCCAGAGGGAGACTTTGTACAAAAGTCGTTTGCTTGGGTACCTCTGCCCCACTCGTGTTTCAACCGTAAAGCAGTTGTGTTTGCATGGCTGTGTTTCGGTTTGAAGGGTGGGATATGACGTGAATTTACAGGGTACAGAGGAATAACACCTGAGTCCTCAGGAATGGTAACGCATGGGGGGTATCATGGGTGAAACAGTATACTTTGTTATGTCCATGGTACTGTTCATGTCTATAGGCGACGGTTACCACTTTCCATCAGGTGGGCCGTCAGCTTGTTTGTCATTCTAAGTTGTATATAAAAAAAAAAAATTAAAATACCTAAACTGTGACCATCAGTGCCGGGATTACAATAATAACATGTCGTAGATATATGGATGTAAATTTAAATAATGTAATATTTTAGTGGTCCCTAAGTAAATAAAAGAAAAAAAAGTAAATAAAAGTGTTGTGGTTTAGAGCTGGGCAACCAGAGCGCGTCGGTGATCCCGTACGACGTGTCGACGCAGCCGGTGTCGATCCACCGGCCGCTGTCGCGGTTCATCGCCGGCCTGCACCTGCAGCTGCACCGCCACAACCTCTCCTACCACTCGCCCGAGTTCGACCGCCCCGACAGGCCCAAGCCAACGCCCGAGGAGCTCATCGGTTGGTCCTTATTGTATACTCAAACAGTAGATATACAAACATAGTATATATTATTTTTAAGTCATATATAGTTATTCTATTATAATTATTTTGTTTAATTCTTTTACCATTAATATGCGTGTGACTCTAGTCCAACTTTTTATATTAGCTATCAATTCCTAATTTTTTTTATTAGTATTTTTTATTAATATTTATTAGAGATCTATTAATTTTCCTGAAGATCTTCCTTTAGACGTGATCGCGCGTGAGACGTGTCGCAAAACCTGCTTGGACGAAATGGTGGTCGGAAATTAATGGCTAATATGGAAGCTTATAGAGCTTCTGGTATAAGAATAGTAATCAATCTTCGAATGCTGCCAGTAGTAAACATAATGGTAATGATATAAACAAAATAATTCAAGTCGAATAACTAGTGATATGAACTTCTGCAAAATAAAATTAAGTGCTGTAAAATAGGTTTTTGCAAATTATGGCGGTTGTATTGTGGTCAGCATTACACTTATAACAGCTCATTTATACAAGATTAAAAAAAAAAATCAATTACAGTGGACTCTGTTTATTGTCTCCGTCCTATATTCATGGTGAACTATTTATTTACTTCCCTTACATTAGGCTGATTTGTGCTATGCCTTCAATTCTACAGTTTTACCATTTGCAACTCGACAACATGTTATTACATTTGCAAATAAACAAGAGTTCACCAAGAATACTCATTTTTAACTAATTTTCTGTGACAATTCTGTGTAAATGAATGGAGTTTCTAGACTGGCCAATGTTGTCGTTTACATCTTCGTTGCCTTCTCCGAAACGTATGGATGTACCCCTGTACGTCTGTACCCCTGTACGCCTGTACCCCTGTACGCCTGTACCCCTGTACGCCTGTACCCCTGTACCCCTGTACGCCTGTACCCCTGTATGCCTGTACCCCTGTACGCCTCTACCCCTGTACGTCTGTACGCCTGTACTCCTGTACGCCTGTACCCCTGTACGCCTGTACCCCTGTACCCCTGTACCCTTGTACACCTTTACCCTTGTACACCTCTACCCTTGTACCCCTGTACGCCTGTACCCCTGTATCCCGGTACACCTGGACCTCTGTACCTCTGTACCCTGTTCCCATGTAACGTGTGGCCGGTGTGTTCGCAGAGCCGGTGCTGCAGACGATGGCGATGATCGCGCAGGTGCACGCGGGCATGTGGCGGCGCAACGGGTTCGCGCTGCTCAACCAGCTGTACTTCTACCACAACGTCAAGTGCCGCGCCGAGATGCTCGACCGGGACGTCGTCATGCTGCAGGTGCGTGGACGCTACATGCAAAATACATATAAACATAGAAATACAGTACTACCTTGACTTACGCGAACCCGGAGTTACGCGATTTTTTAATCTCTTCGATTTTATTGTTTGAACGCCACACAAATCAACATTTCGGTTAGATTAGACCGCTTTATGAAAGACCTTATGATAGTATGCCTGATCTCCTCTATCTGTGATTGTTTTTCAACCAACTTCAAAAAGAAGAAGATTCTCAGTATAGTTGTATTTTTGTTTGTTACCTTATATTAACCGATTTACAAATTATTTTTTTATCTGGAAAGATATACCTACTTATAGATTGGTCCCATAAAAATGTCAGAAAAAAAATTGTTTTTTTTTTGTTTATTATTAAAGAGGCAAAGGGTAGTAAGTAAAATAGTTTAGTTTTTAAAATAACTGTTTTTAGCACTATTAAGGTCAGTTTTTTTTTGTGGAACACAACTTTATTTACCTATATAGATCGGGGCATCTCTCATCGAGAGCAACGAGTTTATAATCCACGTGCTGAACAAGTTCAACCTGCTGGATTGGGCGGCGCCAGACTTCGAGCAGCGCACCATCGAGGACGACGCGCTGCGGTACACCATCAGCATGGTCGAGGAGTTCCTCGGGCTGCTCATCACAGGTTAGTATTGTTTACTGATCTCTGGCATTGTTCGTGTGGGAAGTCATAGTCCACGTTCTCTACTTGGGCTCTGTTTGTTGCAAGCTTTTTTTTTATTTATTTTTTTTATCTCCCATGGGCGAAACAGTATACTCTGTTATGTCCATGGTACTGCTCATGTTTATAGGCGACGGTTACCACTTACCATCAGGTGGGCCGTCAGCTTGTTTGCCATTTTAAGTTGTATAAAAAAAAAAAACTCCGTCTTTTGTTCTTATATTATTTTTCATTAAACTTAGTGCTTAGTTACATTTTAACAACTCTCTGATCAACTTTGATGTTTGTAAATGCAACAATTACGGCTGTGCATTGATCAATCAATTATTTTTATAATTATATTAAATATATTTTTTTACCTCTTTAAATCATGTAACAGAAGGCATAATACTCCCTTATACCAAAGTAAAAGAAAGGCACCTTACCGCGTAAAAATAACAAAACAAATATGAATCATAACCCTTCTTTTTGCTTCGCTGTAGTTGAGTAAGATTTTTTGTCATATGTTTTGTGAGGTGTTGTCGCTGTGGACACACAATGGGTGGAATTGTATTTAAAAAGTAGTCCTGGCTAAGGATGGTTAATATATAGCAATATCTATATATTGTAGTTACATATATTGGCCCCAATAACAACTATATTAACTATCATAATATCCAATATATAATGTCAAAAAGAACCCGCTCATAATGAATATAGATATCCGACTGGTATGGACGATATCGCAATAACTGGTTATAAATGTTCAGAAGATATATATATCGGATATATATAGATATCGGATATTCCCCATCTCTAGTCCCAGCACTAGTTTCGCTAACTCTGCAAACAGCGGACCCTCTCTAACGTTACTTAAAGAGATATAATTTTTTTTTGTTTGCACACGCAGTGGTCGGTTCCCGGTACGTGCCCGGCGTGGGCGAGGTGACCAACGAGGACCGCACCAAGAAGGAGATCATACAGATGCTCTGCGTCAAGCCCATGCCACACTCAGAACTCAATAGGTATGTAGATGTATTGTAAGGCTTATTTTAAATGCGTACCTTATGTTTTATTATTGTATAAATTAGTGATTCATACGCAACGTTTGCGATTGGTCGCTAACGCTTAATAAAAGGTGTCGGATTTGAATACCCATGTATATTATTTATTGGCCATTTCACCTGATCTTTCTTTCGTTCCTTATTTAAAATTTGGAATCCCCACTATAAAGAATGAAAAAAAAAAAAATGTACAGCATTATAAACTTTCCTGCCGTCCTATTATTAATATGAATGAATGAATGAATGGTTTATTTTCTCTTCACAAAAGGTAGTATAAAGTGACAACTTGAGGTACAATTTGTTATGAAGACCAATTTTGTGAGAGACTGGTGCTTGCGGTAGGTTTAGAAGAACCTGTGTTACAAGTCACCAGTGCCCCATCTCCAATATATTAATGTTATGAATGTAAAATATAAAAAAATTTAGACAGGGAAGGCACAGGGAAGAAAACTCCACTTTTTGTATTAAATATTTTTTGTAATGTGGCCAATAAAGTATATTGTATGTACTTAATCACGCTTCATTGAATGAAGGGATTTGAATGAAATCTAAGATTTTAGGTAGACAATATTTTTGACTCATCTACGAATCAGCGGGATACTGCAAATGATGTTATTTGTAAACAAAACATAATAGGTATCTAATTTCTCATCCACGTGACTGGAATATATTGATTGACCGGGAAAAAAACTAGCCTATGTTTTGCACCATTCCAGATTCTATGTGTATACCAAACTTCATGGTGATTGGATAAGCTATTGTGTCGTCAAACAAACTTATTTCCCTGTATATAAAATATTATGTATTTTATTGTAGGTCACTGCCAGAAGACCAAGTCCACGAGACCGGGCTCGAAGCGGTCATCCACGAGGTGGCGGACTTCGTTAAACCGAGCAGTGGCAACAACCGCGGCGTGTACAAACTGAAGCCGCATCTATACGACGAGTACGACACGTTCTTCTACCACTACACGCGCGAGGAGCTGTCGCGCAGTGAGGAGGAGCAGCGCAACAGGAGGAAGGCCGCTGGTCAGTTGGATTTTTATTTAAATCAAGATTCCAAAGGTGTGGGGAATTACGCATGAAAAACTTGGAGTAAAAGTTTAACAAGTTTGTATTTTGGGGAGGGATTGGACTCATTTGCAGTAGGTATATACAATAATGTTAAAGGTAGCAACTGGCAAACAAGCATGACATGCTCTTTCAATTAATATTTTTAGTTATGCTCGCAGATCTATATAATAAAATTATTATTTCAATTTAAATCTAAAATTGGAATGTTCATATTTTTACTTGTAAATATTTTTTTTTTTTTTTTTATAAATAATCTATGATCGGCCAGATTCATGTACATATATTTTTGTTGCAAAACTTACTACGGTTTCGTAACTCTGGTATTTTATATATATATATATATATATATATATATATATATATATATATATATATATATATATATATATATATATATATATATATATATTTTATACAATTTAAAATGGCAAACAAGCTGACGGCCCACCTGATGGAAAGCTGTAACCGTCGCCTATAGACATGAGCAGTACCGTGGACATAACAGAGTATACTGTTTCGCCCATGATACTCTCCATGCGTTGCCACTCCTGAGAACTCAGGTGTTGATGTGTGATTCACCGAAGCATTATTGAGTGGTTTGAGTAAGCGGCGGTGGGTGTGTGGCAGGGCTGGCGGAGTGCTGCCCGCCGCCGCGGCTGCCGCGGCTGGCGCCGCCGTTCCGGCTGCTGGCCAGCGTGCTGCAGTGCGACGCGGCGCTGCACGTGCTGCGCACCGTGCTGCAGCGCGCGCTCGACCTGCGCGCGCGCTCCTTCTCCGAGACGCAGGTGCACAAGGTAACGGCCTCGCTCGCTTACATACATGCTCCGAATCAGATGACCACATCACCACAGCCGTACAATTGACAGTTCTTAGTTTTGATGCCGCGCAATGCATTTTAATGTTAACGATCTACACGAGGCGACATATGTACAGTCAATGGCGCGCCTTCGTAGGTAGTTTTGATTCCGCGCATCACGCTATGATTTTATTACAAACATTTCTGTTTTTTTTTTTTTATATTTAATAGTATTTCACTGATTTTAAAGTTGAGAATAATAGTCTGTTTTAATACACTAATACAATTTTTAGTAACCTGCCTTTTACACCCCGTGTTAATATATGATAATGAATTATAAGTAGCAACAATTATCATGCCTAACACAAACTACACCAGTAATGTGCTACTATGCGATCTCAGATTATATAGATAGAGAGCATCGAGCCTCAAAAACGTGTCAACTTTTTATTAGCTAATAGTCAAATTAGTTGACTCGTGTTTTTAATTAGAATTCTGTATATTTGCGCATAAAATATATCTTGATGTATTATTTAATAAATGAGCGTTTACGCATTAAAAAGATGGAGAAATTATAAAGCAATAAATATAGAAGTTATAAAGGAGTCACTCATAAGTATTTATCACGCAAAATGTAAGAAATAGTTGACTCGTTTTTCTCGAAGCATTTCTATGGAGACACTTGTATCTATATAATCTGAGTATGCGATATGATCTGTGTGCAGGCGCTGCATCTAATGGGATACGCAGTGCGCGACGAGGAGAGCGGTGACTACGAGTTCCTGGCGTTCGCTGAAAGCGCCGAGCGCAGCGGCCTGCTGGCGCTGCTGCAGCAGCTCGCCGCCAGCCCCAGGGTCGACGCGCACCGCCACCTCGCTAAGTGGCTGCTCGCCAAGATGAAGTATACCATCCTCGTTGTTATCTAATCGAGTTTTATGTGAATTTTTAATTTTGCTACAAAGGCAATGGTTGACAAACGCCTCTAACTAACGCATTAGAGATTTTTTTTTTTTCATTTAAGAGTTTCCTCTTGTCGGTGCAACTAATTCATGCATCTTCCTCCAGCCAGCTCTATCCCAGGCCATATCCTTTATCTTCCTATACGACATGACGCCTAGTGTTTCCTTTATCTGTCCCATGTAGTTATTCCTCGGTCTTCCTCTTCCTATTTTGCCCTCTATCTTTCCTTCTACTATGCTTTAAAAAAAATCGTCATGTCGTAGAAGGTGGCCCAGCATTTTGCCTCTTCTATTCTTTATTATTTTAATCATTGTTCTCATTAGAGATTACAGTATGAATATTTCTTTTAAGCGCCTTCCAAAAAAATTTCTTTTTGTGTTTTTGCCAATCCTGAACCAATATTCACAATTAATATTGCAATCAAAGGCTTAGCTCCCGTGTTGGTTCCATTTTAATTATGTATCGATTGAGACTACTTTTCTTACAGAGAAAAAAATAAATTTTATTGCAAAGTGTTGAAAAATATTATCAAAATATGGAAATCATATTACCTTAATTAACGTGTAGTTAGGAAAGATTCAAAACGGGCTGGCTTTGTCATAAAATAATAATTGTTCGTAGGAAACTTTTGGGGCAAAACGAGGAGCAAATCGGCGACGCCGAGAAAATGGAGACAGATCTACAAGAGCAACCGGCCGAAGAAGAAAGTGCAGGTAAAGTGATCATAATTTCAACCATATATTGTCCATCCCTGAATTGCGATTGAAATTGTTAGCATCTTTTTAAGGATTACAACAATAAATAACATATTTATTAAATTATTTTATATTATTTAGCTCGATTTGGGTCGAAAAATGTATACCGAAAATTGGCAATGTAAGAATTATACAAAAAAAGAAATGAAAAATTTTAATTTTTTTTTACTTATTTACTTAAAAAGTGCTGTGATAACAAAATAGTTTTGTATAGATATATATGTTTGTATCCTAAGTTGTAATTAAAAGAATTAACCTTAAGCGAATTTAAATCAAAATTATATGAGATGTTATATCCGAAAAAAAGGTTTATTAATACTATATTTTCTTGAAAGAATGCTAGTAAAGGCTTGGATGTTATTATGTACAGTTCCTATACATATTTAATTCTTTGGTAGTTAAGAACAAAATGTTTTATATCTAAGAATATACTCATATTCCAGAAGCGGAGAAGAGCCGTCGCTCGAAGCTAGCGGCCGAGAGGCGCGCCAAACTGATGGCGCAGATAAAAACGCAGATGAATAACTTCATATCGAACAACGCCACCCTGTTCCAGGAGACCAACACCGAGGTAAATTGTTTACTAGCCGCTTTAAAATTATAACCAGTCAGGATTTTTTTTTTCATTTAATCGTTACCTCTTGTCGGTGCAACTAATTCATGCATCTTCCTCCAGCCAGCTCTATCTCAGGCTATATCCTTGATCTCCCTATACGACATGACGCCTAGTGTTTCTTTTATCTGCCCCATGTAGTTATTCCTCGGTCTACCTCTTCCTCTTTTGCCATCTATTTTTCCTTCTACAATACTCTTAAAAAAATCGTCATGTCGTATAAGGTGGCCCAGCATTTTGCCTCTTCTATTCTCTATCAGGTAAACCTGTCAGGTATGACTTGAAAAAAACTATAAGAGTTCCCTTGTACCAATAAACTAATTTCATTTTTATATCTATTTGTTCCATAACTGACGTGTCAAAATGTTTTGATATTTATATTACATTAGACTATATTGTCATTGTAATTTTTTTTGGTCCTTCGAACCGGATAATTTGTTTTATATAAAGTTATTCCATTTGTTGTGTACAGGTAACGGCAGAGGAGCAAAACCTTCGGCCGCTGTACTGCGGCACAGCGCTGGGCGTGTGGGGCGGTGGTGTACCTGAGCCGCCGCGTGTCTGCATCATGTGCCAGGAGGAGGTATACTACGACTGACAACTGTTACATACATTTGTATTTATCAAACTACCATATAAGGAAAATCCAGTGCAACTCGTGAACACAACATCTTAGTCCTCAGGAATGGCAACGCCTTTAGGGTACTATGGGTATTGCAATATATTTTTCAATTTCTATGGTGTTGACGGTTGTCACTTTCCATCAGGTGGGCCGTCAGCGTAGTTGCTGTTCTAAACATCATAAAAAAGTGCCAAATTGCGTTGTTTAGCCAGACTAAGATTATTTTAGTAGATAGATAATTTTAGTAGTGGCGCATTAAAAAACAAAACAATTTATTATAACAAGTGAATGAACTGGTCTGATATTAATATATATCAATAGTTTAATTTATAAACCACCCTTCCCTTGCAGACGAACATAGGAATGTCATCCTCTTTAAAGCCTCGTTCTCATTATCGTGATAGAGACGATTATTAACTAAAACGCCAACAAAATCTACGACGGAAGGAAGACGCAAGAAATTTGAATGTACTTTTTTAAAGTTCTAACATAGGGTATACCTTACGGAACTACGAAACATGTGGTCGTTTATCGGTGATTTGTAATGTTGTAACTGTGGCAGGCGCGGGTGGACATCAAGCTGGAGCCACTGGTGCTGGTGGCGTTCGTGCAGCAGTCGACGGTGCTGAGCCGGCGGCGGGCGGCGGGCGAGGCGGCGGGCGCTGGCGCGAGTGCTGGCGCGAGTGGGCGGGCGAGCGCGGCGTGGATGCCGGCCGGGCTGGGCGCGCAGCCGCACGTGTCGTCGTGCGGCCACGCGCTGCACGCGCGCTGCTGGCGCAAGTACGTCGACGGCGTGCTCGACAAGGAGAACCGCAGGTAAGCGCACCCGCCCGCCCAACACTAATCATCGTCGCTTGTATACATTTTTAGATCTCATCTCAATTAATATGACTAATGACAAATAATGTAAATTATATGTAAATTTCTCATATTGTTTTGTTCTCAATTTGCACGACGACATAGAGACAGAATGTATATGGGAAATGTAAACCTCTTCCATATAAAACCACCTACATTCTAGCAAATAGCATGATGATACCCCATGACAACGCACGGGGGGTATCATGGGCGAAACAGTATACTTTGTTATGTCCATGGTACTGCTCATGTCTATAGGCGACGGTTACCACTTTCCATCAGGTGGGCCGTCAGCTTGTTTGCCATTCGAAGTTGAATAAAAAAAATTCTAGCAAAATAAATTAATGTTATTCCATTTCAATTATGTCTTTATTTGTACGTGAAATTGCTAATAAATTGATGGCAGATGATCCATAGTACCAGCAATCAATGCCTGTATTCATGAATGACATTGTAAACATCACAAAATGTTAGTTACATTGAGATGAGAGCTCTTTAGCTTTTATGCACTCAGGCCGGCGATCTTTATATATCACTGTACATAGTGGAGTAATTAACGAAACAATAAAGAAACAAATAGGTTCAATTTTGAATTTAACTAATTTAACTAACATTTTTTTCTAAATTATTCCAAGTTTGGGTGTTCTGGGATATGCCCCCAGGTTTTCGTCGTTTGATTCCTTATAACAGAACATTCCATGAAAACTAGATAATTATTGTATATTAATATTTTTCCCAGGCTATACCGTTTGCGTCAGCCGGCCGCGTTCGACGTCGAGAAGCGAGAGTACCTATGCCCTCTGTGCGAGCGGCTGTGCAACACGACCTTACCGCTCCTCCCCGCCCCCCTCCTTCTCAGAGGCTCCCCACCGCCACTCTCAGAGGAGACCTATAGGGAATCCGTCAAACTCGTTCTGAAGCTGAAACACCAGGTGTGCTCCGAACCGGTCCACATCTGCACGGAGTTCTGCGAGGAAATGCTGTGCCAGGCCCGTGCCAGGAGAGTGGGCGCGATGTCCACGGACACGGAGGACGGAGACACGACAGAGGAGAAAGAGGTCTACGTCTCCACTCACTCGGAGAATCTCTTGCCACGAGAATTTCTCATCCACTTCTATGAGGACATACAACATTATAACGATTCCATGCAATCACATATAGAACACTTTGTTAATGTAAGTGTAAACATTTTTTTCATTAGTTAATGAAATACAAATTTTCATATATAATGAATAATATTATATGTTGAATCAATAATGGATACTGAAAGATAGGTTTATTGTAATAATTTTTTAAAATTGCTTTAATTTAGTATTATAAGTTGTGAATTTCTTTTATTGTTTTCTTTTATATTGACAAATGTACAGAGAGACCACGTAATAGAGAGACGTTACGGCCATTTAATAGATATCTGAATCTTAATCATGTTTGAATTAGGAATAGATTATCCATACTCATAGTAAAATTTCTTACCTTATAGTGTCTTAACGGCTTAACTAATCACTATGAAATTTGGTATACACGCACTATACGGGATGAAGAGGGACATAAGCTATTTTTCATCCCAATTGGTAAATATATCCCGTTTTTGCGGACGAAGTCGCAGTTCATTTTAGCGCGTAGATAAATCTTTATAACATGCCTTTACCATCGTGCCAGTTGGAGACAGCATTGGTATCGATGTAGTAGTAACCGGTAGGTGTACTGGCAGGTGCTGCCGAGCCTGTGCGGGCTGGGCGAGACGGGCGCCATGGCGGGCGCGGCGGCGCTGTACCGCGCGCTGGCGTACACGACGCTGAGCAGCAGCGCCGTGCTGCGCGCCGAGCGGCGGCCGCTGCTGGGCGAGCTGCCGGCGCGGCTGCGCGCGGCGCTGCAGGCGCTGGTGCGGCTGGCGGCCGTGCTGCCGTCCGTGTGGCCCGCGCCCGCGCACCTGGCGCACCACGCGCTCGCCGCGCTGCACACGCTCGAGAACGCCTCGCCGCTCGCGCACGAGCCCTTCGCCACCCTCGCCGCCCTCGTCATGACCGCCACCGCGCTCTTCTCCAAGCAGGCCGGCCCCGCCCGCCCCACCAACCTGGCCAGGCAGATGACCCTGCACGCGTTGCGCGCCAACATCACCAGGGCCCTCATCGTGCTCGACCTCACCTCGTGCACGAGCGAACCGATGGAACACGGAGAACAATACCGGCCTAAACCAGACCTAGAAAATCTGCTGCCCCTCATAAAGGAATTACGCAGAGGCAAGCTCGAGGACGGGCTGAATGCGGAGGAGGTGTGGGAGAAAGTCAAGGGTCAGTGCCACACGTTTTTGAGGTGCTGCTGTCTCTTGTTCCACTTCCTGAGCGATATAAATCCACCTATGCAGTTGACGGTTGTGGATGGCGACACGTGGGAGGTTATGTGTGGATATCTGGAGTTGCCCACGACGTTTAAGGCGTTGATGGATACCCCAGCGGTGAGGCAGAAGGCCAAAGAATGGGCGGCGATGTCGAACGATTGGTTCAAAGGAAAGATACCCGCTCATATTGTGACTGAACCCAGCGAGCCTCCGAGATTGATACCACTGCCAGACGACTTCTCGGAGCTGATGAATGTGGTTTCAGAATTTTCATGCCCCAATTCAGAGAAGGAGGACAGTAAATATCCAACTATGTGTTTAGTGTGCAGTCAGATATTGTGCTCGCAGAGTTATTGCTGCCAAATTGAAATACGTAAGGTAAGGTCTTATTACTTCTTTTTTTATCAGTATGTATGCATAGATACAAGTGTGTATATAAACACATGTATGTAAGTGCTGTTATTCACATTCAATTCTCTCTGTCTACTCCTTAAGGGACTTTCAATTATAATTTGTATTATAATATTTAGAAATGTATGGATCCCGAGTCCAGTCGATTCCTATATATAAAAAAAAAAACTCAAATATATTTCAATATATTACATTGTTTTAAATTTTTGGCTTAAATTAAATTCAATTTTGTTATTTACATTGTAAATTACATAAATAAGAATACATCAGTTACACTATCAAATTGCATTCATTGCCAATTAGCTTGGCAACAAACATTTTGTTCATCTTACATAAAGAATTGTCAAAATCAGTTCTCAATTAGTGTTGTGATATACTTACACAAATCGTTTGTTATCTTTCAGTTGACGTTTCTTCCCGTTTGATGGACAATTTGTTGTTGAAATTTAAAATTTGGAACTGATATTTAGTGGATTTTGTTGATAAACTGCGAAGGATTTGTTTTTAGTGGATTTTTCAGTTTGTAGCGTTATTTTTTATGGACAAAAATAGGATGGTAATTCTGTTTGTGCTACTGCGCAAGGGATGATGTGATGGTCGAGGATAGAGTCGAGTCAGGCGGTCCACTAGGAGGAATAATTAGAATAAATACTTTCCAGCCGCGGACCGGCAGCGGAGGTGGCGGACGCGGCGGGCGCGACAGCAGCACGGAGCACGTGGGCGCGGCGGTGGGGCACGCGCTGCGCTGCGGCGCGGGCGCCGGCGTGTTCCTGCGCGTGCGCGACTGCGAGCTCATGCTGCTGGCCGCGCCCGCGCGCGGCGCCATGCTGCCCGCGCCCTACCTCGACTCGTACGGCGAGACCGACCAGGTGCGCCGCCCACCACCGCCCACCGCCCACCGCCCACCGCCCTACTGCACACTGCATGCGCTTCTTACAAAACGCCCGATAAAAGTTTCTTTAGGCTCGCCAACTCACACTTGATACCCCCGGTATTGCACCCGTTCGTAGACTACGGAACCGCCTACCATTGGATACACCGGCCGCTTACATACCAGCGTGTACTTCAGTGATATTAAAAGAAAAGTATACGTTGACAATTTTTTCTAATATCAGCCGTGGTTGCCAGGGCCTGCGGCGAGGCAATCCCCTCCACCTGTGCCCCGAGCGCTACGAGAAGCTGCGCATGCTGTGGCTGAGCCACGGTCTCCACGAGCACATCGCGCGCGCCGTCGACACCTCGATGCTGGTGACGCCGCCGTGGCCCAACATGTGATCGCGCACGCTCGCATACATGCTCGACATGGTCGAGCCGCCGCGCACGCGCTCACGACGGTATTTCAGGAGTCAATGACTTAACTAAAATGATTGTAAACTTATTGCCAATTTTCGTTATCACCGTTGAAGGGTGGTGCTTCGTGACTGTAATCGGTATTGTAGGACGAGAGGTGTTTTAGAAATTTGATCCAATGTCTAAATGTTCAATATAATGAAATTACTTATTGTGCTATGTCCAAATTGTGAAGGAATTTACTGCGTTTGTAAATGCTTTACATGACAACATTTTGTAGAGAATGTTTTGCTGATACAACTGTTAAGAAATATAAGCAATGTTACAAACTTCATGGTCTTACATCCCAATACACGAAATTAAAAAAAAAAAAAATAATATTGAATGGTTTAAATGTACTCTGGTAACAAATTAGAATGTTCCTCAACTATCACTGAAATTTTGGTTTAGGATTGTAAACAGGGCCGCTATTAATTTGAATCTATTAAACCACACGTTATAGTGAACAAATTTCACCAAGAAATATACGATAAATACTAAAATAATTTTGGAACTATTCGTAAAAATCATTGTTATCAATTTTGTATGACAATTAAAAAAAAATTTTTTTTTGTATTTATTTCAATTATGTTCCTTGGAGAAAATTCTTTAGTTTTATTATTCTATATGATTGTATTTTAAATCATCACTACCGTTTTATACAATTGACACCAACTAACGAACAATTGTTTCGTGGTACTGATTCCATTGTTAAAAAAAGTTGATCTATAAAGCAATAACAAATAGAATAAGGCAATAGGAGAACGATGTTACTCGCGGAAATCGTTTTGTCGACTGTACGTACACAGATTTAGAGCCTATTTGTCTGAGTCTTTTTTTTTTTAATCGAATTTGACTATTAATTGCTTAATATTGTACAAATTTTGTTTAAATTGAAATTTCTTGTTATGTATAAAGATTAATTCCTATTACTTTTCTGTATTCTACCATAGTTTACGCCATATAAGTTGACTGCTCTACTTACGTAATTTTTAGTTACGATATTTTAAAATTTAATTTAAAAAAAAAAATTAACAATGGTGTTTTAATTATTATAATTTGTACGTCGTATTATTAACATGTTGTATATAGTTACACGCACAAGCTTAAATTTTATAATTATTGTTAGTAATTTTCATTTATCCGTCTTAATGAGAGTGATATTAAATTTATATAAAATTAACACAAAGGAATGATTGGGAGCCTGCGGGCGGGCTCGAATTGTGGCTACAAAAAGCAAGATAGTTAGGGCAGTTAAGAAAACTTGAGCTATCCCAAGCTAAGAATATCTTTAAAATTGTCTAAACCGACAGACTAAGGTCAATTTTCAAATGATAACAAATAGAAATAGGTGACTTCTGTGTCACCATTTCGTAGGTCTGCATTGATCCAAGCATGCATCCATGCATATGAACTCTGCGATAGATAATATTTCAACTTTTCCCAGATGCATGTGGAAGAATTTCGATTTCACTCTGGTTTTAAAATAATAAACAAAATTAAATTACTGGCTTTAATATAATAATCAAAATAAGTTTACTGACTTTAAAATAATAAACAAAATAAACTAACGGACTTTAAAATAATAAACGAAATGAACTTATTGTCTTTAAAGTAATAAACAAAATTAACTTACAGACTTTATAATAACAAGGCAAAAAAATTTGGTTTTAAAATATTAAATGGAATAAACTTAGGATTTTTAAATAATAAACAAAATAAACTTACTGGGTACCTGGTGGATCAACACGCGAGCTTTGCCTCTGGTGTTGCGATGGCCAAGCTTGCTTGCCGCCGCGATGTTGTCTTTTAAAGATTTACATTATACATTTTAATTTTAAAAATATTAACATTTTCTATTGGGTTTTTATTAATGGATGATAATGGAATGATAACCCCACCTGCCCTAACTGTATACGCTGGCGAGGCACCAGTGAGGGACGATAGGTGGGGAATACACTTGGAATTCAGCACGATGGTTTCCCCACCCCAGGGTGCGAGTGACATTTCATAGACATGTCGAAGACTGTAAATATACGCTTCTTTAGGGGGCCACCTTCCCTCGCCCACTGGAAAATAATCGGAAATACGAGAGTAATTGTATCTATTAAAATATGTATTATACGTATGTCTTTTAAATTTGTAATATTTTAAACATCCTGGAGTTTTGTAACTATTATAATTTTTAAACAATGCATATTTGTTGCTGCAATTTTGTGATTTTTTTTTTATTACTAATATGAATCTTATTATGTAGATGTTACAGTTATTAATTAGATATTAAAGCAAATCTTTTTACGTTCTATCCACTATACTATATAATCAACTTGAAAGGATACTGATCGAGGCAGTTTGTAAACGATGAACTTCGGGGCTTATTTCAAAATTGGAACTTGATACGTATGGGTCACGTGACCACTGACTGGCCAGTTTTGTCTATGACATTTTAATGGCAATGTGCAGGGCAGTTAAATTGAATTTGTGAAATCGTGAGGCCCTGAGTACTCTTGATAAGTCCCCCGGGTAGTAAGGTAATCGAGGGTAGTGTTTGATGGGCGCTTTTATAATTTATTTTATTTTACCGTCGTCATGTTGTAGGAGACTATATGCAATTGTACAGAGGCCCTTTTGAACTTCCGTGGACGTCCATGATATGTATTTGTTTTTCATAAAGGTGGAATAGTCCATCCGTCTAACGGTATACAACGGCGGGGCACCGGTGAAGGATGGAGTTTGGTCAGTAGGAAATAACCACGATGGTTTCCAAGGGGTACCGCGTGGAGGTCGACCTGATAGCGTGTGTAGTAATGGAGACCAGTTTCTCTAACATACTCCAGCTCCCATATTCTCGCGAAAAATACAATTGTATAAGTATTCGTTTTCCTATTATATGGTACCGAACGGTATATTATAAAGGTACCCATTCAGTAGTAAAAACATGAAGTGATAGGAGGTAGGCAATGATTTGTGCAGTGTCTCCAGGACTAAAAAACATAGTCCAAGAGACACGAGTAAAGGCTGTGTGATTACTCAGTATGCATATTTTCTCTTATATTATATAATATAGTATGGGTACTTGTGACTTGTTATCACGCACCCAAGAGCGTAGACACTGTGAATTTAGTCAATAATTGTAATAGATTATATGATTTGTTTTTAATTATATTGTAAATGAAATTGTGCAATTTTTCTTTTTCTGTGTGTTGTTTTCATATAATTGTGTTAGCTAGCATATTATATAGATACGAATTGTAAGTTTGGTAATATAAACATTGCCCTAACAATCTCGAAGGCTTTTCCTTGATGTTGATTGTGAATCACATGATATTATGCTATAATTTAATTAACCAATAAAGTTTTCTTTTTAATATGACGAAAAATATGTTTTTTTTTTATTGTACAACCCATCTGTCATTTGCGCATCATTTTTTTTTTATTTACAACACGTAGCAAACGAGCATGCGGCTCACCTGGTCATATATAAGTGACTACCGTCGCCCATGATCACCCACAACACTAACGGCATTGCAGGTGTGCAGCCGGCCTTTTAAAAATTGCATCCAAAGATTTACCTCTCAGCCGCGATCCGCATTTCATAAAGGTTGTTGCTGCAAATTCCAATATTGCAGTGTAAGCAAAGAGGTTGAATTATACACAATGTAAATTATTCCCAATTTTGCTACTTCAGCCTGCAAATCAGAATTTATAGGGGAACCTTAATTGTTCTGAGGATATCCTGTGTATTTTTTTTTAATTATAAATACACAGTTCTACAGTTTGCCGAGTGACATGTGCTTCTTTATTTTTGTATGTAGCTACTTTTAACTAACTTCTTTTATTAGATAGATTGTCTCCTCCAAAAGATTACAATAGTAAACTTATTATAAATATAAATAACTACATGAAATAATCACAATGAGAGAACAATGGGCGACCTTATCGCTAAGAGCGGTCTCTTCCAGGCAACCTTTGGATGGAGAGGAGTAATTATAAACCATTTGGTGGGAGGCACGATGAAAAATTCTGTTAGTTCTAAATATATTAATTAATTTCCATCATAATATTGGCCATTCACTATCTACTGCTGAACACAGATTTTCCTAGAGAATTTTGTAGTGGTTGCCACGTTTGGTATGTGGTTTAGCAACCGCAGTTAAACCTTGGTGATATTTTAAAAGGGACTCTGCTGCCCAACTCTCGACTATTAAGTTTTTTTTTATGCAACTTAGAATGGCAAACAAGCTGACGATACACCTAATGCAAAATGGTTACCACTTTCACCTAGCACGTCGCCTATAGACATAAACAGCAGCATGGACATATTATACTGTTTCGCTCATGATACCCCCCACGCATTGCCATTCCTGAAGACTTAAGTATTATTCCTCTGTACAATTGACCCAATTTTTTATTTAATAAAATTATAGAACTAGATACTATAATTATTTATGACAACTCAATTTTTATTTAAAATTATTAAATAAATTTGATTAACCACAGTTTTTACTGTAATGCTAGCTTACTTCTCGTATGTTGAGTATTAAAAAACAGAAATCGACTTTTTTTTTCAAATCTCTTTTAAGTTTAACAAAAAGTGTGACCACGACGTGATTTGAACACGCAACCTCCTGATCTGGAGTCAGGCGCGCTACCATTGCGCCACGAAGTCGATGTGGGAAACGTTGAAAGTACGAATGTGACTGTGTAAACTATATAATAAATAAAAAAAATGTCATACAATAGGACTGAGATGGCCGACTTGACTAGACCAAAAAATCTATTGTTTACTGACGAAACCCTGTGCGATCTACCAGTTACATACTTCTTGAGATCACAAACGAAACAACTATTTCAATACACAATTATGTAGTATTGTAGTATTCTTTATTTTATTAAGAGGTAAAACAAAACTGAATTTTTTTTAGTAACTACTAATTTATATTAGTGTGAGCATTGCGTCTGAGCATCTTCTGCTAGATTAGCAAAATATTATACTTTTTGCTTTCCCACGATCGAATGGACTAATGGATCGAATGGTCGCAATCGACCGATTGGCCTCCCTGCAATAGGGCATTATATTTTGTTTAATTTCAACTTGATACATAAAAATTTAAAATTTTTGTTATTAAATAATATGTCAAATTGAAAACTTATTAAAATAGGAAATACTTACTGTTGTTTAGTATTGGAATCAAAAGTATTTTTAATCGGTTAAAACCTTTATTAGTTGTATCTAGCGGCTTCGCTGACGAATCAGTACATTAAGTATCCTCTATGCGAAGTTAGGATATAACCTACTCGTGTACAGACTTCCATTCGAATCTGTTCAGTATTTTTTGCGTGAAAGAGTAAAAAACACCCATCCAAAAAAAAAACAACCTCACAAATTTTCGCAAGTAACATATGCAGTGTAGGAACAATAACAAAAATAAAATAACGATAAACAAGAAGTATATATTTAATTTCACATTTAATAATACACAGCTTACAATATAAATTATTCGAAATATATTTTCACATTGGGATGCTGGAATATGAAATTTACATGTCAAAATAGGGATGATTTCCATCAAATGAAGCGCATAGCATCGATTCGGAATGGATACGAACGGACGACGGAGCAACAGCCGATCGCAACCGACTGGACACCGATGCATACGATCGGCTCGGTACCGTCGCTTGCATATGTATCTGTCTCTGCGCCTAGGCAAAGTTTCCATTATAGTGTAGACGTGTTCTAATTTTGGAAAATAGTTGACGTAGTATTGTTGGCTTTTGCATTAGAAAATAATAAAAAAATACAGAGGACGAAAATAAAAATGAGTGGTTCCACCAAAAGGGTCTGATTGGATATGACAACAGGCGAACGGAGCCGATCGCGCGTCGAAGCATGCTTTCGGCTACAATCACGTGTCGTGAAGACACCCGCGGTCAAAATGCTAGGCACAGCTTGGTAATATAGACTTTAAATACTGTGTACACAATTTAATATCATTTAAAGATAGTAAACTCCGTTCCGATGCAAGCCGTTTGTTGGAAATCATTCTACAGGGTTGAACATGGCTCGATATTCCAGAAATTTCTTTGAAATGAAATGAAATATTTTTGTATGGTTATGCATAAAAAAAAAAAACAAATAACATATAATCTAAGATGTAGTATGAAACGGAGATAATACTTTTAATATGTAATGAGAGGATTTTATAATGGAAAAACTACAGAAAAGTTGAGGAGACAGACATTAGCAAAAAATGTATTTTGAATGTAAAAACAATATGTCAAAAAAATATATAAATTTCAAATGACAATCTATCTATCTATCCTATTTAAGAGCTGCGCTCTTGTCGGTGGAGCTCTTGCCATTCACTACGATTTTCAGCGAGCCTCTTCACCTCTTGATACGACACGACACCATCTCCTTCCTTGATCTGCCTGATGTAACTATGCCTCGGTCTCCCTCTTCCCCTCCTTCCTACTATCTTACCTTCTATTATAATGTTCATAAGTTCGTCGTGTCGTATCAAGTGTCCCAACATTAAGAATATAAAAATGTAGCAAGGAGTTCATTACATATAGTACGTAGATTATATAGATAAAAATTGGGTAATTTCTGGCAGCTAGTTGTCAAATTAGTTGACCTGCTTTTTTCGAAACATTTGTATGGAAACATTCTTTTTTAATTATAAAGCACTATTATACCTACTTGTACCGGTATTATACATTACCTTAAGGTTGTCTTGAAAAGATTGCTCTCAGCAATAAGACCGCCTTACTGTACGTATACAATTGTATCGTTATGTTTGTAAATTGTTTTGTTTATTTCCTATATTGTATAATGCAAATAAAGTATACTCATTCATTCATTCTATTTATATATAGTAGTACTACATTAAGAAAGCGCAAATAATTGAGAATATTTAAATAAATAAATAATAAATTAAATATTAATATAAAATTTTATTTAAGATATTTTCTGGTCCTATAAATTTATTATATCTATATTTTACATTTCCTTACAGAATAATAATATAATACAATATTCACAATAAAATAATTACATCATAAATGCTATTTGTTGTACAGTGTCAGTAAACTATAAATAATCTACAATAATTTTTTTTTCTATCGACATTTTATACTTAACTAAAAGTCTTTGGTGCATTCTGATAAAAATAGACACTTCAAATATCATTGTTATTGGCTTGGTTACAATACATTTGTTTAATTTTATAAAACTAGATAGACTGATAGGATATTAGGAGCCTTTTATTGTTTCCTCCATAAGATTACAATAGCAAACAATTACAAGAACATATTCCAAATAAGAAAACAACGTAAGGAAAAATAGTGGTTATGGATGCCATTTCGACCATGTCACTGAGATATATCGGCCCGGAATAAAAAGTAACCTATGTCCCATCCCAAATTTATAATAATTGAGCCACCAAGTCAGCAAGGGTTTACAAACAAATTCACTTTCACATCTGTAATATTAGTAAAATTCATACAGAAATAATCTCTTTCAGATATGTCAGCTGGTTTCGGTGTAATTAATTTTATATTAAATGTCTTTAAAATCTAAATCGTTTCCCTAAATCAAATTGTCCCTCAATCCTGGAAGGGAAAGAGACAATAAAATCTATAAGCTTTTAAAAATGGAGGAGTGGAGACAATAACTTTTTTATCTACACTAATAAAATATTATAAGGAGGAAAGATTTGTATTTTTGTGTGTATATATGTTTGTAACGAATAAACTCAAAAGCTAATTTGCCGATTTAAAAAATTCTTTCACCATCAGAAAGCTACATTCACCCTGAGTAACATAGGCTATATTTATTGTTAGAAAAGATAAGGGATCCTTACTAAAACTTTAGTAACGTAACTCAAGGTGTAAAAAAATGCTATAAAATATCTTTTGTGGCGTGCGCTGCGGAAACTATTGGTGATAGAACAAAAGTATGTTCTACAATATTGAAGAAAATATCAATAACTACATAAAACTTAGCGGAACTATATCCAATCCAACTATTATAGTTATGTCACAATAACCACTTATTAAAATGTCGTAAAAATGTCCACCCGTGCGAAGCCGGGAAGGGCTGCAAGTGATAGATAATGCTCGTCCTCGCATAAATTTATATAAGTCAATAATTCGGTGCTTTGTTACAAATAAATATAATAATAAATGTAAATGTAATTAATTTATATATAGTTAATTAATTATATTTGAATAATTCAGTATTATATTTTATTATAATGATTAATTTTAAGTTACCCTGTGTATATGTATTATACAACGCAGACATGGTAGAGATTAGTGGATATTACCAAATATCCTTATTTATATACACATTAATTTTTTTAAACGACATTAAAGACAAACACCCATACTGTTCATCTAATAAATATATGATTACAGCAGCAGCATGGTACGGGTGGCAGCTACCATTTCGGCAGGTTTTATTACCAAAAAACTGCATCGAGTTAATTGGGATTTTAGAACTGAAGTCGACTTCATGGTTAAATAGTTTTTTTTTTTTTTTCTGTGGTTTAAATGATCCGCACCATATAGAAGTGCAAGCTATAGACACTTCAACATTTGGACCGCCGGTTAACTAACAAACCAGCTTCAAACTAAAACTAACGCCATATTCAGCGTATCTCTGATAGGTATGAATATACACCAACGTGTGCGATCAGCGCGGATCGTCTACCGAATTGGGTGCATCGTGTAGATAAAAAAAAATCTGCAATTCGGCGTTCAATCTTCCATCGACGGAATATTGACGCGAGCTGAAACATGTGGGGAGGGGGGGGGGGAGATTTAGTATCGGCAAATGAATATCAGTCAAATGTGATATGTTGCCTTTCCTGTTAATTTTTTTTGTAATGTTTAATTTTTCATGGCTGCGCTCACGGCATGGCCACCGATTTCTCGAGAGCTTGGGAAATCCCCTTTAGGGACCTCAATCCATAACTTGAGGGCATTTCTTTCGACTCTCAACTTATCTTACATCTATTAGTTGCCATATATAATATGTGATAATCTATTAATACTTAGTCCATATTATAATTTGTACTTCTCTAGCTACACAGGCAGCTACTCTCGTTACCGTGCCGAGTCTTCTGACGCCGTAGATTTACCACATTATAGTTTTCTTCGCCCTGTAAAAAAAACTATTCAGATCCAAAAGGTTAAAGTTTTACTTTAATGTAATAACTATCGCCTTGACCTCGCTGAGCGAACGCCTACTTGCGCTTAGCGGCCCGAGGCGCGCAGTTAGGCCCGCGCTTGCGACACAGACGCTCATGATTAAGGGTTCCGAATTGGTCCCGTAACTAGTCGAGCTTTCTCGATCTAATTATACGTAGGTTAAAACGGTAGTTATTATATTAAAATATAAGGTTAAATTTGTTAAAAATATACATACAATGAGCAATTACAATCCGAGTTGATGCTTTCGATAATAATTCGACTTAAAAAAAATTTATGCAATTTAAAAGAGAAAACAAGCTGACGGTCTACCTGATGGCAAGTGGCAATAGTCTCTTAAGGTCGCCTATAGGAATATAGAGATGTAGTAGTTAATATCTGGTAAATTCCATACGCTGAAACAATTGTCCTGACTTCTTTCTCAATTGCTCATCCATCATCATACTGACTGGTATCCCAACAACGTATACAGCTAGTACAAGGGAGGCTACCCTTCCATTATTATCTTATAAAAAACCATGGCTTATAAACACGAACAGCAGATTGGACATCACTGAATATACTGTTATATGCCCATGGTACAACACATAATATATATGTGAAGCAGTTGTGTTTGCATGGCTGTGTTTCGGTTTGAAGGGTGGGATATGGCGTGAATTTACATGGTACAGAGGAATAACACCTGAGGCCTCAGGAATGGCAATGCATGGGGGGTATCATGGGTGAAACAGTATACTCTGTTATGTCCACGGTACTGCTCATGTTTATAGGCGACGGTTACCACTTTCCATCAGGTGGGCCGTCAGCTTGTTTGCCATTCTAAGTTGTATAAAAAAAACATGGTTTCAAATTTAACCATCAAATAAATCTGGTTCACATTGCCTTTAGAATAGATAATATAGACAGATATAAATGATTTACCTCAACACTGACTACCCTTAAGGGTTGTTTGGAGTATAACTTATGAGCTAGCGTCATGAATATTGATTCCACATTGTCACACTCGGAGTCCAACAAAGCTGATGTCTCGAACAACTGTAAAATATAAAAGACTATGGTAAGAATCATAATTTAGGCGTCCAGGGTTAACTTCAGCCAAATTCGATTTAAATAATCCGTTCGCCGTTGGCAGAGAATTCGTGATCATACCTTAGAAATGATATACCAGAATGGTCAAACACAATGAGGTTTCAGACGGGGGAAAGGGATTGTTAGCAGTGGAGTTTGACAGTCCCATTACTAGCAATATACCCTATTAGGTCTACTTCCACGTGGTTCCCCCCGGTAACCATCGTGAACAATTCCTGTTGAATTAATCATAATGGACTAACTGACCGGCTTCATCCTCACCTATCATCCTTCACTGGTGCTCTGCCAGTGTATACCAATAGCGCGGGCGGGGTTACCAATTCATTATCATTTCCTGCCGCGAACACTTAGGTTGCGGAATGACCTTCCTGCCGCAACTTTCGCATGGGGTTCTTCAGAAAGGGCGTATTAAGGTTTCTTCAGATTTGTGAACGCGCGCTTAACATCCCTAGTTTTACAAGCGTCCATAGGCTACGATAATCCCGTAGTTTACCAGCAGACGCGCCGTACTTTTGTTTGCCATGATAGTATTATAAAAAATAAGCATGCTAAACAAGATATGTGAAGTGATACGTTCACCACAACGGCAACAGCCAGATGACTCTGTCTACTGCACCTGGGATTACAGTTGAGAACGCATTTATATTGCTTTAATTATAATATAAAAAAGTAATAAATAAGATGCCGCTCACTTTAAAAGTAATATAATTGCATGGCAACATTCTCATAGACAATAGGAATATTTTATTCTCGTTTGTGGCAATAAATTTATCAATGGTGGTAGAAAAAAAAAAGAAATGAGTTGTTGGTGTCCATACTTTAAAACCATTAAAACTCCATTTATTATTACCTTTTAAATTCTAATTGCATTACATTTACACCTATACTTTTTATTATTCGCCGTGTGGTGCCATCACAGAATGGGCTACTCCTTCCTTACCCATGGGTGTCATAAGACGTAAGGCGTCTAAGGCAGTTTAACAGTCGAGGGATGGTAGCAGTGTCCAGCTTAAAACATCACCAAAAGCTAACTACAATTACTAACTGGCCTGCCAAGAATGGCAACTACTGGCAAAATTGATATTTATAAACTTATGTAAATTTATAATGACATATAATTTGTCAATGTGACAAATTATATATTAATAAAATTCTGCTGCCAAACTTGGCTATGCATATGTGGCAGTAGAAAATTAGTTTACAGTATCAGAGTTGCATTTGTTCCTTAATAGACGACATATAGAACTACACTTTTCACATTTATCATACTATTCATTTATCAAGATGATAATGAATATACTAACAGGCATTCCATACTTGTCGGCGGCCCGCTGCGCGTACGTGGTGGCGAGGCGAGACTCCACGGTGCCGCAGTCGCACTTGTTCCCAACCAGCACGCGCGGCGCCTTCATCAGCCCGTGGGACTCCACCTCCTCCATCCAGCTCACTATTGACTGCAAACATTTGTCAATATGACAAATTAAAATTTTTAATAATGACATTAAAAATAATTTTTAGCATAAATTTAAACTTCTGTATATATGTAGCTGGAGTAGAGCAGCAAGGGACAGAAATTATTGGAAGGAGTTGGAGGAGGCCTTTGCCACAAGGTACTCTGTGTTACGAGATTTAATTTCATGGAAATAATAATGTATATAACATATAATTTTAATAATATAATTTTACGATTTTATTAATTAATTATAAAAAATATTATATTTATAATATATAATTTATTTTAGTGAAAAAAAATAATATAATGTATGCATGCAATATTAATTAAAATCATAAAACAAATTTTGTATAATATTAAGCACAGAATAAATGCTTCTTTATATATGTAACTGTATACATTAAAAAAATGTATGGATAATGGCCATCTATGCCTCGCTTTATTTTTATTTTCGAAATTTAGAAGAACATAATTCCACTACATATAAAAATAATAATAATAATTGAGACTAATACTCAATTACTTACAGGAAAATTAGAGTTTTCCAGATCACAGCATGTATAATTTTTCATAAAAATAATATAAACATATACTTACATGAAATGTCTCCGGTTTTGTGACATCATACACTATAACTACAGCATGCACATTTCTGTAGTAGTGCTAGACCATGGACTTTCTGAATCGCTCCTGACCAGCAGTATCCCATAACTGCAACTAAAAACAATTTTAGGTATAATTAAAAAAAAAATTATTAACCTTTTAACATTACACATTCTTCAGTGAATACTAAATAGGATTCCCACTCAGCATATGCTGTGATAATGAAAAATACCAGAATATAAATCAGGCTCTGGTCAGTTTTATATACAGCAATGAACAAATAATGACTGAAACAATGATAATGAAGCCTTTATTAATTATTTGATAATTATAATTGATAATATATTTTACTAAAAAACAGGAAAATGTATCACAATAAGTTGCTTAGTTTAATAAGTATCCTGTACAATAGCTTTTCATAGAGGGAAATGTATTGTTAGTAATTACCAAATTATATATAAATAATAGCCTCATTGCTAGCAATTTACCCTGTTAGATTAATCTTTATGTTATTCCCTACAAAAATTGTTGTAGTTAATTCTAGATGAAGTTGCTACAATATGCTTTTTTTGATACAACTTAGAATGGCAAACAAGCTGACGGCTCACCTAATGGAAAATGGTAACCATCGCCTATTGACATGAGCAGTACCATGGACATAACAGAGTATACTGTTTCGCCCATGATACCCCCATATGTTAATGCTGACTTGTTATCTTCCTCACATATCATCTGTCACTGGTACCTTGCCAATATAATCCTATAGCATAGGCAGGAGTACCATTCCATTAAAAAAAATATATTTAGAATAATGACATTTTGTTTTTAATTAACTTCAGATTAATAAGAAGGTCATCAATTAATTTTTATTTCTTAAAGTATATCTATAAGTATGTATCTTTGCCCAATACTTAACAACTTGGAATAATTATTTTTCCAATCAACTGAGTTCATTCCTGTACAAGTCTCATATTAACTTTGTTGTGACAAATGACCACCTGATATTTTTGATAATCCACATTACAAAATTATTGTTAAATAGTTAGAATTAGTTTATTATTATTAATGTTAGTTCACTACACAAATATTTAAAACTGTATGGGGTCATATGATAAAAACAGTCTTATCAGAAGGTTAGCATGATATTGAGTTGCTAAACAACAAGGTATTTAAGTAAATAACCCACCAAGCAGGTTACATGCCTTGTATTTAGTTTCACATCATCACATATAATGATTGATAAAACGAAAAAAAAAAATGTTTAATGGAAGTGAGAAGAAATTCACAAGTTACCTTAATATCTTCATTTCCAATACGTATTGTTCTCTCTCTAAAGTCAACGCCGATGGTAGCTTCGGATATATCTAAAAACTGACCCTCACAGAAACGATATGTAAGACAAGTTTTTCCTACGCCTGAGTCGCCTAAAACAATAATTTTGAAAACTTTCTTTTGCGCTAAGCCAGGTATTTGTTGGGTGGTGGACATTATTAAGGTTTATATATACGAAAGAAATAAAACTAAAAAGATAAGAGAGCATATGAAGTCAACAATAATTTAATATCAATATTTTGATCGAAACGTCACAACACACAGTAAATTAAATCTAATACAAGTGTCATTCAATCAGTCTAATATCAGTCAGCTGGCTTTTGATAGTCAACTGTCAATAAATTAATAAAAACTTTTTTAATAAAAATGAGCTGTCACTTAATGTTGCCATCATTTGACAGTACGCGGTTTATAGTAGATACGCAAGTCCACGTAATCTATATGAGAATATTAGCGCGTATGTCATATATTTTTCTAAATAAGATCTTTAAAACCTTACTCAAGTTAAGTAATAGATACTATATGTCACTTTTTTTATACCACTGAGGTGGCAAACAAGCTTACGGCCCATCTGATGGTAAGCGGTTACCACAACCAATGAACACCTTTTATATCAGGGGCATTGTCGCCCGACTGCGCGCATTGTCAAGTCCGTCACATTACTATAGTAAAAAGAATATTTACGTTATTCATTTGTGACATTTATATGATGACCATATGAATGAAAACTCTTTATATATATCTTTTTTACATTCCGATGCCAAAACATACTTCTCGTGCTTATTACGTCTACTACACATACAAATATATTACATTAGTAAAAGCTCTGCTTATATCCTGGGGTGGGTATAAGACAATTCTGAGGTCGGTACGGCTCACCCGGTCGCCCTTTAAATATAACTATGCACATACACTACATATTAGACATTTATTACATACACATAAGTTACACACAATTTTTTTTATAAAAATTCTACAGACGTGAGTTGATGTCGTTTTACCGTTTTCGAACTGTTACATTTTACTATCTTTTGACACTCATATTGAACAAGTATCTTTGCATTTACTAATTGTTAACTAGGACCGGGAGTAATATTACCACAAACATTGGAGTGTGAAGTTTCATCCAGATTGAACACTATTAACGTGTATTGTGTCGTGTCTGTAGTTTCTTCTGCACAGTGGTAAGGTCTCGTTGGTAATTTTTTTTTATTATGTCGTATGTTATAAAGCAACGCCACGCGCTAACATATTTTGTAAGATCGATCTCCACGCGATTCCACCTGAAAAGTATTATGGTTTTTTCCTATTGAATTCATCACAATGATTCAATTGACCTGACCTCGTCCTTATCCATCATCCAGTGACTAGTAACCTATCAGCGAATAACTATAACACAGCCAGGGTTATAATTCCATTTTCATTTATAAAAATTATGATGATGATCTGTATAAGAACCTACATTAGGTAGTAGGAAGTTACATCGTGCTTTCGCTGCCCTATCCACGGAAAATGAGAAATTAAACAGTAATACGGTCACATCCTCCGTTACAATATATTTAGAGTTGTATAGTTCTTTATGGAAATCCGTGAATGAACTTATATAAAAATATTATGTACTAGCTGTGATCATGGTTACGTCTCCGTGATTTAGGTAAAAATAGCCTTAGTAGATTAGGCATGTTATTTTGTTTGAAAATCTACGCATAAGGAGTATATGACAAATTTAAAGATTAGTACTCATTAGACCCTGAAGTGATAACAAAGAAACAAACAAACTCTTACCTAAAATATTAATAGTTATAAACAATGTTAGCTGGATATTTATTTACATTTAATTTTAATGAAAAATACAATTATACGTATGTTCGAATAATATAAATTATTTTGTCATGGTAACATGGTAGTAGATTTTTCAAAACAGTAGTTTTTGGTAGAATATTATTAAATGTCCGACGGGTCACAGAGTGTGACGAGTGTTATGACAAATAACGGAATTATCCTTGAATTTTTAGAACTTATTGTTATTTGATGCAAGGGCAGCTACATATAAAAGTAATAGGCTTTTGGGTTGTTTACTCAACATACAGTTTATAAGTGGTGATTGTCCTAACCTCTAGATTTGGCCAAGTCTGTCTATCTATTCCCTTATAATTACTAATAGAACCACCTAAATTAACGAAGTCACGAATTTAATAAAAGTGTTGTTTACATTCCTGGAAGTGTATAGTGTGCGGGTTCCGTATCTTTTTTATTTTATAATAGTGAAATATCGAAGTTTGATTTTACTGTCGAATATGTGGAAGTTTGTGGTTTTCTGTATAAAATGTGTGTAAATTCAATTAAAAAGATCGTCCAGTGTTATTGTGGTGTATGTGCTCGGATGTTGCCGTAGGATTGCCATGTCCAGGCTCGTCGATTACTTCGTCATAGTGGGATTTGACCACGAGAAAGAAAGTAAGTAGATGAATACTTAAATATCAGATTTTTCCAATTAGATTGTAAATAGATTTAATCTTGTAAATATTAGTGGGTATACTTGTTTAAGATAGATCAGAAATAGTTGCATTAACTAGGCAGTAATTTTAATTGGTAATTTATTTATAAAGTTATTTGCTACAAGTGGTTGCTATTGATAAAAAGTTTATAGAAATAATGTGGTTTTGAATTAATTCATTCTCAACTGCGATATGACATTCCTACAAAGACTGCCACAAAGAATGGTTCTGAACCATTTTTTTTATACAATTTAGAATGGCAAACAAGCTGACAGTTTACATGATGGAAAGTGGTAACCGTCGCCTATAGACATGAGCAGTACCATGGACATAACAGAGTATACTGTTTTGCCTGTGATACCTTCCATGCGTTGCCATTCCTGAGGACTCAGATGTTATTCCTCTGTACCCTGTAAATTCATGCCATATCCCACCCTTCAAACCGAAACACAGCCATGCAAACACAACTGCTATATGGTTGAAACACGAATGGGACAGAGGTATCCAAGCAAACGACTTTTGTACAAAGTCTCCTTCTGGTAACTTGAACAGTTATTATGATTTCTCTATCATCATCATCATGTCAGCCATTATCTGTCCATTGCTGACCATAAGCCTCCCATAGACTGCCATAAGGGACAGTTTAAACTACCTGCATTCACTGATTCCCTGCAATGCATTTGAGGTAGTCACTTGTTTTTAATATTACATACAAAATATAAATTAGTCTACAAGCAATATTCATCATCCGAGTCTATATTAATTTAAGTATTTGATAAATAAATACTTTGTGGTTTCAGCACAAATATTTACTACTTTGTCCTCAATATAGCAAAGTAAACTGATATTACCCTATAACTAACAGCTAATCATGAAGTTCCCATTTAAAAAGTTTACTTGACACTGTTTATAATATATTAGTTTTTGCTTGCTATTTCCTTCCTGTGACTGGGAATATGTTACTGACTGAAATAAAAGTAGCCAAAGTAAGTGGAAGATTGATAACTGATATGAAAGGTCATAGCACATCTCTCTTCTCTTTTCATTTAAGAGTTTCCTCTTGTCTGTGCAACTAATTCATGCATCTTCCTCCAGCCAGCTCTATCCCAGGCCATATCCTTTATCTCCCTATACGACATGACGCCTAGTGTATGCCTATAGCACATCTACTACTGCTAATAATACTGTAGTTGTCATATATTGTGCTTGAGGCATTTTTAAATCTAGGTAGTCACACTCATACTAATATTACCCCAATGAAACAAAATTTTAATCAGTTAATGAGTTAAGTATATAATTATTTAAAATAAATAAAAATGATATGCTGATCTTAGATGATAGATCATAAATTAAAAGTTTATATAGTTTTGTTTGTCTATGTATTTGTATATTTTTTTGTCCCATATATATCTTATGAAAAACAATGAATTTTTAAAATTACTCTCTAGATATGGTTTAGCATTCTGATGTTTTCTGTATACATAAACAGGTTGTGTAATTGTTGTCCTTAAGAATAATAATGCATGAGGCATGGGCGTCACAGTATATAGATATCAGAGGGCCTACCATTAAATATTTTCCGAAATTTCGGTGACGAACGAAACCGAAATTTGATGTTAAAATTACATAATACGTGCCGTTAAGAATTACTAAAAATGTTAAAATATCGTTCCTCTATACTATTAGGATAGGATTTATGATAAACGAAATGTTAAGCTTCATTTACTGGGTCGATTTCGGTACGAACAAAAACACGAAATTGATCCTGAAAATTCGGAATTTCATGGTAGACCACCAAATCGGTTTCCATATTACCCACGCCTACTAGTAACATATACTTATTGCTGAACTACATATATATTGCTTAAATAATATGGAACAATTCATATCAGAATAAAAAAATAGTTTGTATACAAAGGAAAATTAACGAATACGCCATGTTTGCCCTTTCGACAATTGATCGGATTTCATCCTTAAGTCCTCTTCAGGTAGTGTACGGCGCTTTAGGTCACAGGGTCTCGCCTCTCCCCTCGCACTAAAAAAAGAAAAAAAATGTCATATCAGAATGTCTATTATAGTTTCTTTGTTACAATTTATATTTACTCAACCATCAATTGCACTTGCATCGCTCGATGCCCTCATGCACTGCACCAATTAAGGGCATCGAATATTAAAACTAAAACGTAACTGTGAATTCAAGTTCATTGACACGGCAGGGTCGCCTTATCTATTGTCTGTTTAATAAACACATCAGCTGTCGCGCTCCATACAAGTAGTGCCTATCTATAATTTTATTAATGAATTGCCTTCTGGCAATGTCTTGTTCCTTCTAGAATAATATTACAAGGAGAAACAATTAGAATGTTTGTTTGTATTATTTGCTGTGTGATCCCGGCATAGAATAGGCCACCCCTTCCTTTGCGGTGAGTGTCGTGCGACTAAGAAGGGCGAAAGATGGACAGCAGCGTACCTCTTAAAACACCTCGAAAGGTTAACCGCGATTGCCAATTTTTTCTGCCAAGCGTGGCAACTACTAGTACGAATAGAATAGAGGTGCCCAAGCAAACGATTTTTGTACAAAGTCTTCCTCTGGTGCATTTTCTTTTTTGATGGGTGAAATCCCGCCTGCGCTAACGGGATACGCTGGCGGAGCACCAGTGAAGGGTGATCGATGAGAATGAAAACAGGCCAGTTACCCCATCATGATGAATTCATCAAGAATTAACCATGATAGTTTCCAGGGAGAACTGCGAGGAGGTCGACCTGGTTGGGTATATTGCTAGCAATGGGATTCTCAGTCTCCATTACTAACAATTCCTTTCCCCTCAGCCTCCCACTGGTGCATTTATTATGATGGGTTAACTGATCTGCCTTTCCATTCACACCTATCGTCCCTTACGTATACCCTTAGAACAGGCGGGATTACCATTTCATTATCAACTATTAAAAAAAACAACTGCTTCACGGTAGAAACACGAATGGGACCGAGGTGCCCAAGGAAATGACTTTTCTACAAAGTCTCTTTTTTTTATACAACTTAGAATGGCAAACTAGCTGAAGGCCCGCCTGATGGAAAGTGGTAATCGTCGCCTATAGACATAACAAAGTATACTGTTTCGCTCATGATACCCCGTTGCGACGGATTAAACACGTCTTAATCACAATGGTTCCAGGGGGATCCACGTGGAAGTCGACCTGACAGGGTATATTAATTTATTCAATACTATTATAACAATCGTTCTCCCCTCGATATATCCTGACGAATTCGCCTACAACTGTTTCTTAATAAATATAAATTTATTGGAATTTAAAAAAGCTCTAACACAAAACAAACCTATAAAAAGAACTGATGATTTTGAACACCTGAATGTATGAAGATCTTCATAAATTACAGCTAAGAACCATCTAAACCACGTCAGCTTTCAAACAAAAAACCGCATCATAATCGGTCCATTCTTTTAGAAGCTACTTATAACACCCCTCTTTTTGCATCCGGGGTTAACAACAGCGATGTCAGTAATTTCTTAATACTAGATGCATACACAAACTTGCAGAACTATCATTTATAAAAAGTTAATAGGTATTTTATGGAAATGGGCATTTAATCTTATAATAAGACACGGAAGAGTGTTTTAAGAATAAATTTTTTAATAAATTTAAAACTGTTATTAAGAAATATTTCGTGAACAAAGCCTATTACACTCTAAACAATCACTTGAATGACATATGTATGGCGCTAGTCAATTAGGCACGGGCTTTTTAACGAACATCTAATTTTAGACATAGTACATATAAATAAATACACAATGTTAACAAAGATTTAAAAGCATATAATTGTTTCTTGCCGGTTCTTCTCAGTAGAATAATAAAAAAATACGATTTAAAAGTGCTTAAAAACAAGTGCATTAGAATGGAGATGCTTTGAATTTGAATACATATCAGTCTTGCGTAACTTTCATACTAGTTTTAAATGTATAGATTTGGTCAGAAAACATCATGCCAACGTTCAGTAAAATGATGATATCACAATAGTGCCAACTTAACCAACAGTACTGTCAAATGCAATGAAAAGGCTGCGATTTAAACTATTTGTGGAACAGTTTTACCTTTGTATTTCATATTTCTTTTTATTTTGACGTAGGAATTACGACTATATATAATTAATATTGACTCTGGTACGAAGTACTTGCATTACGTACATTAATTAATGGCATTACGGGAAGTGTTGAAAACTTATGTACTCTATCAATAATATTACAAAATTGAGATCTCAAGGTATAATTGTATAAAATAATAAATATATTTAAGAATGTTATATTTGTACTAAAAAAAAGTGTTCATTGGAATGTGTAATTTGACATAAAATGTATATATCTCTTTTATCACATGATGCACATTTTAGGGAGAATTTTTTTTTTTTTTTACAACACAGGGGGCAAACGAGCATGCGGCTCACCTGATGGTAAGTGACTACCGCCGCCCATGATCACCCACAACACCAGCGGCATTGCAGGTGTGCTGCCAGCCTTTTAAAAAGGAATATACTCTTTTCTTGAAGGTTATGTTGTCGTATCGGTTCGGAAATACTGCTGCTGGAAGTTAATTCCAAAGAATGGTTGTGCGTGGAAGAAAGTGCCTTGAAAAACGCACGGTGGAAGACCGCCACTCGTCCAGATGATTGGGATGAAACTTTAGTTTGTGGCGGGTTGTACGGTGGTGAAAATCAGCAGCAGGTATCAGTCCGAACAATTCCTCAGAAAACTCCCCATGATAAATTCGGTAGAAGATACACATTTTATTAATATCGAAAAAATATCTAACTATAATATTATTGTAGCCCTATTTCTTTTAATTTTGAACGTTAGGCTGGCCAACATAACGAGAAAAAAGAGAATTTTTTGTGTAGATTGGTAAGATATTCCTGACCGAGTCATTTTAATTGGCTTTATGAAGTGCGGT